AAAACATTAAAAAATCTACGGATAACGTAGCCACAATCAAAAATGCAATTCTATGTGAAACTAACAAAACTAAGAATATTTTATAGAAAGATGATCAAATGTGAGTGATTAAGAGCAACATAAAAATGAGGTAGATTTTGCAGGCGGATCACAAAATTTCAATCTACATTAATATCGTAAGTGCGATAACATTCATGAAAGTCATCCAAAGTTACTTGGTAAAAGTCGAAAAAAATCACTGCCCTTCTACTAATATAAATGTTTATTACAAGAATTGCAGATTAAAAATAAGTTTGACATGAAATCTCGGAAAGTCATAAAGTAAATATGCCTCCATGCTAATCAAAGTGACCTAAATTCCTGCATCCTGTTCGTGATCAAACGTTCAGTATAACAAAAACGTCGACTCATGCATACTAAGACCCGAAAGGCCAATCAAAAGTAGCAATGACGTTCAAGCTGGTATACGCTTTCCTTCTTGGCTCAGCGTGCGCTTTCTCGAAAAGATTCTTCGGTCCTTTCACCTTTAGAAATTTCCTGCCAGCATGGCGGCACGAACATCTACCCTTTCTCTACCATAGTTGCGCAATGACTGATGAAGCAAAAAAACCTTGCAAAGGAACGTCATTAGGATGCTGTTTCAGGACGGTACCTGGGATGGTGCGTGTCAAAGTTCAACAAATGGGCACCTGTTAGAAAAAAATTGTGGGTGTGTATGAATGAGGGTCTCTGTGTAGCTAAATTATGCTCAGGTGTACTGAAAGTGGTTGAAAAGAAAAAAAATTTCTCACATGTGCCAAAAACTGTTATGTGTGTCTGAAAACAATCTAGACACATGTGAACGGTTACGAGTGTAGCTATGTTGTTTGCACAAAAAGTTCACTATAGTGAATGTATCCCAGCAGATTTAGTTGATTAATGTTTCATGTTGTAAGGCATGGAGATCATTGTTCCAGTTTTACTTCACCTATTACAATTGAGATGTTTTAAGTGTGTGGAGTTAAAATGCAAAATGTAAACTATAAAATTAAATTCGAAGTCAATAAATTTGAAATTTTTCCATGATGAAGGTGTCCCCACTTGTAATTGGTTATAGATCTCCAACAATACTCTCAGGATTTTTCCAATTGTATTATTATCAATAATTATTCTTATCTTTCATCGATTTAATCCAACAGCATTCAATTACCCAACATTTTACTGGAGGCAAGTGGGTTCGAGAGGTAAGAAGAGCATTAAAAAGTTAATCTCTCATTCGTGTGATTTGAATACAGTGGAAATCAAATGGGGATATAATTGTAAAGTGCAGCGGACGGAGATTACTCGTACATTAGAAATTGATGAGGCCCAGAGGGCGGTAATATTCCATTATTCAAGCGAGCATGAGCAGAGGCGTCTATTACAAGTCAAACAAGATGCATTGAGTAACGTATTAGCTTGGCTAGGATCTGCTCAATTGCAATGAAAAAATTTATTCATCATTATTTAAAAAAGAAATTAATTCTCACAGTTATTGATGAAACTAGAAAAGTATACTTTTTCTACATCTGTATAGACATTGATCTCGAGCGCCAAGATATATGAAGTGTACAAATGTTCAGCGTTTCACAACAGCTGCATTTATGGTGTTAGCACACAATTGTTATCACCCGAACGATGTTATGATGCAAATCAGGCAAACAACAAGTTGCTTTCTAAAACTTTCACTTGAAATAACAGCTCTTGCATCGCAGAATTCGCTTAAAACTCTGCAGGCTGAGAAATCGTTCCGCTTCCCAAGTAATTTTAAACTCACACAATAGGAGGAGGAAAATAAGTGAGTTGTCGTTAGGTTTTATTCTTTTTATTGAGGGTATCGTGCCATTATTGAGTTTATATTGAAAGTGCGACAGCAACAATTCACAGTATTTGTGTTTTGAAAAGAAACCTATTATTGCTGAAATATTCTTAGACATTTGAATGATCTGAACAAATGACAGGAATGGCGTTCAGAAGAATTGCTGCCTTATATACGCTGTGTTATTGTCGGTGGTTTTATTATTATTCGGACTGTTGAAATTATTGATGGCGCCGTGGGACAACAGAGTATATTTTTTGAAGATGTGCAAGAAATTGGGATAGCTGGTGAATGTGAAACTGATAAAGAAATTGTTATTGGTCTTCAATTAAACAAGTTAATAACTTTAAAATATGCGTAAAAAGCTTGAGAATATATGCTTGAAATTTAATTTTGTCCTCATATGTTCACAATTGGTAAACTAAGCATTATAGTTTCAACCACCTTCTGTACAGCCTGAAGTGGTTAAAATAAATTGAATAGTTAAAAATGAATTTTTTGAATTGTTAGTAATGAATGCTTTGTTGAATATTCAGAAAAATCCCCGAGTCGTAAAAAACAGTTTCATGCAAATAATTAAAAAAAAATCCGATTCGAGTAACGAATGATTAATGCAAGTTTTAAAATGAGATAACAAACCTGAATAGAAATCGGTAACAATAATATATAACTTGTTGAAGTTGGTACTCGGTGCTTTGAAATTATTTTTGAGAACCAGAAAAATATTAATTAGAACTAAAATGAATAAATATTCAGATTAAATGCAAATAAGTTTCAGGCCATGTAAATAAGAAATAATATCTTACAGATGCAACAAATTTCGAATAAATATCTTCGAATGAAAATATATCAGGAACACACAAGTGCATGCAAAAATAAGTTAATAACAACAATAATCCGACGCCAAAAATACGCACTTTATTTCTGCCAAATAGCGTGAAATAAAAATAAACAAATAAATAAATAATTGTAAACCACAATCCGATGCAAAAAAATACGCACTTTATTTCTGCCTAATAGCGTGAAAATACAGCTGCGGAGCACAATAGCCCCGTCTCGTGGAGTCCTTACATCACTTTCTTCGAGGAGGCACCAGTCTCGCGACTGGCCCGCCCTCGTGTCGAGACTCGCTTTATAAACGAAGTGAAGGGGGACTTCGAGAGACCGCAGACGAGTCTGCGGCTTCATTCATAGATTCTTAGACCTTTACGTGGTGAGGTGAGTTTTTGCTGCTCAAATTTGGATTTTTTGTTTTGGAATTGGTTATGGAGAATGTGATGGACTAGCTGAATGCTAGTCAATTATCGGGAATTTATTGCTACTTAGGCTCAATTGAGACGGATGAATTCTAACGACCGAGTACATTAACATTCCATAAAGATTTTTCATGACAGTGGTTAAACTAATTGAACGGGTCTTAATTGTTCTAATAATCCACATATTCATAAAATTTGAGTCTTTATCTTAATCTGGATGCTTCTTTGTATAGCTTGTCAACATTTTAATTAGGTTAGTGCAAATACTAAGGTGTACTGCACAAGAATTATTTCGATTTAAAATTGCAAATGACCATTTATAAATTCTAATTTGAAAAAATTTAATTTATTTTCTATTTGAGTCTAATAGTTTTGATCAAAAGAGTTTTGAGAAAAATTCGAGCGGTATAATTAATCAGACAATCGGCAATACGCTTTTGTGAAGTAATTTTTTGTTATTTCGTAAATTTCAAACTAAATAACAATGAAATACGATTCGGTTCCGTGAAACTCTTTGTTTATCCTGTTCAAATTTTAATCTATAATTAATTTTCATTTTTTCTGTTGAAAAAAATTGGCTTCAACATTTTAGGACGATAGAAAGCGGATCAGCCTTATCGGTTTCCCTGAATCCAGAGATGATCAGAAAAAGTTGCATTTATCCACCATGACTTGCTTGCTAATATTTTCTTGCAAGAAAATTGCGCTCCTGCAAAGTTCATCGCCCTATGAAAGATTCATATATAAAATAAGCAACAAATATATGATGATTTAAAATAATTAAAGTACCCTCGTCCTGTCGGTAAATTTTTAATTGCATTTTTTAATGCAATAAGTTATTTTCCAATCGCATCATTTGATAACTTGAAGTATCGCTGGTTTCAATTTTAAATATTTCAACAATATGTTGGTAATGGAATGAATTAATCTGAATAAAAATATTTGAAACACAACTATTCATTTATTTTATTCGTCATCGTACGTAGCATTATTCAATGAGTACCATTGGGATTTCAGTGCTCCTTTTATAACGCTTTTATGAAACTATTTAACATGAAACAAAGTATAAAAGAAGAATCCAATTGAGATGACGACGTTTTAGTCATGTAATTTTGATGGACTGCAATTATCGCAGGCGGAGAATCTTTCACATCCAAGAAAGAAATTTCTTGCCACATCGCCTGGAAATTTCTGCGAGAAATTGCACGTAACACTTATAGTTGTGAGCGCCGAAATAAATCATCTATTGCGGTAATAGAGCGCGCAATTCTTGTATCATATATGTTATTGGACATTTCTTAGTTTATACCCTATAAGTTATGAGTAATTACGGGTATTAGTAACTACATAGAAGCACGCTGTGATGAAAAATTCATTCGTAACAAAATGTATGAAATTTTTCAAGCAAGTATCGCCACCTGCATTAGCATAAGGCGTATTCGTTGACTCTAAGTTGATGCACCGAATGTTTTTTAATCTAGAGAGAGCCGTTACTATAGTTTACGTGTTAAGTTAATATTTACTTATATTGGTGGCTTCTTTCTGAATATCCCAGCAGATAACAGATAACTTAAGATTGTTAGCCTGAAAGAAATTTGCGTTACTTAAATGTTGGTTGTATATAAGAACTAATTTGGGCATGTAAATCAATTATACTCTTTTCAGCAACAAAAAATTTCATTACTAGTAGATTTTTAACATAATTTGAATCGATGGTTAATATTGCACTTGAAATCCGGATTATATAAGAGCGGAAAACTGTGTAACAGATAAAAAATTTTAAAAATACCATAAAGACATGATTAACTCCGGGGAGCTGGGTACATCTGTAACAAATACAAATTCTTTTGATGCAATCATGCTGTAATGATAATATTGTAAGCAATATGGATAATAAATCGTATGACAACATGTAATTTGTTTATTGTTCAACAAATGCTATTAATATAGCAACAGTGTGCATCAACAATATTTGCACGGCAAACACTAGCGACCTATATAATAACTCTAAAATAATACCTGCAAAATAAGTTTAACAATTCTGTTCACGTAAATCTAAAAAAACTGCAAAAATTGAAAACAAAGGAATTCGAAAACGTTATAGTTGAAGTAACATTGACTTAGGATTCTTCGGTATCGGAAATATACACTTAACAGGCCCAAAAATAGACACTTTATATATTTTTGTACCACGTTTTGATTTCGTTTTCATTCAGGACTGTGAAATGTTGTACCCGAGGTATTCATGTGACAAGAATTTGTAGCTGAATGAAAGGCGCATCAGAAAACTCTTTTGATTGACTGTGAACTTGACGAAAAAATCTCCGGAAATTTTGAATAAAAATTTGTCTGCTCTAATGTCAAAAACATTGAAGAAATGTATATGTCCCTTGAAAAATTGATTATTCCGTATCCACCACCAGCTCGATAATAATTTTTCCATGATATTTTCGGGACTGCAAAGTTGCATAGTTTATAGTTTTCCTTTACCACTGATATTCATAACACTAAAGGGAGTTAATGTAAATCATGGACACCCTAGCATCGAAACTTACAAGAATCTGGTTGAAGTTATAACATTTTAATAGGTAATAAAAAATGCAGGCTATCTTGACAGACATAATTTGCGCTACCAATGACATATAACGGTTTTACCCGTTAAAGCAATTCAATTAGTTTCAATTCAATGGTTTAATTTACTAAATTAGTTTCAGCCTTTTTCGTTAACAAAAAATGACATTCATGGATTAGTGTCATTCAAATTATTAGGAAGCGGTTTTCATTATCATTTTTAAGAAAGTAATGGCCACCATCAATTTTCTCAAAATTTGAAATTTTATCGACGAAAACGAATAATTTTGAATTTTCGTCGTCATACTGCAGAATTCCATTACAAATTTCAATGAATACACAAAAACAAATAATAAATAACTATAACGATTAATCAATCTTTGCCTCCCATTTAATCATAATCTCGACAGAGAATAAACAGAATTAAGCCTTCATTGACGCCTCGTCGACTATTTCATCGTAGATTTCGAGGTTTGAATTTCGAAAATAATTTAATATTAAGAAACGAAAAATTGTATCTTGTAGTAAAACATAGCCTCTCAGTTTATCATAATCTCGCCAGGGAGTAAACTGAAGCCATCATAGACGCCGCATTGACTGGACATGACCTGAAGACGTGCTGACAATCGCCCCCGGTGGTGCCTATACGAGCAGCATTTTTGTACGCAGTCAGGGCTGCGCTGTCCGACCGAATGCCTTCACCCGGGAACAGCTCGTTGAAAAATTTGTCACCGTGCCTGTCAAAGAGGAAAATTTGTGAAAAATCAAGGGATCGAAAAGATATTTTTTATATGAGAAGTTACTAGGTGGGAATAATTTTTTTCGCTAAATTACATATTATTTTTAGAATAATATTATCTCTTTTCCAGTTGTGTGGCTTAAAAAGGTTTCGCTGACAAAGTGCATATTATTTTCTATTTATTTTGTGCTGAGAACTCAATTAGAGATTCTTAGTCATGGAAATTTCAGAATTTCTGAGAGGTATGAATTCAATTCAACTTAAATCCAACTTGTTTCGATCTTAATTGAGAAACTCTGAATATTCAACCTGTGCATGGTTTATCACAAAATAATTGCACAAAATAACATAATTAAAAAACAAATCATTTCCAAAAGTAAATTTTCACGCGAAATTAATGACTATTTACTAAGTAACTTTTTGTCATATTTTACCACGCCTTAAAAACCAATTGATTCGTTTAAATTACAGGAGTGTTCAAGGTTTTTAAAGAAATTTCTAAATCCAGATAACGTACCAAACAAACTGCAGAATTTGCAATTCTTCAAATGTCAGTTGGCGATGCCGGATAGCCGAAAGTTCGCAGACCAATCTTGGTCCGCATCTTCTAATGTCGCTTTTGTAAATTGCCTGCACCATCCTTTCTTCTTCTGGCGTCTTTTGGTTCTGGCTTGATCTCGAAATTCGAGAAAAAACAGGTAGAAAGGAGTACAATAATGCACTCAAATTAGGGTACCAATCTAATTTGTTGCGCGACTTCGGCTCAGCGATTGGATCAGACGCCATCGTTGCTCCTTGCAGAATATTTTTTGCTCCTTTTCTCTTAAAAAATTTTACTGGAGACCAGTTTTCTCTATCAGCTGGCAAATTTTCAACAGATCTTGCTCGGCGAAAAGCCGGTCGCGAAGCACCCTCATTGCTATGCTTGAAACTTTTCTGTATCATATTCGAGAACCTCGCATAATCCGGGATATCTCCTCCATGACCAGCAGCTGGTATGTCATTGTTTCCGCTAAAATTTGAATCTTCATCCAATCGTTTGAAGCCTCCGTGTCCCCTAACCGAGTGTCCATGATACCCATGAGGTCTCCGATACCTGCCTCGTGGTCCTCCTCTAAATCTCGGACGAGGTCCAAAGTTGCGGTGAGGTCCTCCGTAGCCAAGAGGTCCTGTTGCAATCAGGGCTCCGAGTCCTATGAATCCTACCCAAATTAGTGAGCCCGTGTATAAGAGAGCCAGGCTTGATGCTGCAGCTACGTCAGCCATCGATCTAAAAAAGTAATTAGCGTGAATTAATAATTAAAATAACCTCAATTCTATACTTAAACCAATGCATGCGCCTACGAAGAAGATCATCATTTTATAAAACCTTTGTTATCTCCGAGAGATAGTAAGGCAAATTTAGCGCCCATCTGTAGCGCTCTGACCTCCGGCAACTAGAGATTAAAATCCTGATCTACACAGTGGCAGCATCACGCTATGTTCATTCCCAGCGACGCCGAAAAAGAAAGCGAACGGAAAGAAAGCGGGCGCTCCGAAGAAACTACAACTTCCTGTACTTCTTACTGTAATTAGTTTGGCAGTTCAGTGCCTTCTCTTCGCCAAGATGACTATTACGTGAAAGCTGTTACTTTAAGAGAGAGAAAGTCTGGTGACGAAATAATCTTAGGCAAGACTCACTGCCAGATAACACGCAACAAACTCAGGTGTTCAGTTTGATGGAGAAATTAACATCCGTGATACACTAATGGCTTGTTTTAATCAACTTAAACAGGCTATCACTAGGATACATTATACTTACGTGCCCAGTTCTCACTACTGATTGATAAATTTGATCATTATTGTCATGGTTTTTCTATTTCGATCAAGATGGCGCACATAAATTTTCTTTTTGGTCTATTGAACATGCTTCGTAGATTCAGGACGCATAATCATGATTTTATTGTTAGTGAAAAAAACAAGTCCTTGAGTCAGCATTCAAAAAATCAAATAACGATGGCGTCTACTTCTATCAAAGTTTTCATGCCATTAAGATACACTAAGAAAAATCAAGTTCATTTTAGGCCAATTTATTTTCTCAACAGTTTTTTCCAGGCTTGACTTTCAAGATCAGTATAATCTTCAGCTAATTTAAATCAAAACAAATTATCAAATCTGCAATCAAACATTCTATTATGAATTGTACTCACTTTTTGCGTAGGAAAATATTAGTTAACTGTCAGATGTAGACGAACCGTCAAGAAAATCATGTTTTCAATCAGTTTTGTTTTTTAACATAGGCTTCACGCACAAACATAAATTCACATTAAACCAGAAAACGGGACAACATTTCAAAAGATTTACTAATGTTTAATTGCGCAAGTAATAATTTTGTTTTTGATTCATTTTTCACGCGTTAATTTGCATTATTTTTCATGCTATTTTCTAATTTAGACACCAATTTGTTCATGATAATCTATCACCTGCAGGTATATTATTTAAAAATATTGTCGAATACATATCAACATAAAAATTTTGTGGAAATTTCTACAGTGAAAAATATTTTTATCTATAGCAAATCAACGTTGATTATTATTTTTTTAGTAAATATCATTTTAGATTACTAATTAATGAATCGCTGGAATAATTAAAAATTAATTCCTGTATCTTTGATTCGTGAATTTTTGAAACCTAATTCGTAACAAAACCATAAAGCATTTCTCTTCGAGTAATAATAATTTAGCGTCTTTATCGGGCCTAAAAAATACACATTTTTCTTTCCTCATTTAAACTCCATTCCAGAAATGAAACGAAAATCTGAAATTTACATATATGGAAAATGTTTAAGAAATAATTACTGCACACTGAAAAATTCTTTATTTGTGTAACAAAAAGTATTTCAACAACTGAAAACAGTGGTCGGGAGGCGTGGTGCTCTCCTGCCTTCCCAGCGTGAACACACTAACGTCGACTGGAGAGGTCGGGACCCCGAGGAGGTCTTATAAACAAAGTGAAGGGGATTTGTAGGTGATGCTGGACCCATCTCGGGGCCCGGAGTCATTATAACACTTACTTTATAGTCCGCAACATATTTATCAGATGCTGACTTAAGGATCTATGTAATATTGGGACATATATTTCATGCAAGGCAAAGTAGTCCATATTGCCAGGTCCTGGAACACTTCCGGGATGCTGTGAGGAGAGTCAACCTATGAACAATAAATACCATGTTCCAGTATGAGAGACTCTTTATGATTTATGAGACTTCAGCATTCATTATTTTCATAATAAAGCATCTTCTAAATTGTCATCACTCATTTATGCCAAGTGAACGACGAAAATTACTGGCCTCAGGGACATTTATACGATCGAATAAAATCAGCTCCAGTTGGACCAGCTTGGCTTATGTGCTTATTCTTTTTATTTTTTTTTTTGCTTCAGCGGTTACTGCATAAAATGCCTCGGCTTCAATCGGGCGAGGTTTTCTTCCGCATAGAATCTGCTTTGCCCGAGAATAAAGAAATGGAATATATTATCAGGGCTGATTCGTAGCTACGAAACAACAATGCTGGATTTTTTATATGGCACTTCTGAATGAGTCACTCGAATTTTGATGACAAGTTTTAATATTTCTAAAACTTGTAGAATCTTTTTCGATATTAATCTCATCATGCTTATGATGAGGATGACATACCATGTTTGATACAGGTTTTTGTAATCCATCATTTTGTGGAAGTTAATAGTCGAATTAATCGAAAGAAATAATTTAATATTTAATTGAAGCTTCAGATAGCAATTTTGTCGACGGTAGAATACTCATACACATTTACCTAGAGACTGACTCGAAAACATTACTTTATTAAAACATTGTAATTAAATTTCCCAAAAAATTCAATTTTTCTTGACTATCAGTAAGATAATTTCTAAAATAATTCCATTGTATGGAAGTAAATAAACACAAAATCACCGTCGAAAGCTTTTGCTTTGAATCACTGCTCTAAGTAATATAGAAACCTATGATATGAGGGTCTAAAATTATTATTTTCCCAGAGCTACTATTCCACGGGAACAAAAGAAAAAAAACATGATTGGATATCTCCCTGCATTAGGGTTACTTTCATTCTAGAAGACTTTTCGGAGGCAAAAACTCGCGTTCCCAAAGGCCCAGTCAAGGAACCTTTGAGAAATTATTAAGATGTTCTAAGGATCAGAATCTTTCAACTGGTCAGGTTCCTCTTACAGTTTCACTGGAAAAAAATGTACGAAAGCTTCACCGGTTGTTCCATTTGATAAAATTACGAAGGAGTGGAAGTTTTGTATTTAATTTTGAGAAATTCGCGTAAAGGCTTAAATAGAAAACCTATGTTCCAATCTGTATAGTGAACCTCAAGCATTTCTCATCCATACCGTTAGAGTTTCGTGGACCCGCGAGGATGCTGCTTGATTGGTACACAACCTTATGCAAAATCTTACAGTTTACTGGGGTTAATTGAATCTCGAGATAAATTCACCAGGGGATTGACTCCTCTTCTTCAAATGACCTTAAATTGCTGGGATACTTGCTGGGAGACTCGAGCTCTCTAAATCACTTATGCAGGTTCAATTCATAAAAGCACGCTGATTCCACCGTACATTAGCTAATACAGAACTTTATAAAATTGCGTTGTGTTCACTCAAAGTCCACTGCAACTAGCATCTAAAACATTAGTGAATCATCCTCGGAAATAATGCAAACCTAGAATGCGGAGCGGAAAACTCTTAGCGAAAAATGAATCTATATTACAATAAAAAATGATAAATATTGATCAATACAAATTAGTACTATTCCTTATCTAAACATTATTTTAATTTGAATACCAACATTTGCTTATTCAATGAAATGTGAACTCGTTGATGCGTTTTAATTTATTCGGTTTTTGCGGGTTAAAATCAATAAGTTCATCAAAGTTAGTTTAGTTTTACTAATCACAACATGAAATTCAGCCAACCTAAAACAATAGTTCACGGTTTTAATTTTGTTTGTAACCTTGAATAAATGATAGATCCAGTTTTCACCTATCATAAAAAACATGCGGTATAAAACAAAGAATTAATCGCTAATGAAATATTTTACCCCTGAATAGAACATGCACATGCAAGTATGTATGAAGAAATTTCAGTATGGATATAAATTACAGTACAAATGTAATATAATAATTTTGCACTGCAATCGGCATTGAGAATTTTTCTACTTATCATGCAGAAATAAAGAGTTTTAATATTTTTAATTCTTTGCATAAATTAAGATAATAATTAAACACGGCCCATAAGCAGCAAATAGTAGTTAGCTAATAAAAATAAATAAAAGTTAGCTAATAAAAAAATTAGTTAGCGTAGTTAGCTAATAAAAAAATTGAAACCTTTAATTTATCATCCTTGAAAATTGAAAACTAATATAATGAACATATCATCTCGAAGGACATCAACTATTATGCTATATACAACAAAGTGACATCAATTAAGTTGAGTAAAAACCAAGTGTCCAAGTGCAAACAATCCAAAATCTATATACAATTGCATGCTCACATCATCAAAAGCGGATGTGATTTCACCAGCATCCTCCACAGCTGTCTAGATGGTATCGTGCAATTTAAATGGAGTGCAAGGATGAATCGTACGAGTCATTAATTCAGTCAGAATAAAAATTTATTACCCGGTCGCTGTTTAAAAGCTTGTAGTGCTCTCTGTAGTATAACGTGTCCGGGTTTAATAATTAAACTACGCTGGTTTTGTATCTCTGAAAAAGATTCAAGAGATCTTGCCCAGAAAGAGGAAAGTTTTTCAATGTTTTAAGGTTTTTCTTCCTGTAGCTTTCAAATCTTGAGTTCGACTAATCACCCGCATGAAAATCAATTGATTTTATTTCGAAATGTTATGCGTCATATAATGGGCCCTTCGAAATGCTAGTCAATAGGAAATTTTCGTACTAATACAGTTGGTTGAGTAAAGTTTGTTGTGAAAATATATTAGGCATAAATAAATTGAACCCACTTATGATTTTTTGGGGGAAAATATTTATTAAGAAATATTAATAAAATTTAATTGTAAAAAAAATGAATATTAGTTAGAAAATGAACTTAAATTAAATCAAAATTATTAAACTCATATTTCTTCAAATAGAAAAAGCAAGCAAAGGAAATATTGGAAAATTTATAAATCTATTTAAATTTAACAGAATACAAATCGTCCCTTTTTTAAATTCGAACTAAGGTGTGCGTTTTGAGGTACAGAAAAACTGAAAATGTAAGAAAATAGATGGTTGGGCAACCATGAAGGCTCAAGATTACTACAATTCGCTATCAGCCTTTCCGCTCGTCCTGATCCAGCAAACGAAAGTCGGATGCCTGATTCCGAGCTTTAGGAACTCTGGCAAAAACTGGTCAAGTTGCGTTAGTCTTGTACATATGCGATGACCCGCCATGCTTTCTACACCGACTCATTTCACTGTCCTAGAATTTATGGACCACAGTTTGGGAACTCGGCCTAACCCAAACTGTTCCTACTACGCAATAAATGCCCATACAGTTCATTTACAGTATTATTAATGCCTCTCGATGAGAATGACATCACGAAGCATGTTTACCAATTGTTCATTTCCTATTGATTTTGCTTGTTTTTAGCAGACCTGTTGCTTCTGCTCAGTGGCGTTTCTTGAACTCTGTTAAGCATTTTTTTCTCCAGGAAGTATAAATTGAACGAGAAAGCAGTCTGAAATTGCTGGGTAAATGATAGAAATAATTGAAAGTCCTTCCGGTTGTTCTTGCATTTAAACTCAGTTAAGCTTTCTTCTTAATTTCATTCGCATAAATGCCGATGACTTCTATTTGAATTTTTCATGTATTTTCATTTTGAAAACATTTATACCACACAGCTGCGATGTGATTTACTTTCTAAAATACACCAAGGTTTATTTTCTGAATAATAATTTTCAATTAATATTGATGTTAATTGATGTTAAGTAAAATGCTTCCCATTCCGATGACCAAATATATTATTTGTCTTTACTGTACCACGAAATTAAACGAAATTGCGTTTAAAAATTACATTTTAAAGACAACACTTCTAAAGAGGCCAGTGTCTCCGATGTTACTAATGTACAATTAATTTCTTTTTTATTTATTTTAAAAATATAGAAAAAAATATATATTTTTAATTTTTTCTTATTCATAAATAAATAAATGTTTTTAAAATTATTATTCTGTCAATTGATTCACGCATTGTCTCTGGCTTCACGCAAATGTGCAAAATTTCAGGTCGATTGAACAGGTGGAAAAGTGTTAAATATCTATTATAAGATTTGTAGCAGACGAACAAACAAGACATGATGTTTAAGAGAAGTGTTGTAAAAGGTAACCGTTTATAATAGTTCGCGGTTGTTTAATTAAATTATTACTGAAGGAACTCTCCTTACCCCACTAGCAAGATTAGGGGGTCGATAAACGCCGCCTAAAATGATATAGGAATTCAGGGAATTTCCTGCACAAAAGTCGATTAGAAAGTGAGGACGCTATGTATGCGTAAAGATCAGCTATAACAGGCAACCCTATTGGTTTTAAATGCTTTAAATATATTGATATGTATAAAATATAATGGTTGTGTCTGCCTGAAGCCTAGCACTGAAAATAAAAAGAGGCTGATGGAACACGTATCCTCGATATTTATATAGAGTGATATTTTTAAGTGAGAAATTGTGCCGAATTTCCTTTGAGAATATGAGAATTGAAAAATTTATTTATAATTTTTTCATTTGCTACCGATAAAATTACAGAAAACTGGAAAGAGACTGGAGTTGAACGCAAGTTCTATACTAAATTTTATCTGAAACTTGACTTCTATAGTCACTGTATTTAAGTTTCAAAAGAATCATCTGTTTTCGGAGCGGGATGACTTAGGATAACTGTATTCAGGATTATAGGATTTGGGTTGACAGGATCTTGACAGGTTGACAATGGCTATCCAGATTAGCGCCGGGCTCACCTGTTAATACGCTACATGTTTTGGAATGAAAACTATACGCCAGTGGCGTCTGTCAGAACTCATATTACCGATAGACGACGACACAAAAAGACATTTTTATATTCGTGAACTAGAAAGTCATTGATTTTATTTCATAAAAATACACTGTCCCTCAAATTCTTTTCTAAAATTAATTGTTAACATTATGTTCAATAGGAGCTGACTGTAAGAAAATCCCGTAATAACTACCTCTGCTGGTAATTCTAAAAAATAACGATATTACGTGCATTTTCAACAAATCGTTATTATGTACTGGTTCACTTTTGAACCAGTTACACCGGTTATCAACGACTGATATGTAGAGAAGATAAAATAATTTCCAGCTCTTCCAGATTATTGTTTGTTTCCACTGGCAGAGGAAGTTTTTTCTCAAACTTTCACGCCGCACGACCCCTGATAATTTGAGACAGCAAGACGAGAGCTTGTAACTACGTTACGAGTTTGAGAAAATTGCTTATTAAGTGTGCTTTCGTTTCCTCTGCTTAGTCGACGCTTTCGTCAGTTTTGTTCTATCTGTCGAGACTTCCATCGTGTTTATAATGACCTCAGACGGGTTCATCTCTTCTCTAGGCATGCGGCTGAGCTACTTTCACCGAAATTTCTATAAGACGCGCCTCGTGCAACTTATTTCGAGCTTTAAGCGTGTAATCTGTCATATAAACCAATGGATTAAAAGGTTTGCCGTTTGTATATGTATATTTTCACAGAAATCATCATACCAAATATATTGCGCACTGTTGTGTAATTGGACAATCATATTGAAATCGTGTAATTGGACACTCAACGATATTGAACTACAATTATTCTGAAAATTAATTAAACAACATGTTTTTTCGTAGTGGTCGGCTCTTCATCGAGTGCATCAGGCGTTGACTGAAGTAACTTTGTATTTCCTTCTTCGGCGATTTTAATCATAGTTAAATTATTTTGTGAGTTAATTTTAATTTATTATATGGAGTATTATGTCACTAACTGCTATTTTCGGAAGTATAGATTTGACTTATGAGTGTGCATGATTTAATCAACCGTTTGCTGAAAATATTAGGTTACACCTTTTTCATTTTTTCATTGTTATTTCCAATATTTTAATAGTCATTGTTTAAATGATTAAATTGTTTAGATTCAAATTTTATTGGTTAGTAGACATAATAAATTAATATTCGGCATCGATAAAAAAAAAAACATACAAAACTAGGAAGGTATAGTTTTTGTGTAAATTTGTCTTGATAAAAAATCGTAAGTACAATTGTTCGACTGTTATTAGAATATTTTTCGAGAGAATCTGCATCCAAAAATCTTTGCGAAAAATTATTGAGCCATTGAAAAATAAATTCCGGTATTTGCTGGGAACTTACCTGTGATAACAACCTACGTATACAAATAGTATGAAAAAAACTATAAAATCTTTGCTGCAGTGATCTGGTGGAATTCAAGTAAAAGGAAGTCCAATCCCACTTGATTCAACTTTTGTCTGATATCATGGGTGCGACTGTACCGAAACTCGGTACGATTATAATGTAGGAAAATCATACAGCCGACAAAGGGTTAAAAGTAGGAAATGACTTCCACTTCGATCTAGTGTGAAGAAAAGACGAAAGGACGTAACTGGGGCTTGCATGTTTATCTCAAAAATTTGCACTTGGATAAAACACATGAAGGTGGCAACCATGCAATTTATCTCTTTACTTTTTTTTCAAGAAATTCCTGTTTCGCGAGCCAATTTCATTTTACTTTCTACGCGTTGTATACGAGCGGCTCCTCCCAGCCGCCTTTGTTGCTCAAAGTCGGCGTAAGGATAGTTTATATACCCAACTTTCTTATGTTTTTACGGACCTATATTCATATCAGTGACAAATCTTGAAACTACCAAAAATTAGTGAAAAGTATGATCGAGAGAATCGGTGGTGATAAGATGATAATTGGATACCTGGAAGAAAATCTGTAAGAACTAGTTTTTCAATGAATGAATGTAATACCTGTTACTACTCAAATAAACTTGCATATAATTTTTCTAATTTGGTTAAAGAAGCTACGCATCCGTGCTTGAATCAGCACGAAGAATTATGCTAGTACAAATTTTTCGAATGATCCGTGAATAATCCGTAGGTTTCCTATAACCTACTTGTGAGAAAAATCTTTTTGCTTAATATACCTGAGTGTAAAAACGTGTTTGGAAGATCGCAGAAAAGTATGGTCAACAGTTTATAAAAAAGTTTATGACAATAGAAGGGATTTGCACGTAGGCGGGTAAAATCCCGATAACATTTTGTAATTCGAGTTCAGTCAGAATAAAAAAGTCAATAACACATTTCTGTCTGATTTAATTTGCAAAACAAATTCGTTTTTCTGCCAATATGACAACAATTTAATGCTTTTCTGTTTCTGTAATACGTAATTACAAACACTTTTCTTTCATTCGAGTGACAGGTTAAGTTATGTCAACTTTCTAACAGTTAGCCTTCTCCCTTCGAGTAGATTGTTAGCACTGCACAATGGGTTTGCAATTTTCGTCTACAGAGAACCTTGAATAATCCGTAGAACCATTGTATGCCTATCGCGTACACGAGACGGTGATGTCGCTATTGAAACTCAATGAATTGCATCTATCCTTCTTTAATTGACAGTAATTAAATTAGGGTTCAAAAGGTTTTGAAATAATTGTTTGCAATTCTAAAATTTACTTTAAAATGAATGTAAAATATTATTAGTTTCCAATTAAAAAAAATTTACTAAAATCTGCACTAGGTGTCATGCAATGCATGTTTTAATGCTGACACGGCTGATTTGAATTTGTTTGATATTTGACCGTGTGTTTTTTGACGGTTATGAAAACTGTGTGAAATTCAAGAGGAACTGTGCAATTGAACTGAAATAAAAATTTTCATTGGTAATTATTTCGGAACGTCGACAAATTTTTCGTATTGGTAAGATTGGTCAACGTTCAGCATTAACTTAGGTGACACGTTCATATTAGGTGTATTAGTTAATATGTTATTAGTTAATAGGTATTAGAAGGGGTAATAGTTAATATGTTAGAAAGCGTACAGATTATGTCAGTAGAACTTTTACTGAAGTCCTGATGACCCGAGGCTTACTTTATTTGTGTGGACTGAATAAAAACTCTGCAAGATCGAGCTGGGATAAAAATGCTCATGGTAAGATCCATTTAGTTTAGATGTCCCATAGGTAAGGTGATAATTACGAGGACCGTAAATTCCGATGAAGTACACAAATGAAAGTATTTTACCGAAGGAAAGAACTTTATAGCCCCTGTGCCTGACAAGGAAAGTTTGTTAGCCGGATGTCCATGTAATTTTCTTCCAAACGTACGACTCATTGTTCGGCGACTGTCCAAAGGTTCCTAGCTCATAAAAAAATGTTACGAGATTTGAACGAAGTACCGAATCTAATTGCTGGACAAAATTGCGAACTTGGTTGTGAGTAAGCAAGATTTACATTTTAGGAGAAATGGTTAAAATTTTACTAAATAATCCGCAGTGAAATTATCATTGCTTTAGAAAATTGGATTCAACTTGCTATTTATCGAATTTAAACTAACATCGCACTTAATTCTAAAAATAATTCAAAATTTACTCTTCGTTTCGCCAAGCATTCTGTAATCAAACTTTTATAATTGATAGTAAAAAATGTAAAAAACCCTAATTAATTTCGAGAGCTTGCAAGACCGTGGTCCCGTTGCGGATAGGACAAAGAGGGTAACGGACATGGCAAAGTCTCCACTGATTAGAACCGATGTCGCGCGCCTCGCTGAACTGCTGCAGGGCTGCACTCCTGGGTTGATGGTAGCTTTCATGTTTCGTCCTGGAAAATAATTAGTTGATAGAAGTAGTAATAATTATTTGATAAAAGTAGTGATAATTAGTGGATAAAAATAGTAATAATTAGTAGATAAAAGTAGTAATAATTAGTAGACTAAATATGTTGAGTAATTTAAATTGGGTAACATGAAAGCTCAAGCAAATAAATGATAATTATAGAAAGGTTTGAAAATGAACGCAATAAATGCTTAGATTTATTATTATGAGAAACGCTAAGAAATTAGTAGGCTGGAGATTATTTGCCGTTTAATCCGTTTAATCAAATTGAATACTTCCAACTTGTATATCAATATTATATATTGAAGACAAAAGACCGATCTACTTATGATGCGACCTTTACGCATTGTGACATATAATACCGACAATATATAAAATTAAATATTAGTACATGATGATTTTATGCGCCAAGTAGAGAAATGAAGGATCACAATTTGGCACTTGGCATTTTTTTAGAAATATTCTGGAATTCACCAAGAAAAATCGCCATCGTATCATTGAAGTGTGAGTCTTGGTATGAATTACCCGAGAAGTGAAAGGAGCGCTTGCTGGTCGCCAGTTCTCCGGGCTCGCGGTATGCCCGCTATCTCACAGATCATCCTCTTTCCGCAGTCTGAAGAATCTCTGGCGAGCGCAATGTCCAAAAGTGCTTCAGCGAATGTCTCTGTCAGACCGTTGTCCACACGTCGGTTTTGGACGTGCCTAGGCTCTCGACTGAAAGAAATTAAATTATTTATTGTTGTAGTAAATATTTTTTGGCTATGAAACTTGAGATATAACTTTAGTCACTCGTGAAATCTAGAATTTCGGAAGAACTCAAATTCGGTGATTTAGAAATGAAATGAGTAGTAGAGGCAAAACTAGTAGTTTTGCATTATTTTTTTTTATTGATGCCAATTTTGATAAAATAACTTACTTTCGAGTTCTTAAATCGATCAATGCATTGCGTTATTTACAATAAATATAATGTTGAAATTTAATTTTCCTGTCAAGGCAATTTGGTTAAAAAAATACATACGAGGTGAAAATTTCCTTTCAATGCTTCAATTAAACTCTGACCTGCTTTCTTGAAATTCGCGAAAATGAGATCTCATTCCATCGTCGAAATCCGCGATTTCTTTCTGCTTCGAGCGGATGTTCGGTGCATCAAATCTGTTTCCATTCGTCTCCATCGGAGGAGGCGTTCGAAAGGAAGATGAGAATAGAAACTTTGACATTCCAGCAGTCATTGAATGTTTTGAATTATGATCAATACCTTTATTTCCCATTATACTATGAAGTGTTTTGGCTTTTGGTTGACCAAACCCAGTCGGAACAATACTATTTTTTCCATCATAGCTCTCGCTGACAGCATTTTGCACACTTGAGTACACTGGGAAATCTTGGCCAGGTTTGTGTTCGTCTGCGTGAACTTCAAATCTCATTGATGAATGGTGGCTGCCATGTTGGTTTGTGGGCATGTATGAATGATGATGCTGGGTACCTTCTCCTGTTGTTCCGTGATTATTTATAACGGGTCCTTTGTTGTGAGAACTTTCTTCGAAATGTTTATCGTAGCCTCCGCCTCCACCTTTAGGCTTCACGTTTCTATGCATGTGTCCAGCAGATTTGTATCCATATGATGGGGCTCGGTGATGACTGCCATGCAGCAATGCTCCAATTCCTGATGAAAAGCACATTAATTTTATTTGATACTACAATTTTCACACCATTCAATTGAAGAGCTGAAGAACTATTGAGTTAAGATTTTAATTCGATCATTGAATTTAAATTTCGCTGTAAACAACATTTATTACGACTCCGAACTGATCCAGAAATACAATTATTGTGTCATTGTTAGTGCACTTCAATTGGAAAATAAAAGAAAATTGAAGGAACAAAATAGCTTCATAGTATATTCAGTATTTATGTTCTAATAAAAATCTGATTTCCATGAGCGATGAAGTGTTGCCACTAATATATTTCTATAAGTGAGTGAGTCTGAGTTTCCCTCACTCGATAGAGCGATTCCATGAATATTTTATTGAATTTTATAATAGTTTAGGTTTTCTGGTGACGTTAAAAATATTTCATTTACCCTTTATCTAGTCAAATATTTCATGCTTAACAAAGCATTCCTTAAAATATTCTAATGCCTAAACAATAGGTAAGTTTTTCTCACCCAATAGAGCGGTCACCCCTGCTATCGTTGCTGGGGCGATGGTCCCTAGCGCCAGCAAGCTGCCCACACCTCCAATTGAGACTGACGTGGCCATTTAATATGATAGTATTTATTTGTTAAATATAATAATCTGATAATCTGGAAAATTATTTTGAGACGTTGAATAAAGAGGATGACTGATTTTTTCATAAATAGTGACCTAGTTCATCATTGCCGACTCTTTTCATTTCAACACAAAACTTTTAAATTAGCATGGAATTACTTCAAATTTTACAAGATACATATTAAATGAATTTCAAAAATTAGATTTCAATCAATCAGAATTTGTCGTTTTCTGAATATTTTTAATCAAGCACGCATTCATTCTAACGATCATATTTTTAAAAATCATTCGCGTACTATCAAAATATTTTAAGTCAACAGAAAAAACATCTATAGATCATCGTATATATCTATTGTCCCGAATGTAGATGTTTATGTTCTTCATTATACTGGGGATATTTGTTTGGCGCACGTTATGTTGATTCAAAAAATTGCTAAACTTTCACAATCTTGTAGACATAATGCTTAGCCTTCAAGAAAACTATATGTGCAATGGTAAAGCCTTGAACAAGAGCCAGCTCAATTTTCACACTTTTTCACATGTTGTCAAAAAAATAACGGTGTCACTGATAACACATAACCCCAGAATAATCCAATAAGAGCTGCAACACACTAACCACTTTTTCTAAAAAGAGAACATTCGTAATAGTTAATATGGTTTTGAATCTCTTCAACGAGCAATTAGTTTTGCGTATTCCTAGCAATCATCAATGCAAACCGCATTTCGTGGATCTTTGTGGGGACTGGCGAGCCCAACTGTCGTCCGTTATTCTTATACTCGTTGTCATCATTGCAGAAAAAAATGCAGCTCAACATCTGAAGGGGCGACGCTCTTCGGATAATCCGACCGCGGAGAAATTGCTGAATCACTGTCGTGTTCAGAAGATCTTCAATTATCATCTTTAAATAAAAATTAAAGCATCTGTGGCCAAATTTAAATTATATAATCATCATTGCCATTGCGTATATCGCAATTAATAAGCGGTAAAAATAGAAAATCAGATAATTAAAATCGTCATCGATTATAAAGAACAACTTTGATTTGTGACTCATGTACGCGCTTGAGAACTGCAGTAAATATGCTTGTGGCAACTACATTTTCTAGCCATATATCACTTCGGAAATGGGCTCATTAATGCACTGCAATTTCGTTCTCTGATCGATGCATCTTAGTTTCCTAATGTAATGTTTTGAAGTCCATCGTCTTTTTTCATGCGAGTTGAATCCCTCATTATAATCGAGTTCTTCATCCTCAACGCTGCTTTCACTCCGGTACTGAACTAGCGCGCCAGTAAGTTATGAGCATGACTGCTGTGTTTTCATGCTGGCAAACACAACAGTTGTGTGAAGTGTTAGTACGAAGTTCGTATTGCAGCATCTCTAGATTTTTTTGCATTCAAGTCGTAAAATAGTTTTTATACGACTGATGCCTCGCCTAGTTCGTCTTGCAGCATCTTCACATTTTTTAAGTTTAAATCGTAAATAGTTTTTATGCGATTGATGTCTCCCCTAGTTCGTCTTGCAGCATCTTCACATTTTTTTGCATTCAAGTCGTAAAATAGTTTTTATACGATTGATGCCTCGCCTAGTTCGTCTCGCAGCATCTTCACATTTTTTAAATTTAAATCGTACATAGTTTTTATGCGATTGATGTCTCCCCTAGTTCAGCTTGAAGCATCTTTATAGTTTTTCATTCAAATAATAAAGAAGTTTCTTTATAAGATTGACATCTTGAATCTCATGATTATAGGCAGAGTGCATAAGATTTCATAATGATGGTTGTTAAAGCAATTAAGCTCAACCCGATCAATAACTTAGAATTAGGAGCAATTTTTACGCACTAATAAGATGCTGTATATAGCTATGTACGGGAATTTACGTTCGGTTGAAACGATGAAAACTAATTTAAATTTGTTTTTAAGTTAGGAACCTGGGCAAAGATTAGGTGGCAGTACGTAAGTCGTCGGCAATCGGCTGATATAACAGTATTATCGGATATAAATATATTGACTAATTCTAAATACAGGTTAAACTGAAAAATTTCACCATTACGAAGAGGTCAATTAAATACTGAGAATTTTCTCAAGTATTTTCTACAAAAACATTACAAAAATATTGTTAAACAAGAGCTCGCGAAAAAACTTTTATGGTCACTCATACGGTATTTGGCGATGTAATACTGAGTAGTTGTTATTTTTACATTGATTTTAAGTTATAATAATAGAAACCTGCTTACAAACACTTCAGGATTAGTTTACTGCGGATTGTATTAGTGAAAATTATTGGGAATTAAATTTGAATTAGAATTAAATTTATATCCCCACACATTTTTTTGGTGCCATAGGCATAAAATTAATATGAATTTCATTTTTAAATTGTGTCATCCTGTTCTATCAAAAAAATTGAAAAATAATTTAATACATTTACATACATTATATTTATATTTTTTTTATATTTTCTGGCTTAATGACAATTAGGGCAACTGTGTAGAGGAAAAATCTTGATTGGTGCTAACATAATTTACAAAAGGAACATAAAAAATGATATTTTTCTGCAGATTTACTTTAATCTTAAGTTGAGTCGTAAAACATGGTGACGTTTTGTGCCTCATCCACAGGAATCCCTAAACTGAAACTAACAAAGCAAGATTTCCCTAAAGATTTCGGGTCCAGTATGTCCATCAGAGCGAAAACCGTAGAAGTGATACCGCCCACCAAGCCGACCAGCACGATGAAGTACAGCAGAATTCTCTCGTAGATCGGAATTTTTCTGCCGAAAACGAATAATTTTGGTTATTAATTTTCATGTAGCTGGCTAATACATTCGTAATGAAAATAGCATAAGTCTGGCATTGATATTGTCATTACGTTCAAAGAGAAAGAAAGGAATGATAAGCCAAGAAATAAATATCACTCGATAATAAGATCGCAAATGAATAGCTGAAGCGTTCGAAGATTGTACGGAGAAACAGACATACGAGCAAATTAATCATTTACCATGTCCAGACGGACAGAATTATTATTGCTATTGAATAACCCTTTTTCCGTCCAATAATAATGAGCTAATTCCGAGAAATGACATTTTCGACCTTCACCCCAATTTTTTCACCATAAAAGCAATGATGCTACATAGATTAGAATATCCCTATACTCACTTTTCTTCCCATTTTCCCTCCCCTTTCTGGTCCACCAGCCGTAAATACATGAGCGGAGGGAAGAGGAAGCTCAAGGAAGTGATTGTTGATCCTCCGAAAAGATTGAGTATTTTACCAAAGTCCGGAACTGCTAAGCAGACGAAAGTCACAAAGCAAACGACACAAGTACGCACCACGACCCGCTTCCAATTAAAACCTGGATTAAAATCGTAACATTAAATTAAGGATTTTGAGACGGGTAGTTTCTGCACATTTATGCGAGAAAGTAATTTTTAACATATCATACAAGCGAATCGAAACGTAGAATTAAAACTATATTGAATATGTAAACTGTGCTAGATTTCTTTGTATTAGTCATTAGATTACGAATGAGAAAAAAAGTAGTATTAAATTCTGCAGAGAAATATAAATATCCGTCTGTAGAGAAATGAAAATAACTTAAGCTGTTCAAAGTATTATTAAAAGAAAAATTCAAAATTAATACTTACTGTTGGGAACTTTTAAGATTTCTTCGAACGCCTGGTCGATGGGATTCATACAGATGACGTAGGTGCAGAGCAGGTTCACTATCACAAATACTATGGCAAAAATTACCGGTATTCCTTCAGTTACCCCCAGAATAATGTTGTCGGGAACCTGGTCTCCGAGAATAGCGTATCCAGTCACACCGATCGGCAGGTACAGCACCAAAATTACTGAAAAATTCAGTCAGGCGGTCAGTAACTATTAGCTAAGTCATGACTGATGTAAATTATTGAGGAAGTTTAATTGAATTAACTATCAACTAAGTTTAATTAATGAATACATAAGAATTTAATTAACAAAAACGCTGTTTCAAACTGTAGGATTGGATTTTGCTATGTTTATCTTTGATTATATTTTATTGCAAATTCGTCTCTACAAAACATGAGAAATGCGCACTTTTAGTGGATATGAACTTAGATTTGATCGACCAACAATTTCAAACTCATTTTCATGAACAGAGAAATTTATTTACGCGTAAACTTCGCTTAACAATCATTATTCTTGTATACTCAACTATTAAAAATTGTGTGCGCATTAGAAAGGTACATTAACATTAGCTGGTCCCCAAACTATTTACTTCAGTTCAGAAAGCCAGAAATAATTGTGTCCTCTCTCTTCTTCGCATCTCCAGAAAGTAGAAATTCAAAGGATATTTTTAAGAAATTTCGTCGTCAGCGTCTATATTCTGACTGTCAGGGTAAATTGAAATTTTTCAAATTGCACGATAAATTGCATAAAGCAAAAGCCCCTCCGTACCAAAACACTTACCTGAAAATGCCACTATGACGCTTTTCCACCAGTCTCTTCTGTCCTCCATGTCGTTTTGAAGCGTTGGGAAAGCCGATGCCCCTCCAAACGCGAATAAAATTGCGCTGAATCCCAAAGAAAAACTTATGAAGGTTGGTGCGCCGTAGCTCGGGTCGGGGTGAAGGGGCTGGTCACAGATCAGCTGTACGATAATAATTACGATCGCCAGTGATGTAGAGACGACTGCAAGAATTGATGCCTGCCTGTGACAAGAGAACCTTAATGGGACGCGGATAGAAGAACCTTATTTTGATAACGCAAAGAGAAGAATTGTTGATTTTTTACATTTACGGAGAAGTTTAAATTTTGAATACTATTGGGAATCTTTGTTTCCAATATTTGGGATTGTGGAATCTTGAACATGAGTGAGTATCAATTTGAAATACACACGCGAAATAAAAGTGAGTGCAACGAGGGGATTCTGTAAACTAAGTTTGATAAAATGTAAACGGACGTGTCTCAAGGCTGAAAGTGACATAACGCGACAAAGCATTTAAGTGATAGTTAAATTTTGATTGCGAGCAGGTATAAGGTGTGATGATGTACTACTATATAGGAACTTTATTTCCTACAAATTCAGCATGTTTTCATATTTAAGCTGTTTTTTAATTTGCCTTTATTAGAAAATAGTTTAAAAAACAAAGTAAAACTAATTCAATAATAAAACGAAAGAAAGACATAAGAAAAACAGTTTTTAATTTCATGCTCTTCATATAACCCATATTCAGTTATATTTTATGTAAAATTGGCAATATATATTATCGCTTAATTGCCGTTACATGCCTACATTCCTTCGATATATTTTTCACGATAATAATTAATAAATCTCTAAACTGTTTCCGTTGAAGGAAATTACTTCATAAAGCATTGGAGGCTTTAAGTGGACAATAAATGGGAGTATAGAATTCATTAGACGTTTGCTTCATCAGGGAATTTTCTTCTGTTCTTCTGTTAATTAAAACTATTCTAAATATTCCAATAAAACTTCCAAGGTTTGAGTAATTCGAATGGTAATAAAAAGTAATTTTATCTTATTGGTATTCCACCGTGCAATGATGAATGAAAATTATGTATTGATTTTTGAACTAGAAATACGGAATTTTAGGTAAAAATATACAAAAGTTGAGGTACGCTTGAAGATTCGCAAAAAGTTTTAATGTTGTCGGTGCAAGTAGATATACTGAAAGTTCGAAATGCTAAGTACAGAGAAGTTTTACTACTAATTTTTCTCATACCTTGAAATTAAATTTTAAGGCTTTTTTCTCAAGCCTGAAGCTCTAACCAAGTTCTTAGAAAATCAGCCCACTGAATTTGGTTTGCTAAATTCTCAATTACAACGGCGTACATCCACATTTATTTCTTTACTTAAATTCAGCTTGATGAAATTGGTTTATAAAGTTAAATAAGTTGCCCACCATCGATACATAATGCATCAAATCTGGTGCGTCCTTAAGGGCTGAGCTCAGACTGTCCCATATGTTAAAAAATAATAAATTAAAATACGACTTTTGGCATAGGAACACCAAATTTTATTATAGTTTCAGGAAAACGTACCAAAAGTCTTTAGGAGATTCCAGGAAAGTAGCAGGGCAGACGGTGACCGAGATAATAATGATCCAGGTGCAGATGCTCACGCTAGTCACCAGGCTGTTCATCATTCCTGCGATGAGGAGAGTGAAGGCGATGCCGTAGCCCATAAGCGTGGCAATCACACACCCAAAACAGAATTTTCTGCAACAAAAAATTGAAATCACATTTTTCGTCACTCAAAAATTACATTATTTGTAATTTTTTCCTTGCAATTTTCAGTAGGCTTTTCTTTTATGCAGCAAAAGTGTAGCTGTGACGAAATCAGGAATGAGATACAATAGGAATTGACCGACACAGAGACTTCTCTGCACCAAGAAAATAACAGCAAGTAAGTTTCCTAACGAATTCCTAACGAATTCCCAGCCAAATAAAATCCTGAGCCGAATAATTAAATGAATATCTGAAAAATTTACCCGAATCGGATGCAATAATGCGGCCTAACTAATATTTTTTCATTCGTTCGTATGGGTGATTTTGACATTAGAAGCTATTAATTTGCAGGTCAACTTTGCAAATGTTTACTTGTTACTGCCAATATTTACTAAATACGATAATTATCTCCAAACAATTCCTCCTTCACCGCCACGACTAAATTTCAAATTAGAATAAAAACGAGGGAGCCGTCGCTTCTTTTTTACAAGAATCCCAATAACTCAAATCAAATTGTGGGCTTGATGATGAAAGAAGCCGTCATTGCAGCGACCCTGTTAGATAGGCGTGATTATTTTTTATCATATCCAAATTCATTCACCATAATAGCCGTTGAGCCTGGAAATGCGACTTGTACATAGCAATAAAAATTGCTGGAAATGTATTAACAACCCGGTATATATTATTTTGTCGCTTTTGTACACTGTTGTTGTAATTCCTTATTTTGTATCGTCCTTCCTTACAAGAATTCCAGTAAATTTAATTATACCATATCGAAATTCGTACACCACTATTCAATCAACATCACGATAATGAGAAAATTCTAACCTAAATCGACTACTTACTAATCAAGTTTGGTTAAAAACTTCCTAATCCTAAATCTATTATTTTCTTATAATGATGAAATAAAATAAGAATAAATATCACAAATGGATCTCATCACCTCCCTATAAGCCCAAAAGCCTTCTCTGCGATGTCCATGTAAGGCTGCCGCACAGGCCGTCGCAGCTCAGGCCAGCGCTCCTCCAGTATGACCCACGCCTTGCCCAGACGTGTCGCGGCGAACCCAACCAGCAAGCAGAAGAGCAAGATCATCGTTACGCCGCCCCAGCCTGTCGAAATTATGATTTATTTTAACGTAGTACATGAAAAAAATATTAAATCTATGGTACAGGTATAGCGGCCAGGGACACAATTAAAGCAGCCTAAAGTTAGTACACGTAGCTGCCTAAATACTTGGAGCGTCCAATTTCACGTATAGATATGATCAGTGGGTTTTTGATAGTACGGCCCCTGGTTAACGCATGAGGGATAATTGAATCCTAATCATTGCAGTGTCACTTTTCGCCAACTAACGAAGCGTTATTTAAAACATTTTTTTTAAACGTGATGAGTACTCAAGATATCCAAATACACGGACTTAATTATTTCTTAATAGCAAAATTGCAAAATTGGAGAAAAATTTGTTCGAGCTAACAAAACTCAATTCCAAAATGCCTTAAACCAGCAAAATACGGAAAACACAATCACGCCCATACAATGAAAATCCCGAAACAATTTTATAACAAACTTCAGCCAGTTTAAAACTGTGTATAAAAAGCTACTCAAACCACGCACCTGAGTTAGCAAGAGCTTTTGGCAGAGCCAAGAACCCGACGCCTGTCATCTGCGCGATGATGAAATAAGAAGTTTTGAGGTAACCAAGACCCCTGACACGCCCCCCATGCCCCGCAGGTCCAGGTTCATCGGTAATTTTCAGACCATCAACTTCGACTTCCTTCTTTGCATCTCCAGGCGTACCTGCCACAGGGCTGTAAACCACAGAATCCATGAGGTTTTTCCGTAATTAAATCTGATCAGAATTCAATGTTTTGTTGTCTGTTTTACGCGTATGCGTGGCCCAAGGTTCGTAGCTATATTTCTGTTGAAGTTTCGATGATTTTCTGTCAAAGCTCCTCCGTTTTCGGATTTTCAAGTTAAAGGCAGTATCGTAATTTGAATTTTAATGAACTACTTATTAATATGCTGGAAAAAACGTTAGAAGCTTTGAGGCCTTTCGAAATCGATCTTTTATGTTTCCATGGTTGAGAAAACTCATATCCTCAGGTCTCTCCGTACTTTCATTATTTTCGCTTCAAAATAAAATTTTTTTATTACTTAAATCTCTGCTAAATTTTATAACAAAAACTGCGAACAAAGTTTTTTACTATCGAAATGTCATTAATTGTTAAATAACCTGCACATGAAATGAAAATATTTTTTAGATAAAATATTTTCTGAAGATTACATTTCAAAATAAAACGCATTACAAATAAAGCTGGAGAAGTAGAGTTAGGTGTACATATTAACTCTAATAAGAAATTTCTAGAAACTGAAGGCACGGAATCATGAACCTTTTAAGGCCTGCTCTTAGCATGTCAAAAAATATGATAAAACCTACTATAAATATTTATTACAGATACAGGAATTAAAATGAGAAAACTCAGCTTAGAGAAAACTCTTTGAAGAGTGGAAAATCATCTTCATGTAAACTCAATAAGAAGCGACAAAAGAAGTAATATGCGACGAGCCGTAAAAATCGAGATGTTGCTACAAGAACATATGCAACTTATATGCGGCATAACTTAGTACTAATATTTTTTAATTTAACTTTTGATATATAATTTAGGAATTATTTTTGTATTTTAATTTTTAATAATATTATTTTTTGCATGTCTGTTAGCACGTTAATAATCAAGTCTCTCTACGCGGACATCGAGGAGCAAGGTTTCAATAACCAACAGAACAGAGGAAAGAAAATTTTACCAGAGTAACTGAAATTCTAGGGCAAGCAGTGCACGACATTCAAACTTTATTATATACTATTCGTGTCTCGTTTATATACATAAACGAAATATAATACTCGTGTCTGGTAATTTCGGATCAACGACTTTAATATTTTGCTCACACTGGTATAACAAGTAATGTATTAAAGTACTCCACAACTATTATGTAGTATAATACACGTTGTGAACCCGGATATGAATACCAAAAAAAAAAAAATTTTTTTCTTAAAAATGATGATTAGGCTCAAGGGAAACTTTCGTACTCAATAGTATCGATACACAATTTACGAACAAAAGAATTTCTGAAAAATAGTTAAATTTCTTCGTTCTTCGCGTGACTTAAAGAAACTGATTTTCACCGAGAAAAGGAGTTTCTGACTATGCCGATATCAAGTGTACACGGCAGATTGCCATTCGTTGCCTTGCATGACAGTTACGAAGTAGTATCTGTGGAAGTAGAAGTAGTATCTACAGGTTCACACTACACGCTCCAGAACGGTAGCACCTATTTTTCACAAATAATTCAAATGAATATATTCATACATGCAGAGCACTTCAGTAACGCTCCTAGTTTCCTAGGGAGTGTCTCGCACTGAAGCGCTCAACTCACAAGCGATGTGGTCACTAGAAAACGTCGACTCTGAGGTTATTTTAGAGCTCCTCTAAAATTAGACCTTCTACCTCCTGTGAGCATGGCGGGTGAATCTCTTCCGCTCTTAATTCGACGGCGGGGTTAAATTTACACTGAAACTTGTCAAATATATTTATTATTTAACCTGCCACCTTGCAAACGCACAACCTAGAATATATGGATGTCACACTATTTAGCAATCATCAAACAAAATTAGACCCAAAGCCATCTGTGCTCATGGCTGTCGAATATTTTCCGCTGTCAATTTGACGGCTTGGAAAAATTTGCCCTGAAAATTTTTATATCTATTTTTAAATATCAATTAATAACCCTGCCATCTTGCAAACGCACCACCAAGAAAATATAAATTTATTATGAATAGGGTTATCCAATAATTGGCTTATGAGATCAAAGTAACTGCAGTTATTTAAATTCTAACTGAATAAAATGAGTTAACTTAGAACTACGTTTTCTCACCATATTCGAATTTCTCACCATATACAAGAATTTTTCATGTCAACTGAGAATTTAGATTGCCACAAATGGTGTTCAAAGCCGCTATATTGGTGAGATATTTGCTGAAAACATGAACACTCTGTCAGTCAGTTATAACCATAAACTTAAGGTGTCAAGTCTCCAAATATATTTTGCCTGCCTTTATTTTATCGCTAGCGCGATTCAGGTCAATGTTTCAGCGGTTGTGTTTGAAATAATGTGGCATGATGCTTTAATATTTTTGGAAGAAAACATTAAGCCCAACGATTTTACTTCTCTGTTTCTTACCGGATAGAGGCTTAAGAAGCAAGTTGTCATAGATATTAAATAAATCAGACAAAAATTTGTTTTAAGTATTGAATATTAATAGCATGGTCATAAAATTTAAATTTGGTCCGATAGCACTCCAGTCTAATCTGAAAGAATAAGAAAAACTTCGGAAAATTATATTTTTTGTAACAAACAAAAGCGTATACTAGATTGCAAGTTTTGGAATGTGCTTAGTTCCAATTTATATAAGGCAAAAGTTAACGAATGGCTTACAGTCTTGTTTTTGTTTAAATTTTATTTTCAATAATTTAAAGTTTTATTGACATTATACAGTCAGATTTGCTTCTCAAGCGCTATTTTGCGAGATGAGGTGTCAAGCTCAACTGTTTATGAGACACGACTTGCATATCTAAGCGTCGCCTCATTTTCTATGACGTGAATACCAGTTGTATTTACATAATTGTTATAGCTTACAAATTGCATTGAAATTACAACACCAATTGAATTTCAATAACATTCTCTTGCCTTTTCCTTGCCTCATATTAGATTAGTCATGATTATTAATTAATGTGAATTCTATAATCGCCTTCTTCTGCTAAATAGAACTACGACGCCTGAACTCTGATTTCGATTAATTTTTGAGCGCGTTGAAGCAGTAACGTGTTAACATCGCTAGTCCTCCTAACTAATTTTGATACTAAATTTTATCGCGACTAAATGCATTGCTTGCATTAACATTTTTCTGTTATTTTCATTCTAAATTAATAGCGCTGATCCTTACCTTTGAACAAGAGCCTTGGCGGACAAAAATGACTGTTTCTGCTCGTCGTTCGATTCCATGTTTCCAAGATTCACTGAATGCACTACAGCCGTAATTAATTTTTTATTTAAATAGCTAGTTTATTTCGATCATTACATTACTATAATTTGAACTCCGTAAATATATTATCCACTTTAATTAATTGAACGGTTTTTATTAAATAATGTTTACTAATTTGTCCAATGCTGACGGAAAGAGATAAATAGGATTATGTATGTCACGATAAATAAGATTATGTATAAATATTTCGTCGTACATTAAATTCGCCAAATACTCAATACTATTAATATAAAAATATTGATATGTATGGTTATTTTATAGTATAAAAGATCGTTTTACACTAAATATCATATACGAATAAACTGACCCCCTAGCTCGCACCAATTAACAGTAATTACATTATGTCTTTGTCGATGATGCACAATCTACACGTCAGCCGCCTCGGTTTTTATACAAGTGACAGGCACGCCCGGCTCAAAAATAGAAGCAATTTTCTAAGGTAGGTCGCGCACATAGGAGAGGCAATTATTTTTCGAAGTTTAAGATTTATTCGATGAGATTTATTCACAATTTTGATTCTGTAACTAATATTTTCTTCTCTAACGTTGTCTTAAATACGACTCTTGTTTATCAATCATTGCATGCGCCTGTTGAGTTTGGAATAATTTTCACTGCATTTTCATTTTCTATGCGTTTAATAAATTTTAGGGAATAAGGTCACACAAAATACAAAGGAAGTAAGTATAAATGAGACTATATGTTAAATCGTTGATCATATATTTTTCAGCATTCTAATTGGCTTCGGAGTCAATTGAACTTTAACCATTAAGGTGACATTCCTCTCGGCCATATATTTAGCTTAGTCGTGCATTTATGTCTACCAAAGTAATAAGTTATTGTAGATTTGTAAGGAACTACACTGTAAGTAATCAAATCACACAGAATAATCATAAAATAATGCACCAAATATATGCTAATGGATATCTTTATTCCAACATGATACCAGGGAAACAGCGGCACCAACACTGAGTGTCTTGCAGAGAAGCTGCGTTCTCAGATATTTTTTAACGTACCATGCATAACCACCACGCCTGCGCCAATAAAACAGATAAGATTCCTCATGCAACAGAGTCCCGTCTGTTAGCTTTACAAGGGTTCGTCTTATATTTCGTCGTGGATGAAGCACCTTTGATACGATCAGTACAAGCTTCATGCAGAAGCCTGTAACATCATATTTAAATATAAGTTCCTGTAATATCATATTTAAATATGAGCCCCTGAGGACACAAGTTATTCCCGCCTCAGCTGCTCCTCATAAGCCCTCTTGAAAACGACGATCGGAATAGCTTATCACTGAGCCCATAATCTAGTATGCTGTATTGCTCCGGATTCTAGGCAATGGTAAAACTCGATCTGTCTTTTGTATAAATATCCGTACTAATGTATATTTAAAATTGCTATATTTTTTATTCATTTAATTTTTAAATATTTATTGCCCATAGACAATTTACTTATTAATTACTGTGCATGAGAACTTTAAAAAATCACGTCCAGATATAAACATTGCACCACAAAACGTGATGAGTAACTCAATTCATGTTATAATAACCCGTAAACCTGTATTAAAACCCCTGGCTCCTGGATTAACTTATGTAACACATCACATGAAGCTCTATAACCAATAATTAACCCTTAAAGATAATTTCAAGGGTTATAGTTCCTTAAATTACTTCTAGACGCTTGCAATAATTAATTGTAAAACTAACTTTGCCGGTTGAAATAATGGTAAGACAGGCGTGTATTACAACACAGCATCGTTGCGCTGTTTTCGAGACTAAGGGTGTAACTATAATAAATAGATGGTTAGGCATGAAACTGTTAGGCATGAAACTGTATGGCATGAAACTGTACGGCATGAAACGGTTAGGCCTGAATCGGTAGGACATGAATCGGTAAGGCATGAATCAGTTAGGCCGTATAAACTAAAAGGGGCTGAGATTTCATTGCCTTATCATAGGAAAAAAGATGAATAGACGCTGCGTATGACCATAAGATATAGGATATTCAATGAACAAATGAGCAATAAAACTAAATATCATTTTGTTAACGAGAAAATTACAATGATTTCTAAGAAATTTCCACCGTCTTTCATGTTTAACGTTTATGGAAGGAATTATTCTTCATATTCCGAACATGAAATTCTCATTTGGCTTAAATGTGTTGCTGGTGAACATAATGTTAATGATGATGTTAATGATGTTGATGCTAAATGTTAATGATAATGTTAATGATGATAATGATAGTGAATATTGGCTGTGAAAGTTAATAAAAAAAAGTTAACCAACAGTTAAATAAAATAAAGTTAACCAACATGAAATCATGTAATTAAGTGGTAATTATTTAAATGTAAGTATTACTTCAGCAGTAATTATTCAAGTGAAGAATTATTGAAATCCAAATATTTTGTAACTGGCTTGAATGAGTACGAGCACTTTACACCAGCAGAAAAAAATAAAATTGTGGCTGCAATTTTATAGATTACGGTTTGAAAAGTAAATACAGTATAATCCTCCTGTTTTGTAATTATGAGAATTTAGAGGGAAAAGTATCAGAGAAGTTTGTAGGAGTTACGCTATTATATCGGTGCAGCAAACAACATCATTCATTGATCAAAAATAAACAACTAACTAAGTTAAATTAAATTATATAAGACACATGTTACTAGGAGGGTTATGTGATTAATTTTTTTTAAATTCAATCAAAATAATAATGTCGTATTCCTACACATTATAATACCAATGGGCATTTTTTTCTTATTTCAATTTATCAGAAAGCTTGCTGGTCCCGACCTGCTGTGTCAAACACTACTTGTCCAAATAGCACGGCACTTGTTGCGCTTATGTGGGTCACCCTGACCCAGTTTGTCCTTTATTTGTCTGTGCTTGCGGTATGGGCAAGAAAGTGTGTCACAATTTGGACGATACGAAACAATAACTTTTCTGAGTGTGCAATAATACGTCTTCTACGAAGAACGGAAGAGTGCGGGACACGTGGAAGAAAGTACATCGCAATATGGACATTATGACGCAGTAATTTTTTCAAGGTTTTCCATAATACGCATTCTACGAACAACGTAGGAGTGCGGGACTCGTGGAAGAAAGTACATCACAATATGGACAATGCGACGCTCTAATTTTTCTGGTTGTGCCATAATGCGACGACCGTACGCGCACGTGGTCTCCTCGGTACGCACTGACGAGGACGACTACGTGGCGGTGCGTGCGTGTAGCGTGCAACAACATACGCTGTTGCTTCGGCTACGAGAAAAATGATTTCTTCTATGATTGTGATAGATTCTTAGGTAATTAAAGAATTGCATAAGCAATAATTTTGGATATCCCTCATATTAAAAAAAGATCGTTTATCTAGGGCATAGTTACGTTTGTATAATGTTTACAGTACAGAAGAAAAACAGAAAACAGCTCTTGACGACACCGGCGCCAAGGCTCTTCATCGATCCGTTATACGCACCTCACAGCACTGCTCTCTTTAGCGCAATATACATATATCAATGTACTATATATCCATGTATATCAATGGTAAGGATTTAAAAAAAATTTATATGGAGAAATTAAGATAATTCAACTTCAAAGGAAACTGACACGTGTTTTGCGTAAACGTTATGGAGAAAACTTTACGGTTTAAACTTTATGGTTTATGCGAGAAATGTTGTATGTGCAAGTAAAGAAATAAAAAAAATAGGTGCCCATCTCAAATAAGGTTCGAATCTCAATGAATCAAATGAAAAAATATAATATTAAACCGGAGCATAAAATCTATTAGATTGGGATCACATTGCATGAGGTAAAATCGGAACACAATTTTTCATCTCGTATATTTACATAAGAATTAATTTTAAAAATTAACGTTAAGAAGGCTGCAAAAGAAATATGGGCACCAAAGTACTGCGCAACTTTACTTTGCATATTTCACTTGATTTATAACTAATTCTGTCACTGAACAATAAACATCCACATACCCGAAACAGACATAATCTTAAATGGAAAAATAATTCGATCCGGCCGTGTCCGGGTTTTACATTTGCGTTCTTGCTTGGGTCAAAGTTCATTCTTCTACTAACGTAAATTAAAGATCAATGTCGTAGCTTATTGGCAGCAAGGAATGATATTCAAATGCCAATTTTTATCCCTCATATTACTTTCGAAGAGTAGACTCATATTTTAAAAATTTATGCCAACTTTTAATTATAATTTGATGCAGATGGTTTTTGTAATAATTAACTGCTTGAAAATTTTTCTTAAATGGAATCTTTTTCCAAACAAGTGCCTTATTTTTGCTCAATAGATATTTCTCAGATCAGATATTTTGCCTTTTTGGTTCATGAAATTATTAACAAGGAATAGATATATCTAAAGAAATGAACACTGATGATCTCCGAATCACAAACTTACGATATTGAAATTATTTAAATGGGTCATTGATTGAAAAGTTGCTGTTCACATTATTTGTCAAATGCCTTTAAAGGAATTCAAGTTTATTTCCCCACGAATGGTAATTCATTTAAACATGCATTTTTGTACTTCCTCAGATACCAAATAAATAAAAAGTTTCAAATATAGAATAGATTATAGACTCTAGTTTAATTATCACATTTTTATAATATGGGGAAAACATTCCCGCGTTCACAATGCCTGCTCCACCGCGGCCCGCGCCGTTATCAGCTAATCAATTTCCGAGTGGTAGTCCTTTGTCCGGCGAACATGTTGTGGTTATCTCTATCTTCAGTTGATAGCACACGGCAATTATCTACACATGGTTTTTTTAATCATAATAGTAAAAAATGTCAATGAACATTTAGTTCCTACGGGAAACGTGAACAGCAGAACAAAAATAACTAAGGCTTTGACTCCTGTACCCAATAAAATATTTGCATGTGAATGAATAATGAATTTGTTGCTTCCAAAACGTGATATCAAGTTATACATGATAGTATTTCAATAAAACAATGCACATCTTGTAGGAACAATTCGTTAGAAAAGCATTGGCCCAGGAATTGTAGGAATCATTTGTATTATCAAAAATAAGATGGTAAGCCATCCAATTTTATTCTTTGATAAACTACTAGAAAAACGATAAAGAAGCATAAACTAAAATAAAATAATGCTCGTCCGTGGACCAGTTGCCGGCGGCCACTTAGCCCCTCATTTGTTATTCACAATCGGATGAAAAGTTAATCCGTTAATATTTAATTACCGTGAAACTGGCACAACACCGTTGATGAACCTGAAAAAATATTATTTGCTTCTCTTTTTGGTAGTTAGAATGAAATTTATTAATCCTTCAAAAAGGCTTCCATCCCCATTGACCGTTCTACCCACGCTGTTACCTAGATATTGTATCCTCGATCTCCCCATGAAAAAAATATAGTGAGGTAGCCTCAACTGATTTAAAAATTTATAACTGTGTGAATATAACGTTGATACTTGACATTTGCTTTAGACTAGCTTAACACACTTAAAAATGGGCTTGCCGATTGGCCATATACATTTCTTTTCGTATAACCGAAAGACAGAAAAAAATATCTGACGCTAAGTACAGATTGAAGAAAAATAACATATGAAACTAACATAATGAATCTATGATAAGCAAATAGCGTATGTAATGTAAATACTGAGATGAATATCACTTCTCTACGCAGGATTCTTTTTATAGTTAAAAGAGGAATTTAGGAATAGAAGTTACGCAGCGGTATGCCGAATAAGGACAGACAGGTAAGCTCATCTTCGTGATTTTAACGTCATCGCAGCACACTTGTATAGGCTCACAGTTTTGCTTTCGATGTTTTCCTCGAGTGAACTGCTGTGATTAGATAAAAAATTTCTGACTCCAATATTATATGCAGAAACATTAATAAAATGATTAAAATATCATCTGCAAATGCTACTGGACTATAATTGTGGAATGGTATATGTTTAAGAACTTCTGTAATATAGTTTCTTCGGAATAAGAAAAATACGGTCTAGAGGTAAATTTAATTAAGCGAAGTTGCAGAAAATGCAGTAATTTTTATGTCCAATAGAAGCCCATTTAAGGTATTTACAGCAGTTATAGTATTTCAGAGGAACAAAGTACAATATAAATAACGTCAAAACATTATAGGAGGCATGCACAATAAATGGTTCTCTTCAGCAAAAATTAACTTGATGAATAAATTTTACGGAGTTTTTTTTTTTATATTATGGTCGTAGGGCGTTAATGCATCGCTTATCAATTTTATAAATAAATTTTTTATTTAATGTGAATCAACGCATATGGGACCAGAATGTTCATTATTTATTATTCGGAGAACATAGGCTGGAATTCACACAAATTTCATATATGAAGTTACTAATTCTGCTCGTTTCACTTGCTTGGGTTACCAGTAGAAATACGATGATTTAACTTTCCATATGGCCTCCACGTTTAAAGTTTCGACGGATATTAAATGATTCAAAAATATGTTGAGCATCTGCTAAAATTTCCACTTAGATTCTTATGTGCTAGATTCCTATAAAACTATCCATAAACGAACAAAACTGTATAAATTTAAGTAATACTTAGGATTAAAAATCAAAGTTTATCGTACTTCTACTTCATCACTCGTGAACACAGTTTACTTGGCCACTCAGACTAACTCATACATTGTTCATAGCTACGATAGGAAACCAAGAAACAAATGTAATTATTTATTTTAAGTTAAAGAACTGTCCGCCACATAATTATCATAGGATTGCATAAAATATGCAAGTACGACTTGATTTCATATGCAGAGTAATACAATTACAGTTTATCTAAAAAATTTATTTGAACACTGAAACTTAAATTATTATTGTTAATAATTTCATTAGTTTACGGAGCAACTACCCGAAAATAATCAATCAATTGAATCCGTTAGAGAAATTCTTCGTCAACCCTATCAATTTATACTAAAATTATCTGTAATTTTTCAATCAATAAGAGGGACCCAGGATTGTTGAAACTTAGCGATAATAACTCATATCACACCAGGCATTTTGACTTTGAAATAGCGTTGATTAAACGTTGTTTAAACGAAATAAAGTCATAATCAACGTTGTTCCAACGTCATTTTCCTAGATTTACCAATCAAAGCAATCAATACATCATTAAGTGAAGTCCACGAAGCAAGATTTCCCGAAGCTGTCAGGATTGAGGATGTCGATAACGGCGAACACCGTTGATGTTATGCCTCCTATAGCTCCTATGAGCACGATCTCCCACAGTGCTATCCGCAGCCACAGCGGGATGGATCTGAAAGAATTATATACGAAAAAACGTGAGATAAATATTTAAGAAGAATATTTTTCATTAGCAGAATGTTAAGGAATTTCTTGGCATTCTGATGAATCAATGGAAATTTTTCTGTCTAGGTAATCAATAAATAAGATCAATTGATTTATGTCGTCTCCAGTACGAGAGATTACTTAAAAATTTTGAAGGTACCACGTATTTGCTACGGGCCCTTAATTTTTATGTCTGATACTTTAAATGTTGGAAATAGCCGCCCCGATTCAAAAATTTCACCTTATTATAGAATTATTGTTTAAAAAACTAATTGCTATGAAATCAGAAGTGTTTTTGCATAATTGTACGAGAAAAATCCAGAAAGTTTAACATGAGCAACACTGTGTAAAAATTAAACCCAAAGATTTCCAGCGTTACGTCCATTCGTTAAACAAAATATTACTGTGAAATAAAACTGAGTACCTTTTTGGCCATTTTGTGTTATCAGCGTTGTCGACCAGCCTCATGTACATAATAGGGGGCAGGACGAACGAACTCAGAGTCACTGTTGAGCCTCCTATCAAGTTCAGAATTAAACCGAAATCTGGGATCGCTAGACAGATCAGGACCTCTATCAACACGACCGAGGATCTCATGGCGACTCTTTTAACGCAGAACTCTGAAATTCACACATGGTTTATAATTTGCATTGGTTTTTCTTATTGCAAATTTGTAAACGTTCATATGGATGTAGTTTTCTGTGGTACAAAAGCATAGCTATTTCAAAACAAATTTTCAAGCGAAAATTCGGTTATTGTAGTATTATACCAGAAGTACAAGAGGTAAATTATAAAATATTGTCCTTATCTGCCCAAAAATTTGCATTCAAATACAGTAAACGATTGTTTTCTAACATTGTTCAACTTACTATTCGGTATTTTCAACATTTCTTCGAATGACTGTCCAATTGGGTTGAAAGAGATAAGGTAGGTGCCGAGAAGGTTGATAATTTCTGTGACAATAGCTACTTTCACGACAGGACTCAAGCCAACCGACAGCAAGATATTGCCCGCTACGGTGTTACCGAGCAGTCCGTAACCGGCGGCGGCTACCGGCAAGTATAACGATAGCGCGCCTGCAATATTAAATAAATACATGAATGCATCTATAAAAGAAATATCTTTGTAATCAAATCTTCACAGTAATTAAACTATATTAAATTAAGAAGCGTAAATTCGATAATAAAAATAGTTCAGAATACATATGTATGATGTTCGGATGAAATATTATACATACCATAAAAAATATGAATAAATAATTATGAATATCTTTGGCTTAGCTACATCTCTCTAGTTTTTGTTTTGAGATGGATAAATTAAAATGAGCAGAATAATTTTGATTCACAATTACCATAAATAAATATTTTCATTAGTTTGAAATTGCCGTCATGTACCAAACTATTATCTATTTGTCATTGAGGCAATTCCAAAATAATTTTATGGCAACTATACATACCCAGAAAGCCTACAATTACACTTTTCCAAAATTGCGTCCTGTCCTTCATGTCGTTTTGTATGGTCGGAAAAGTTGAAGCGCCTCCAAATGCGAAAAGAATTGCGCCAAATCCCAACGAAAATGACGAAACTGTCGGATTTGGATACTGGATAAATGGATCGTCTTCCTGAAAATAAAAAGCTCCGCTATATTATTTCTACACCGTAAAATTACCCGAAGTAATTAGTATCAAAATAATTTTTGTATTAAATTAGATCTTAACTAGTGCGCAACATTTATTTACGAGTTTCTACGCAATTTTCACACCCTCAAGTCTCCTGAATAGATATATTATTTAAACATATATAATCTAACAGTGTAACAGCTTTGGGTATTTTTTTCGCGAAATTGCTAAAATGTATGCGTCACTTGTGCATCATCGATGGTATAGTTACTTGTTATTACTTTACGTATTTCAAATCATCGAAAGTGAAAAATTATATGTTATTTGTACAATATAGTATAATGGATCACTTTTTTCAATGATGAATCGGAAGAATATTGAGTTAAAAACATTTTTCACAAATTTCACTATAAGTTTCTGCATTTTACTACACTGCCACTCACGTGGGTGACGAAAAGCATAACAAAGACGACCAGGCAGGCGATGACAGTCGCTCCTACGGCCATTACTGATGCTTGCCTGTGGATTTAATATGTTATTTGAACACATTTTTATTTTATTTAAATGTTATCTAGTGGGATGGTTTTCATGTTCCGTTGTCGGTTTTTCGTTAATCAGGTTTTAATCCATTTTGTGTAAATTTTAATTTTCCATAATGGTTATGCTTCCTATTTTCTCCATTTTTGAGCTGATGATGGTGCTGGTTTCTGATGAAGATATACTGGTTTTACTTCGTATTTTCTTTCCTTTTAAATTATTGATGATAAAAACACTTTTATTTACCAGAAGTCTTTCGGAGTGCCCAGCCACGTGAACGGCAGCAGCAGGGCACCGTAGACCAGCACCCACTCGCAGGTCGACAGCGCAGAAGTGATCGCATTGGTGAGTTGTGCCATTAGAATAATGAAGACGGTCGAGCCTCCAATGAGGGTTAGAATGACGCTCCATAGCGCCACTTGTCTGGAGAATTTTTATAACATGAATTTCTCGATCGGAAATGCTGTACGACTATCATCGCCGTAATTGATAAGTGAAGCGAGAATATTTTCTTTGACTTATAATAATTCTTGTTTCACATACGAAATAACTTTGACTTATTGCGGCCTTCGCTTTACATGTTTTCGAGGACGTTTTTGGATATCATCTATCATCCTCAATCATTTTAATCAAATAATTGTCTTAATTAATATGCAACTATTTTGTTCTGGATGTGAAATTCAGTCGAGCTTGCTTATTTTAATAGTAACTAGATTCTCGCTACATCTATTGAAATTAAGTTAGGAGAGAAGTATTTTCTTAAAATATTTCTTCAGTTTGCGACAATTCCTTAGCAGCCGTAGGTTGAAAGGAAATGTAATGGATTCTTCTAACGGGTATTACCTTCCAGGTTCCCCGAGAGCCCTGTATGCGATATCCATGTAAGGTTGTCTGACAGTATTCCCGTATTCTTCAGGCCAACGTTCCTCGAGTATCACCCAGGATATGCCCAGGCAAACTCCTGCAAGTCCTACAGCAGCGCATAGAAGAACCATCATAGGGGCTCCCAGCCAACCTGCCGGGATAAAAACAACGTCACGATCATTGAAACATGGGTATTAAAATTAAACCGAAATCGTTCTTTAAAAAATCAACGGCTTAAGCTTGGATATGGAAGCGTGTAGCTCCGTGAGTTTTCATTAATATCCTCTGGAAGAATAACCACTACTAGTGCATTAATGTGGGCTACCGTCTGAGTGGAAAGAGAAAATTATTCTTCTCCTACCAAGCAATCATGAGAACTACAATTACAGCAATCATTGCAATTTCCTTACATTGAAGTATTTGCAATACTTACATTGAAGTATTTACAATAAATAAGATAGAGATTGTTATTGCACTCCAAGGTACTCCCATAGAAAGAATTGAAAAAAATGATCACTAATATTTTCAACTAATTAAAAATTTTTTTATCATCGTAATATCCCACCAGTGTTATTTAGGGCCATCGGTAAGGAAAGAAACCCGGCGCCGGCCATTTGAGCGAGCAAGAAAAATGAAGCCATTGGCCAGGAGATTCCCGTACGCTCCGCCGGGGCTTGTTGACCGCCATCGGACGCAGCACCTTGTTGAATTGCGAAATAAATTGAATAAATAAATAAATTCATCTATTTGAATTGGTAGAGAAAGTACCTTATAGAATTACGGGAGAAATTCGCCTCGATGAATTGTGAGGGAATTTTATCTTTATGAATTGGGAAAGCAAGTCACATACGTAAATGATGTGGAAAAGAAATTTATCATACTTAATTGTAAAAATGTCACCCTAATCAACTATTGGGAAATAAATTCCTATTTAGGAATTTTAGAATAAATGTAATTTTCATTTATAAAAGAAATTCACCTCATTGCAGTGGGCAAGAAATTCGCCTTAATAAATTCAAGAAGTCCTTGGAAAAAATTGGAACAAAATTCACTTGCATGAAGTGGAAATAAAATCAACATCAATAAAAAAATTTTCTTTGGTGAGAATAGATTCAAAGTATCATTTACAAAATAAATTTGGAGTATAAGTGTGTTCATTTTCAAAGTAATTTTTTTCGTTCCTCATTAAATCAGTTGAAGGATTAAATGAAAATGTTTACTACATTTAAAATTTTCAACGCAAATTTATTCGTATGACATTTAAGCCCTTTCAGCATTAATAAGTAAAATAATTTAACCAGCATTTTTACAAAAGCCACTTCTGATTACACAGTTAACTAAATTTAAATTTTCTTTATCATCTCTTATTGAAGGTATCTAATAGTCACGGTATTGTTTATGAAAGTTTTCCTATTTGCTTCAATTTGAACGAATGTCGTTTCTCTTTAGGTATAATCTTGTATTCATGAGTTTATCTCATTTTCACGACAGGGAATAACTGCACTTTCAATTTCACGTTCACCAAGAAATTGTTAAAGGACCCTAAATTGTACCCGAGCCTAACCTTTACTCGGTGCTGAGCTAAGTGACGATCCATTTGAGGAGGCACTGCTGACCGAGCTGAAAAATAACGTACACAAATTTTCATTATTACCTACAGTACATATTTAAACATAAAAATAACTAGTATTTTTCATTTGTATTCAATTTGATCTCTATTTTAACAAGAAAGTAGCAAGCAATCCTAAATTTTCATACATCTCTATTGTCCAATCTATTTTTCTCTCGTTGATGACTTGACCAAAATCGTCGAGTGTATTGATTATTTCTTGGAAAAATCGTTCTTATCTATAATTGAGTGACCTCAACCGTAAACATCGTCAGATAAGGACAGTCTTAATCATCAATAAGTGCATGTATCATTGGCAGCCGTGAATTCGATTGCCATCATGATTTTTCTATCTGAAAAGATGAGAGTTATTTGAAGGAGCATGGTACCATAAAAACAAAAAGTATACGAAATTTGTATTTCAAATAATGAAGGGAAATAAGCAAAATTAGTACTATAGGATTCGTGTGTGGAATTTAGAAAAAAATGTGTTACTGCTGTGTAGGGGAATTTTGTGAAGCTGTGAGCGATTATATAGCTCAGAGACGTTTGGAAAGTCTACGTATTTTATCCACGAAAGTCTACGTCTACGTATTATCCATCGTTAAAGATAACAAAATCATTCTGATTTGCATAAATTATAACATCAAATATCAAATCAACGTTTTAATTACTGGTGAATTACTCATTTTAATGAATCTCAATAGTGGAAAATATTAAAATCTCGACATAATTCGACATGAATAATCGCTGAAACGTGATAAAAATAATGTTTGAATGGCGACAATAAATTTCCTTTTAATATGACCTAAGATTATTTTTACCTTCTTGCAGAGTCGGTGGTAGTCATGATCAGAATTTATTTGCATTCGCAGCCACAGCAAACCCAATCAATGGAGCTCACTGTTGGCCGAAAACTACTCGAGATTAAAATTCAGTTCAGACCTATGACTATGCATGCCCCTTATTCTTCTTGCGAGTTAAAGTAGTTGACTAGAAGAGTGTACTGGCTTGTCAGTAAGTACAGTATATTATGATTTAGTCTAATAAATTGTTTGTGGTAATTGTAATCGCATCGGATAATCAATAAATTAAAAATCAAGGACTGTTTTTGCTAAATTCTGATGCTGTTATGTAAAATTTCTCTGATCTGAAAAGTGTCATTATATACTGTTGCGAAAAAATATTACAAAATTTATATTGTATATCCACATTCACATTAGCATTAATACAATACATCAAGTCAATTAAAAACTTTTAAAATCCAGTTTATCAATAATAATATCGATGTCAAAAAATTATCCCATTGAGATGAGGATGATATCAGGTATTATCATTAACGACCATGCAAAACATTTTCAAGGTGTTTCGGACCAAGGACAATAACGAGATTCCTAAAAATTAATAATTTTAGTCCAATAAGCACACAAATGAAATTTTCAAATAATTCTTGAAAATTATTAAGTACACGAATTCAAAAAATCATCGATTCAAAAATTAAATCTTTTCAATGCCAAGCCACATGGGAAAAAAATACTTCATTAAAATTTCAACGACAAAATCACACAACAACTGAAAGGCTCAAGTTTCCATAACGACATTCGGACTACACGCTAAATGAACGTCCTCTTCTGTCCAGACGTAACACAACATTGAGCCAGACAGCAGCCCAAGCCAGCGTGTTTCCCGTCGTAACAACATGGCGCATATACATCAAAGATTATATATAAACTTCCATTAACAATATGGCTTCGAATTGTAAGTGCTGTAACCTAGAAATGTTCTAAATCACTTTTATTTATTTGAATAATCCTCCAACAATTAAGCAAGTTTGTTATTTATAAAATTAATTAATCAGGACATGGACGCTTGGGCACCACTTATCATATCACCGCGCAAAGATAGAGGGCATTCATCAGTCCGTAAAGACTTCAGACAAATTTTTTTCTTGTCACCAAAGACAATAACATAAGTCGTACTTCTTTGGGAACCCCGAGTTCCGAGACATAAACAAAATACCTTATTATCATTCCAATTATTATCTAACTAATATGAGTGCCTGTTTTTCTTAACTTTTGCTGTGTTGTTAATAATTAACAAAATTATGTGCAGAATTGAAAAATTAAGAGAAAAATTTAAGCCGCGTCTACATAATAAATTATTGCTCATGCATACATTAAATGAATTTACCCGTATTTTTTATTAGTGTGGTTGTTGACTGCAATCGATGGTCTAATAATTAATTGCAGTCAATATTCATTCACGTAGAAAGTTAAAAAAATCGCTCAATTATAGTTGTTACCCGCCAAGTTTACTCAAATATTTTGAAGAAACAAAATGCTAGAAAATTTTCATTATTAAAGTAAATCGTAATTCTTCTTACGATTTTTTCAGAATATTACTCAACAAGTCTTGCAATTTACTAATATCTTTAAGCAAGTCACTCCTGTCAGAGTTCTATCAATCACTAACTACGCTGTAAGTTGAGGGCACTGATAAAGAGAGCAAGATCATTAAAAGTTCTTGATATAATTAAAAACTATCTCTATTTGTACTGATAGCGCTTCAGTAGAATAGACAGGGCAGAGAATTGCGACGCACAAGTAATGTTGTCTGGAAAACAACCGGAGAGATTTTAGCGCATTTATGTTATGAGTTATGGAAAAAATGCTTTATTGTGCACGCCATGTCCGTCTGTCCGTCTGTCTGTCTGTCCGTCCGTGACTTCACGTTTTTGTCGGCGAGAAAATGCGCTCTCTGTCACTCACTGCAGTGAGTACTGAGTTATATTTTTTCAACATGTATCTGGTCGGAAAAGATTCTTCAACAAAAAAATTTAAAATGACTTATATTAGAAATTTATATTTCCAGTTATATCGCAAGTCATTAAGATCACGCGATTGTATATAAATTTTATCTCTGGCCAGTACTAAAAATACGAAAAAAATTTCAACAATGAGATAAATTAATCTTCAATGCAGGCAATGTCCGGTTGAATCAACAACGCTCAAACAACATACGATCGCGATGTTTAAAATCGTGTTGTCAAGAATGGAAAGTGAATAAACGCCAATTTTCAACGTCGTCTCGACTTTACATTACGACGTTGGTTTAAATCGCGTTGAATTTTGACGTTAAATCGCATTTACAATAGTTTTTCTCAGGTTAACGTGTTCTATCATGAGCAAAACAGTATATATACACGGTATCACAATGAGTTGCATTTATTAAATACAGCAATAGTCTTTGCTACTCTATCTATTTGCTTACCTTTACTTTTGCTGCATAAATCAAATCGAATAGATCTAATCAAACAAAGCCGGATAAGAACCCCTGAGTTTTTTTTGCGCGCTTCTCCGTTGCCTTATAGACCAGGGTGAAGCTTACATGGGATGGAAAATTAAAAGCTATATTTAACCTAATTTTCTACATCGTAACTAAATGGATGAAGCCAATTCTGTGCCTACCAAAAACTGTTCGAAAGAAAACTTTGAAGAAAGTGAGAGTAGGTCAAGATGTATAAGTTCATTTAATTAGAAACTTATTTTCTGAATGATGCATATAAACATTGGTGTAAAAAATTTGTCAAGAATTTAAAAACTCTGGCATTGAAATCATACTTCAATCGATAAATATAATTAATATTTTTGATATCTTAAAGTGTGACATAAGGATGATGAATAAATTCCAACTACCTTGTTCCCTCCCAGACATTTCGAAATCAATGTTTGGATGAATGTTGAATGTTCATACTAGAACGAAATAAGTTGAAAATGAATATATCTTAAATTATCTCCATTATATAATATCAAGTTTTGTGAAAAAAAGCAATCGAAACGCGGTTCAAATGCTTTTGCCTTTTTATTGAAAAGTAAGTAATATATATGTTGTATATTGGTTCCATTTATGTGCGTGAGTCATATATAGCCGACAATGAAATTTAGTACATTTGGAAATCAATATATCCTCATATTTTCTAGATAATTATCTAAGGAAGCACGATTTTCCATTAATTTACGTTATGCGTGACCGTATTGGGTTTGCAATATTCTTTTCCAAAATTATATGCATTCGATATTCAAAGAAAGCGAGCAAAGTCTATATTTATTTGACTCATTTTACATAAACTTGATAAAAGTGTGTTAACGCTTGGAAAACGTTCAAACATATAAAGGCTGAATAACATAGCCACATATCTATGCATATATCATTCAAGGTTAGTGTGATAACGTTGATCCACGCTAAAAGAAAAAACAGATAAAAATTCACGGTACCAAGATTGACGTTGCTTCAGCCTTGAAATTGGCTTGTTCTCGGCCTCTTCGAGTGCTGGTCATATATTCCAACGTTTATTCAATGTTCAATTTTGGTTGATAAACATTTCAGTCTGACATCAACAATATTTCAACGGTGTTTCAACCTCAGATGCCTGCTGGGCTACATATTAATAAATTCAAATTAAATTCTAATAATAGACAACTTTAAGGCAGATCAGAGGCGAAGCTATAGCGAATTCACACTACGTAAAAACAACCCACATGACTCATTATTTTAAGAAACGTGTCGCAATAAATTATTTACAAGGCACAGAAGCATCCATTCCTGGAGCGTTATCTACTTAGTAATAGAGCATTGTCTCGTGACCCATTATCTTCTGAGTATTGAATCACCGTGTCGTGACCCATTATCTTCTGAGTATTGAATCACCGTGTCGTAACCCATTATCTTCTGAGTATTGAATCACCGTGTCGTAACCCATTATCTTTTCAGTAATGAAGCACAGTCTCAGAGGCCATTATCGTAACAGTAATGGAGCGCAGTGTAATAGCCCATTATATTCACAGTATTGAAGCACCGTGTAATAGACCCATTATCTTCCAGGTATTGAATCAGTGTTGTAGCCTATAATATTCACACTGATGAAGCACCTTCTAATAGCCTTTTATTTATACAGCATTGAAGCACCATTTCCTAACCCATTATCCTCCTAATAATGAAGCTCCGTGGTGTAACCCATTAACTTGTCAGTATTGAAGCATTGTGCAACAGCCGATAAACTAACGCCAATTAACCTCCCGTTAACGACAAACTGTAGTAACCCAGAAGTTCAGTGTCGTAGAGCACAGGGTCATAATCCTTCATGTTCTCAAGGGCCCGGACGCGATATTATGGCATTTTATCTAGAGATTATCACAGATTGTACGAAGATGTGGCTCTTGCTCTAATAGTAATTAGCTTTGTGTCCAGCTAGGTATGAGAATTGTGTCACTAAAATGCAGCCTCTCGGTACGAGAGGTCCATCAGAAAAACTCAGCGGTGCTTATATAAATTATCGAATTTGGTGAATAAAATTCATGATATTTTTATTCGGCTAAAATTACTGAGTCCCTAGTCTAAAAATTTTCTGTTGAAATTGTTTGTATTTTTTAAGGCTCAGTGGTTCAGATGAAACGGAAGAAAATGATGATTTGTATTGAAAGTTAATAACTGTAGAGCTGCGGGAAGTCATTATCGCAGTTATGGTCAAGAACAGCATTTACATCACAGCGTAAGTAAAATATTCAACTGAGGCCACGATTTACTTCTGTTTGACTGAGCATTTCTAATTATTACTAACAAAATCTTCTGGCAACATTTTGTTAATAATCAAAGTTATTTAATTCCAATTTGGTTAGAGAAGCGCTGAACTAAGTTGAATAGTGCTAACAGTCCTGAATTTTCTAATTTTTTCATAACTTCAAAATTTCAATTTCACTTGTTAGAAAAATGCCCCCATATAAAAAAAGCGACAATGGCGCAAAGACTCTACATATATCCGCCATATGCACCTCGCGTTAATGCGCTCTTGTGCTCAATGTATATCAGTATGTATGCCTCTGTATGTTAATTATTCAGATTTCTAGAAAGAATTTAAAGGCCAAATTAAGAGCATTAAGCCTCTTTAGAAACTGATTCATGTTTTAGCGTAAAGAAATTCATGCTTCAAATGGAGCGCATGCAAATAAATCTGACACGAATGGAAACAAATCTATTATTCCACAATTCTTGTTTCTTTAGTTAAAATTTACCCCCCGAATGAGGTGAGTATCTCAAGGGAACAAATATAAATAAATGTATACTAAAATCGATTGTAAAGTTTATTCAATATGGGTCACCTTGCTTGAGTGAATATCGGATCACAATTGCATTTTTCAGTGAAAATTTTCTTTAGGAAATAATAAATAATAAGCTTCAATTACTTTAGAATTTATCTGAGAATTTGCGTTAAGCAATGATCAGCTTAAAAAAACATGAAAAAGACAAAAAAAAATGCGCGCACAAAAACACTGCACAGATTTAGTTCAAAAACGTCCCTAACTTTTTAACTAACTTCGTCACTGAATTAAAAACATCCACATACTCGAAACATGTGTAATCTTTTATAAAATATTCATCAAATCCGGCTGTGTCCAGGCGCCACATCCGGATTATTGTTTAACAAGTTCGTTCTTCGAGTTCTACGAATCAATCATCAATTTCATATCTTATTGGAAGTAGAAAATAAAATTCGAATGTCCGCTATTATCCTTCTAATAAACATCGCAGAGCGGCCTCTAATATTAAATATAAGTGCCGATTTTTAATCACTATTGACGCAGATAGATTTCGGATTGATCAACAGTTGGCAGCATTGTTCTAACAGCTAGGAAGTCTTTTTCAGAACAAGTGCCATATTTTGCTCGATAGGTTCTTCTCAGGCCGGAGGTTTCGACGTTCAAGCACATTATGTTTAAAAAAATGAATGTACAGCTGATAAATTCATACTGATAATCTCAAAAGTTGCTAATTTCTCTAATTGAAATAATTGTGAATGGATCATAATTTAAAACTATGCTTCTCATTTTGTTCTGTGAAATGCTATTACAAAAGCTCATGTATATTTTTCAACGGCTTTGGTGCATAGTAACTTAGCAATGTAGAATAGATCTTAGACTCGACTCTAATTATGTCATTTAATTTAATATGAATAAAATTCGAATATATATGAATTAGGATGACACTAAATTTCACATAATATAATTGTGGAATGGCATTTATATATGAGCTTTTGTAATTTAGTTTGTTCAGAAGAAGAAAAATAATTTCTAGAGGTAAATTTAATTGTTGTATGTGCGTCCATGTGAAGCCCATAGCAAGTTAATTACAACATTCATAGTATTTTAAATCTATATGAAGTACTATGATGGAAATAACATAATGTTAGGAGGCGTGCACAAAAATAATTCTCGTCAGTAAAAATGCCATTGATGAATAAATCTAACAAGGGTGTTTGTATTTCTCGTTGTTTCGCGTTAATGTATCAGATTTTAATTTTTAAAACAATTTCTCTTAATTTGATATTATTCAACGCCCAGGATGCGGGTCACAGAATGTTCAATATATTTTATTCAGAGAACATTTGTTGGAGTTCATCCAAATTTCAAACATCGAGTTATTATGGAGTTCTCTACGAATCACTTGCTTATGTGACCAGCAGAATTAAGACTCAACTTTCCATAAAGTCTGCATGCTGGAAGTTTTGGTGGAAAGTAACCGATTAACAAATAACACACTGTTGAGTATCTGATGTAATTGCCACGTAGATTCTTATGTGCTAGATTCCTATGAAACAAGCCATAAACGAACAAAACAGTATAAATTCACCTTATACTTACGAATACAAATTTAGCTTTATCGTACTCCACTTTTACACTCGTGAATGCAGTTTACTTGGCCACTCAGACCACTCCTACATTACAATATACATAGCTGAATATTAGACGATAGGAAACCAAGAAACAAATTTAATTATTTTTTTAGGTTTAAGAACTGTCTGCCTCAGAATTATCATAGGATTGAATACAATATGCAAGCAAGGCTTGATTTCATATCCAGAACAAAACAGTTACGTATTATCTTCTAAAATTATTTGACAGTTTTAAACATTTGGAATTATTATTTCCAAACATTTTATTTGTTTATTGAGAAACTAACCAACATGAATCAACCAGTTTAATTTCTTCACCAACAACATTACTTTACATTAGAAGTAATATATGATTTATTAATCAATAATATGAACTGGGAATTATTTATAGAGCCATACTCATCTCACCAGTCATCGAACGTTGAAATAACGTTGATTAAACGTCTTTATACGAATTAAACACCTACACAACGTTGTTTTAGCGTCATTTGCACAGAGGTATCGTAGAATTAATCCAATAATTTCTATACTTCAAGGCGTGAAGTCCGCGAAGCAAGATTTCCCGAAGCTGTCGGGATTGAGGATGTCGATAACGGCGAACACCGTGGATGTTACACCTCCAATAATTCCAATGAGGACGATCTCCCACAGTGCTATCCGCAGCCACAGCGGGATGGATCTGATAGAATTAAATAGGTGAGTACGTCAGATCAAAACTTTATAGGCCAATTCTTCAGTTTTCAGCAGAATGTTAGGGAACACTTAATTAGGCATCCTTGATGAATCGTTAGAAATTATTAGCCTAGGTAAATTTTTTGACAGTAATGAAGATCGTATATTATATAAGTCGCGTGCTGTTCGTGGTATAACGTAAAATATTTTCTATTTAACAAATTTCGTTGGAAATGATCGAAAAGAGGACTTTTGTAATGTGGAATCAGGATGTTTCATACTTAATTATATACGGAAATTTCCAAGACTGTTTTACAGGAGTGAAGACTTATAAAAATTAAGCCAATTCATAATTATTTCGAATCCTTTAATTCCGTTTACCTACTATAATAAGTGTGCAATAAAACTGAGTACCTTTTTGGCCATTTTGGGTTGTCAGCGTTGTCGACCAGCCTCATGTACATAATAGGAGGCAAGACGAACGAACTCAGAGTCACTGTCGAGCCTCCAACCAAATTTAAAATTAAACCGAAATCTGGGATCGCAAGGCAGATCAGGACCTCAATCAACACGACAGAGGATCTCATGGCGACTCTTTTAACGCAGAACTCTGAAATTAACACAGGCTTTATTGTTAGAATTAGTTTTTGCTAATGTGAATAATTACAAAAATGAAACTAAGACATTATTTAGGATGTAGTAGTTTTTACATCAGCGTACCCACTTCAATACATAATATTTTACGGAAATTTTTTATTATTTTAAAATAATGTAAAAAGTAGAAATAGAAAATCTCTTATTTTTAACCTATCTTTGCAAAAAATTTTTTAATGCGTTCCAAAATCATGAAAACAATATTTTACAACATTGTTCAGCTTACTACTGGGTATCTTCAACATTTCTTCAAATGCTTGTCCCATTGGGTTGAAGGAAATAATGTAGGTTCCCAGGAGATTGATAATTTCTGTCACGATCGCGAATTTCACGACGGGACTGAAGCCAACAGACAAGAGAATGTTTCCCTCAACGGTGCTACCTAGCAGACCGTAACCGGCGGCGGCGACCGGCAAGTATAAGGATAAGGCACCTGCAATCAAGAATATTGAATAAATGCATGAATACATTCAGAAAAGAAAAAATATAACTCAGTACTCACTGCAGCAAGTGACAGAAAGCGCATTTTCTCGTCGACGAAAACGTGAAGTCACGGACGTACGGACAGACAGACGGACGGACAAAAACACATGGCGAGCACAACAGCATCTATTTTTCTATAAATTAGAAAATGCGCTAAAAATAATTTTTTATTTAGGAATTTCATCTAACTTAACTCCTCTAAATGAAGGGTGGTTAAAGCGAAAGCTTGGTGATAATATGAATCGTTACAAAAATGTTATCCAAGTACAAAATTATCACCTAAAAATGTTGAGGAAAGACCTTCGAATCTATTTCGCTTTGTTGCATCTTATATACTTGTTATAATTTTGAATCGGATAAATTGATGTAGGCAGATACATTTAGTTGTATAATTAAAATGAATAAGATATTTTCATAAAGTATTATATTGCCGTCAAGTCTTGAACAATAAAATATCTATCATCGAGGCAATGCCAAATATTTTTACAGAATCTAAACCTACCCAGAAAGCCTCCAATTACGCTTTTCCAAAATTGCGTTCTGTCCTTCATGTCGTTTTGTACTGTCGGGAAAACTGAAGCGCCTCCAAATGCAAAAAGAATTGAGCTAAATCCCAACGAAAACGACGAAACTGTCGGATTTGGATACTGGATAAATGGATCGTCTTCCTGAAAAAAAATTATTCTTCGTTATTTTTATGACTTCTCAGAAATTATTTCTGAGAATTTGGCATCGAATGGACTCTGCTAAATAGGAAGAGGATGGTTGAATTACACATTTTCTCGAGGTTACTAACTCATAACAACTTTTGGGTTGAAATTAGCTGCCTTCATTATCGTATGAATCCCCCAACATAATTTGCAGCGCCAGCACCCACAATTCGTCCTAAAATATTGAATGTTTTAAGCTGAATTTATTAACAATTAGTCAACTTTGAGTTTTTTCAACGTTTAACACACGCACGCACCCAGATTAATGTCTGTTCAGTGTTGAATAATTTTCTCATAAGTGAGTAAGTTAAGTGCGCTTAATAAGTTAAGTTTAAGCTTATAACTTGCTTGACAATAATATAGTTACTACGAATTTACTATCCAAAGCCGTTAAAATAATCCAAAGTACGGAATTATATGTTGTCTATGAAATCTTTCAATTGAAAAATAGTTAATTTAATCAATAAAGAAATATTATAATATAATATATACAGTATATGATGTAAGCTATACTTACGTGGGTGACAAAAAGCATGACGAAGACGACCAGGCAGGCGATGATTGTTGCACCTACAGCCATGACCGATGCTTGCCTGTGGTTTAAAGTTAATAATTTGCTGGAATCGTCAAGCAAAGAAGGGAGGGGGGATTGATTCCTTAATTTGATCAGTAAATAATCTCATCAACCCTCGTATCACTATCACATACCGAACCCAAACACAAGTCTTATTAATAAGAATAAGTGAGGGTTGCGACACATAAAACGCACCCCATATAGTAGATACTGTATATTTACATAAAGCACTCTTTTCTCCGTTTTCTATATATTTCAAGTTTACTTTTATTTTCTCAAAAAATTCATACGAACAAAAAGTTATTGTATTAGTCACTGCATATGTGTATTTAGATCGATCAGTAAATATTAAAATATTTTTTTTACATAGACGCTCTCCTTAAGCCCGTCGGACATACATTTGATTCGTTTTCAAGCCCCTTAGTCGCACATTTTTGCCTCAATGAACAATACATTGTAATTTACTCAGGTTTTAATCCATTTTGTGTAAATTTTAACTTTCCATGTTGTCTATACCTCCTATTTACTCCATTTTAAGCTGATGAATGTGCTGGTTTCCGATAAAGATATACTGAATTTACTTCATTTTTTCTTTACTTTTAAATTCTTCATGACATAAACACTTATAATTACCAGAAGTCTTTCGGAGTGCCTAGCCATGTGAACGGCAGCAGCAGGGCACCGTAGACCAGCACCCACTCGCAGGTCGACAGCGCCGAAGTGATCGCGTTGGTGAGTTGTGCCATTAAAATAATGAAGACGGTCGTACCTCCGATTATGGTCAGAAGTACGCTCCACAGCGCTACTTGTCTGGGGAATTTTATTACACGAATTTCTTAAATGAAAATGCGGCATGACTATCAGCACCGTAAGTGATGAATAATAATGTTATTAAGATTTATTTTCCTTAATATTAATTCGATACGATTGTGGCACTTACTCTGCATGCATTCGAGAGCAATGTTGGAAATCAACGAGAATATATAGGAGTATTTCATCAAGTATATAATAGTAATAGCTAGATGCTCGCGTCAATTTATTAGTGGCTTCAAGCCCTTCAATTTATTATTGTCTTTATTTAATTTAGAAAATGCTACAGGATATTTCTTTAGGCTGTGATTTTTCTTTATAGTAGCCGTTGGTTGTATGGAAATCTAATGTGAAACATCCTACCTTCCAGGTTCCCCGAGAGCCCTGTAGGCGATATCCATGTAAGGTTGCCTGACAGTATTTCCGTATTCTTCAGGCCAACGTTCCTCGAGTATCACCCAGGATATACCCAGGCAAACTCCTGCAAGTCCTACAGCAGCGCATAGAAGAACCATCATCGGGGCTCCCAGCCAACCTGCCGGGGTAAAAACAACCTCAAGATCATTGCAGGAAACTACTAAGATTTAAAAAAAGTTAAATTCTGAAAAACAAACGGTGTTTGGATAAGACCGAGTTAAGTCATAAATTGAAGTCATCAGGATGAGAAGAAAAACTAATTTATTTTGCGAGTCACTGTCAGTATGCAGGGAGAACATATGCTGCTTCTACCAAACAATTCTAAAAGACAAAGGAATCAACTGCACGTTTTTTATGTTTTCTTCGTTTCTTCCTTCGGGTATTTGCTTCCAGTAAGATTAAGATAAACGAACAAAGCGCAGCAACAAATTACGCCTTAAATTTAAAATAAATTCAAATTTTCTTCAACAAAATATCCCACCAGTGTTATTTAAGGCCATCGGTAAAGAAAGAAACCCGGCGCCGGCCATTTGAGCGAGCAAGAAAAATGACGTCATCGGCCACGAGATTCCGGCACGCTCCGCCGGGGCTTGTAGACCGCCATCGGACGCAGCACCTTATTAAATTGGGAAATAATTTCATCATGATGAATTGGGAAAGAAATTCAATTTAATGAATTTGGAAGCAAATTCACCTAAACGACGTGGGATAGATATTCACCTTAATCACGCTGAAAGAGAATTTCATCCTAATGAATTGGGAAGAATATTCACAGGCATGACATGTGAGAGAATTTCACCTTAATGAATTGGGAAATAAATTCATTTTAATGAATCTCGGAAGAGATTTTTCTTTATGTAAGGTATAATTGAAATTCACCTTATTGCGTCGGGCTAGAAAGTCACCTTAATGAATTGCGAAAGAATGTCCTTTGCATGAGTTGGGAAAGAAATTCGTCACAAATCAGCAATTTTTCTTTGTGGAGACATTACTCAAAGTATCAGACACCTCAAAAATAATTTAGCAATGAGGTCTTCATTTTCGGATTGATTATGATTTCCTTCCGAATCATACCTAAACAATATTATTATTAGATGTAAATGTTGAAGTGGCTGAAAATTCCCTATTAAAACCTATTTATTAGACGTTTAAGCACGTTTGGCAATGGTAAGTTAAGAACATGGATCCAGCATATTTAAAATAATCACTTCTGATTACGTACTACACGGTTCAGTAAATTCTATCATACTAAAGCATATCATTTTGATGTTCTCTAAGACTCGTGGAATTTTCAATGAAAGTGTTTTAATTTGTTTTAATTTGAACGAGTTTCTTGTTTCTGCAGATTCTATATTTCATCAATGTGATTATTTAGTTTTCTCCGATAGGTGAAAAATGCATTTTCAAAATCAGATTTACCCCCAAAGATCTGTCATGTGACAACCACTTACAAAACCATACTTAGGTCATATATATATATATTAATATTAAGCTATGTGTGTGACAGAAAAAGCACCCTGTGACAGATCGTTCAAGGATAAATTATATAAATTGTACAAAGCCTAACCTTTACTCGGCACTGAGCTAAGTGATGATCCAGTTGAAGAGGCACTACTGACCGAGCTGAAAAATAGTGTCCATAAAATATTATCATTATCAGTAATATTTAACTATATAAACAACCATTATTAGCCCCCCTGAACTCAAAATTATCGCTATTTACCATGAAAGTTACCAACAATCATCAATTTTTCGTGAAACTCATTTGTTGCGTGAAAAATCGTTGAAATTTTTAAAATTATTATTTCTCTCGTTGACGACTCTTGACCAAAACCGTCGAGTGTTGTGATTGTATCGCCGAGAAATCATTCTTATCTACAATTGAGTGACCTCAACAGTCAACATCATCAGATAAGGAGAGTCTTAATCGTCGGTGCAAGTATCAATGCAAGTATCAATGCAAGTATCAATGCAAGTATCAATGAGAGTATCAATGCAAGTATCAATGCAAGTATCAATGCAAGTATCAATGCAAGTATCAATGAGAGTATCAATGCAAGTATCAATGCAAGTATCAATGCAAATATCAATGCACGTATCAATGCAAGTATCAATGCAAGTATCAATGCAAGTATCAATGCAAGTATCAATGAGAGCATCCATGCAAGAATCAATGCGAGTATCAATGCAATTATCATTCAATAATCAGTGCAAGCATCACAGTAAGTATCAATGCAAGTATCACATTACATCATGATTTTTCTAGCAGAAAACGTACGAGTTATTTGAAAAAGATTGGTACCGCAAACTATGAGTAACTTGTATTTCAAATTCTGAAGCAAAATAAGTGAAATAAATGCTATAGTATTCATGTCCGGAATGAAAAAAAATATGTTGCTGCTGTGAAAGTGTAACATGTGAAGCTGAGAGCAAGTAGCCTAAAAACACTTGAAAAATCTACGTATTGCCAATTTATCGTTAATAACGAGAATGTCATCATGATTTGCACCAATTAAAACATCAAATCTAAATTTAAGTAACTAAAAATATTGTTGCTTTGAATGAAGCGCACATGTTGAAAATAGGAAACTCAACATAATTTAATATGAATGAGCGCTGAAACGTGCTAAAAATATTTATTGCTTTAAAAATATTTTATTTTAACAATAAATCATATTATTTATTTTTTATTTGATATTTATTTATTTTTTAGATTTTCTAATATTGTTTTATTGGATTATTCTCACCTTCTTGGAGAATCTGTGGTAGTCATGATTAGGATTCCTTTGCTCCTAGCGGACGAAAAATTAAGTTAAACCTGATCGATGGACCGGACTGATGACCGAACACTACTTTAGATTAATATTTAGTTCGGATCCTTGACTATTCATGTCCCCAATTATTCTTGTTAGTTTAAGTAGTTGACTAGTTGAGTTAACTGCCTTAGCAGTAGGTATATCACACCTTAGTCTTAGTATAATAAATTTCTGTTTGTTAAAGCAGTTGCACTAAGTACGCGATAACATAAAAAAGTAGAAAAATTAAAATTAAAAATCAAAGATTTAAATTTGCTAAAATTTGATGCTGTTACGTACATTTTTTCTGGCATAAAGAATTTCGTTATTTCGTTAATTTCGTTTCATTTCGTTGTTGCGATTAAATATCTCAGAATTAAAACTCCATGTGAGCATTCACTTATGCTATCATATAACATATAAATCCAGTCTATCAAAAAACTTTTATTACCCAATTTATCAACTAAAATTGCTGTGAAAAAATAAATATTACATTTGCATGAGGTTAAAGTCAGGCATTATTATTTACGATAGTACCTAATATCATCAAAGTATTTCGGATCAAGTGGACAAATGTGATCACAAATTAAATTGAGCAATTTAGTCATTCAAGTACAAAAATTAAATATTACAGAACAATTTTTGAAAGTTATTAAGTACACAAATTAAAAATAATCTAACTCGTCACAAAAATTCATTTTTTAGCGGCCAAGCCTTATAGAAAGTATACACTTCATCGAAATTTTAATGATAAAAACTGCTCAGCACTTGGGAGGCTCAAGTTTCTATAACGACTACATGCTAAATGAACGTCCTCTTCGGTCCAGACGTAACAGAACATTGACCCAGACAGCAGCCCAAGCCAGTGATTTTCCCGTCATATCAACATGGCGCATGAACTTTCAAGATTATCAATAAATTTCATTTTCAATATGACTTCTAATTGTAAGTGCTGTAGGTATGAAATGTTCTACATAACATGTAATCCGCTTGAATTTTCCTCAAACAATTGAGAAAGTTTATAATTAATAAATGCATTAATTAGGACATGGATGATTGGACGCATCTTATCTAATCACCGCGTAAAGATAGGAGACATTCATCAGTCCGTAAAGACTCTTCAGAGATATTTTTTTGTTGTCACTAAAGACAATAACATGAGTCGTACTTCTTCGGGAAGCCCGAGTTCCGAGACATAAACAGAATGCCTTATTATCTTTCCGATTATTTTCTTACCCACATGATTGTTTGTTATGTTGATGGTTTTTTAAATTTAATAAAGGGCAGAATTATCAAATTTACAAATTAAAGGGATAATTTATTCCTAATTTATAATTGTTCATAATAAAATGGTGCCCATGTATTTATTTCACATTTAAGACATTATTCTTATAATTGTGCGTGATAACTGCCATTGATGGTTAAAATAATTATTTGTCGTCAAAATTCATAACAAGTTTTAAAAAAAAATTTTATCTTCAAAAATTCATAACAATTTCAAGAATCAAGTTTTCAAAAATCACCCCTGAAATTTTTTGTTAAAGCGCACCAGTTGCCCACCATGTTTTCTCAAAATCCGTAAGGAGACATAGAAGCAAGATAATTCTTCTCCCTTAAAAGAAATCGTCATTTTCTTTTTGCTGTTCGCTTATTTTAATTCTTTCTCGAGATTTTTTTATAATTTAATCACATATCTAAGTCACTCTTGAGTTCTATCAATCACTAACTACGCTGTTTGTTGCGGGCACTGATACAGCGAGCGGTATCATTAAAAGTTCTCAATATAACTGAAAGTTTTCTCTTTTTGTACTGATAGCGCTTCGCTGGAGAACATTGGGCATAGAACTGCGAGGAATAAGTAATATTGTCTGTAAAAAATATTGAAGTTGAAGTTTTTTTAAGGCATTTCTTGTCGGGAAAGATTTCACAACAAAAAATTCAATTGATCTTATTTTGAAATTTATTATTTTATGCAAGAAGCGATTGAAGTAACTTTAATCACTGGTTTGTCTAAACACTATTTAACAATGACCGCAATAAATTAAGTTAGTATTGATAAACTGACCTGAGATTCAAATGGTAGACAACTTTTCTACGTTAACAGACGACATTAAATGTTGTGTTTTCACAGTACGTACTGTAAAAGCACTGCAATCGCCCACCAAGACCTTTACTGAAGCAACTAGTTTTAAACATTATTTCCACTGTACAGAAGCCTCGATTCTTTCCTCATTATCATCCCTGTAATGCAGTGCCGTGTCATGGTCAATTATCTACACAGTATTGATGCACCGTGTGATAGCCCATTATCTTCAAGTATTGAAGCGTATTGTCTCAATAAAATATACTCTCATAAATTGAAATTACATGTCGTAACCCATGAACTTCCCAGTATTGAAGCACTTTGTCACAGCCCATTATCTTCCCGGTGAAGACATACACAATCGTAATCCTAAAGTTCAGTGTCAGAGAGCGCCGGGTCATAATCCATCATGTTCTCAAGGGGCCAGACGCGATATTATGGCATTTTATCTAGAGATTATCACAGATTGTACGAAGCTGTGGCTCTGGCTTCGATATTAATTAGTTTTGTGTGTCAAGGTACGGAAATTATGTCACTGAGATGCAGCCTCTCGGAGCGAGAGGACCATCTGAATAAACATTGCAGTGTTTGTATAAATTATCGAATTCGACGAAGAAAATTTTTATTGTTATTCAGCTAAAAATACAAAGTACCTGACCAGAAATTTCTGTTAGAATTTGTTATATATTTTTAAGGATTCTGTGGTTTTGATGAAACGGAAGTATTCTGCGATTTGTATCGAAAAATAAAAACCATCGATTACAATAATTCCATTAAGTACCATTGAATATTAATTACTGCTACACATCAATAACTCAGTCATGGACAAGAACAGCATCTCAATCAAAGCGTAAGTTTTATGTATTATTAGGGCAACGATATACTTTTGTTTGACATATCATTTCTAATAATTAAAATTCATAGCAAAATCTTGTGGCAGAAATTTTTCTTAATAATCAACGTTTTCGGTTTCGGTTTGGTTAGAGAAGCGTTCAGCTAAGATGAAGTGTAATAACTATTATTAAATTCATCATAACTTTAGTATTTAATTAGTTTCAAGCTATACTCCATTAAAACTGTGTTAAATTTTATCTAGTTTCCGCTGTTCTATTTATTGCACAATTGTATTCAACCAGCGGCAGTGGTGGCAGTGTTTCGTCTGGGAATAAAAGTTCCATCGTAAGTGTCGACCCAAATTTAGATGCAATGGGACGGAAAATCTTGCCTGGAGTTGGAGGACGGACCAATGGGCTTGGGTACCTCAAAGCTGGTTATTTCTTGGTCACCACGATGGTGGGGGCGGGCTTCTTGGCGCTGCCCAGAGCTCTGGCTGATGCAGGTCATTATATACTGGAAAATAATGCTAGTGATTTTATATATTTTATATATTTTCTTTTATATAAGAATATATTAGTGATCTCATTTCTGAGAAGGAGAGGTGATGGTCGGCAGTGCGTGATAAAATTATATTCAAGATGTTGAAAATACAATTTGAATTTCTTCTTTCAAAATTTCACTCAAGCGTTTATTACCTTACCTTAGCAGCCATAGTTTCCCTTTAATTTCGTGCTTAATTGATGCTCTCCTTGACTGAAACTGTTATACACGCAATTAAAATGCTTTTATCTTTAGTAATTTATGAATTCATGTTCATCTATAATGCACGAAGTAACCATTTCATGAATAAAAACAAATTTTTTCATAAAGAGCAACGATATTTTTAGCAGTGTTAATTTTGATTGAATTTCTGTGTTAGGGTGGATCGGAGTCCCCTTGATCATCCTCTGCGGAGGATCGATAGGATTCTCTACCACAAGACTGGGTAGGTCGTGGCTGCTCATGGAGGAGAGGTGGCCGCGATACAGAGTGCCGGCAAGGCAGCCTTACATGGATATTGCTGAAGAGGCTTTTGGATCCATCGGCAGGTAGAATGAAGTAATAAAATATAACTCAGTACTCACTGCAGTGAGTGACAGAGAGCGCATTTTCTCGTCGACGAAAACGTGACGTAACGGACGGACAGAGAGACAGACGGACAGACAGACGGACAGACGGACGGACGGACATGGCAAGCGCAATAGCGCCTCTTTCCATAAATGAGAAAATGCGCTAATAATCTGCAACCATTTTCTACTTACATTATCTTAGCTATAATGGTAAATAATGAGATTTCTATGCCTTAAGATATTAAAATTTATTTTTATTTTAACGTATACATATTTTTCTAGGACGAAACGCGTTCAGAAAAAAAATTATTTCCTAACTATGCTTTGGATAGTTATTTCATAGATGATGATTTATTTGCGGAATTGATAACATTCTGGTAGCTTGCTATTGGGATTGATTGAATATTCTATTGCAGGAAAATTTGCTTCGGTTGTGTGATATTCACCTTGGTTGGCTACGGCATCGCCTTCTACATCCTCATGGCCGGAATGATGAACAGCCTGGTGTCCGATGTTAGCGTTTGTGGATGGATAATAATTTTTGCCGTAATCGCGTGGCCAACAACTTTCTTCGGCACACCGAAGGATTTTTGGTGAGAAACCAGCAAATTTTCTTAGAGTTTTTGGTGCGACCCACCAGTAATTTTTCCTCATGATTTTTAGCGAGATATATCAGTACAGTAACTGTAACTAAAGATTTTTGGTGAGACACCTGCTAATTTCCCAATAGAGGTTTGCCGAGGCACCACAAATTTTCCTGAATATTTTTCATGAAAGCTCAACAACTGTACCGAACTTGTTTTTAAAGATTTTCTGTAAGGCTTTGCGTTGTTAGGCAGCTCAAATTATCGACTAATTCTAGATTCCAGCTGCATCCATCTTAGTAACAATCTCGATGAAATATTAAAACTTCATCATATTCGGCAGGCCAATTTCTGTTTTCGCGGTGGTGGCAACGGCCATTACTATCCTAGTAATCCTGATCCAGCTGTACGTGGACATCCCGCTTCATCACGACCAGCAGTACCCTAATCCTACAATAGTAAGCTTCTCCCTAGGCTTCAGTGGAATTCTCTTCGCGTTTGGCGGAGTGTCCGTCTTCCCGACGCTTCAGAACGATATGGAAGACAGGCGTCAGTGGTGGAAAAGCGTCGTGCTTGGATTCAGCGGTGAGGAACATTCCCACACGTCATTCCTAATCATTCTCGAATTCTTAACATGAACGATCATTTTTAACATGTGATAATACTCAACACTTCGTGAGTGATTGATAATTCATAATGCTTTTGAGATACACACTCTGTTGATAAAAAATTGCTACTTAAATCGAGTCATGCATAATATTATTGCGAAAATCTGTTATTCGTGTGTATTAAAACAGGTTTTCGAACACTTGTTTTCCGAGTATCAGCATTCAATTCAGTGTCAGTGCACCTACCCCATTGCCAATATAGTCACCCCATTGCCGACCATGCCTATATTGCTTTTATGAATGAGATCAAATGAGATCATTCTTTTGTAAGTTAATCGGGTGATTTGCGTTGGAGGTGAATCAGCAACGTAAATCATATTAGGATATTTTCATATATGCCTGTTCTTTGAATACTGTTGTTCGAATGCTTGCACGTGATTAATCCATCCCAAATATTTTTTTTATATAGAATAAAACATTTGTCGATTAGCAAAAATGATTTACCAGAATGTTTGTCTCTTTGTAAACTCGTGTCCGAACAACACAAACATTATTATCTTATACACACTATTTGCAAAATTTACATTTATTCTGGTTTCAAATGGCTTCTATAGCCCTCTTATTTTACGATTCATTTTAGAACACATTTATCTACTGCATGCTTCAACAACAGCATATATATTCGTGGTCACTTTCCCTCATGTCTTCTATTTTCAGTTGTCTTGTGTCTGTACCTGCCGATTGCCATCTCTGCTTACGTCATCATTGGTGATGCTGTGAGCTCCAATATCCTAATGGATATTAGTGAAGGAATTAATGTGACGATTGCCATGGTCTTGGACATCATCAACTTGCTGCTGACGAACATCATTTGCTTCAATCCGGTGGCGCAGGCTTTTGAGGACATCTTCAGAGTGCCAAATAGTGAGTTGAATAAATGGACGTTTTTTTGCAAGCAGTATTTTTTGAATAATAAAATAGTTAAACGTATGTATAGTATCATACATCTTGAAGTGTTGCAATAAAGTGGCATTTAATAATTTCCATTATGCGTATATTTAAACATTATAATTATACGGACACATTATCAATAAAAAAACGCCTTGAAGAAGATATTCAGAAACTGGGAATTAAGAGAATTATAACTATCCTGAAATATTATTCAGATTAGAATAATGACCAGAACTTTTTAAACAATTATCGCGGGTCATGAAAAAAACTTTCTTATACAAACCTCAATTATAAATATATTTCCTCAATTATAAAAAAAATTGACGGGTCAAATAAAACATTTAATTTCAATAATACAAAACTTATTGTAATGTTTTATCCCGTTTTCACATCATGAAACAAATTTTTACTACAAATTTAGTTTTTTAAAGAATATATAATACTTTTCAACTTAAATATATTAAAAATGTATCTATATTTCCAGGTTTCAATTGGCGACGAGTCGTGTTGCGCTCGTCTATTGTCATATTTGAAGCCACCGTGGCCCTGGGAGTCCCAGACTTTGGAGCGATCCTGAATCTGATTGGTGGTTCGACGATCGCTATATTGAGCTTCATTTTTCCCCCTTTGATGTACATGCGTTTGATGGATATGCAGAAAGACAAAACTTGGGAAGTGGAAGCATACGAAAAGTGAGTTGTAAATATATACATTTCACCATTATAGAAGTAGCGTTTTAGAAAAAAAATCTTTGAAATATGTCTAAAATATTCTTGCCGAAATTTATTTTGCTACGAATTTTGAAAAACTTGCGTTCACTTTTTAACACGACCCTAAATCGTTTTTAGATTAAACCTAACAAATTAGTAATTCTCATGAAATACAGTCTTAGCATGAACTTGCTGTATAACTTCACCCCATTTCGATGTGTTACTTCTCCACATCGTTATGACATTCATGTGCCATTAACCTCCTGTGATAGCAAGACTCAATGCTAAGTAATTTCTATCTGAAGCTTCACGCCCATTTCCGATATTTCTTCCAATTAGTACATTAATTTCCTTATAGAAATTTTTTATTACGGTTTTATGGGAGTAAATACCGTACGCAGGTCTCATTTAACGATTTTTGTTTCCTTTCAAACAGAACAATCCCTCTGTGGGAGCGCATTTACTTATGGATGATCGTTGTGGTGGCCGCCATAGGGAGCATCACGTCCACCGTCTCTGCACTCATCGTTATTCTGGACCCCGACACTCTTGGTGCTTCGTGTTTCTCGAATTTTCAACTCTCTTCGTCGTGATTATGCGCAATATACGCATTATTTTGCCATACTTATTCCTTGAATATTACATTCGAGAACCAATTTGTGCGTTCCACTGCAGTAAAATTTTTTTCGCTGCAACGTTTCTTCTCAATCATTGAAGTGGTCAGTATTAATTTTCTAATCAGTAACACGTTGACTCAATAACAGGGTAAATAATGAATCTTATGAAATTTATTAAAAACAAGGTGTGTAATAGCAACTTTTTCCGTCATTAATAAAGAAACTTCCAAACCCGTTTCTTTACGAGTAAAATCTAGTATGAGGATCTGCAGAAACCCTTTAATTTTCTGCCAAGCCGAGATCAATTTCGCACGTCTGATATTAAAATTAAATGTTTTAGCAATAAGATTCACATGAAATCTTTACTGTAACTATATGATGCACGTAACCTTTTCATCTCACCAACTAACCCCCCCCCCCCCCCCCCCAAAAAAAAAATCGGTTGTAGTAGATTATTCAGCGGTACACTGCACTAATTCGTATGTCGATTTACTTCATCTACCTATTAATTTTTACTGCGACAATGTAAGAATGTTATCACTGTTAAGCGACAGATTATATAATAAACCATAAAGGTTGAAGCAATGTTCATACCCTAAAATGAAATTGACAAAAAAGCATTTATTCCGAAACCGTTTGTAGCAGTTTCTAAAAGCATTGCTTCTACTACAAGACAACAAATCAGACCAGAAATTTGAATCGCCCGGGAAAGTTTCTATTCCGCCTCTCCCTACATCGTACCTTATTAATAATAAACGATTATTTTTCTAATCATTACGAAAAAGTTCGATGCGACGAGTTAACCCCAAATAAAGGAGCAAAAGCCACGCTGGTTGCTTTCAAGACCCGGTGGCAGAATATCGTAAGGGTCAGGCTGGCACCACAGCCCGGTTCCGCAGGTCCCATCAGAGGCAGACGGGCCCCCGCACCTCTCTCCTGGACCCTGTGGGATAGAAACTAATTTCAATTTCGGAAAGGGCGCACCAAAGTTCGCCTAATTATCATTTAAATTATCAGATATTTCGTGGCACCTTAATTTCACTTGGACCGTGTGGGATAAAAACTAATTTCAATTTTGAAAATGGCGCACCAAAGTTCGTCCTATTTCCATTCTAATCATCTGATACGAGGTACCTTAATTTCACCTGGACCGTGTGGGATAGAGAAGATAATTTAAAGTTTAAAAAAGACTAGCGAAAGTAGAAGAATATTGACCGAGTGAAGAATAACTTATTTCTGGATCAACTCAAAGGGGGAGCAATGCAGGGCCAATCATAAAGATTATGTAACGACCACATGCATTTATATCATTCAGAAAAATCGGATGAATACCGAGCGGCCTATTCTGTCAAACCGAGATGAAACTTGATTATGAGAGATAATTATAGGATATAAATCCCTAAGGCAAATGGCATCCATGTTAAATTTTTGCACCCATATAGATTGACCGTGAAACTGTAGGAAACACGCTTGATACGTTTTATCTTCGTCAATTTAATTAGTGCTTTGCTAGAATTCATTGAAAATCGAGCAGCATACAATAGCACGCGCGAGCGCGTTAGCTGGCCTATTTTCCTCATGAACAAACTCGTTCAATGAGAAAACAATGTTCAACCCATTTGTTTTCGGTGCAAAGATTTACACATCGGTGCTCTATTTAATTTGGAAATATCAAGTAAAAAGGAAACTGTGCGATTAGTCATAAATTTTTCAGAACTGAAGCTAACAATATTTCGCTAAGGCTCTTGAATAATGTGGTGGAAAGATATTGCAAATCCTTCGATTAAATATCCAAACTTTATGGGGCATGAACAGGGGTTCCTGTCAATGTAACTAGACAGGTTTTAGATCCACTGCAAGTGAAGAACACGCATTGAAATAACAGTAAAAATATTATATAAATGACGTGCTTTAACGATATTGCAAATAGTTTCAATTTCCGATCATTCACGGGCATGGAAGATAATTTCTGCCACTGAAGCAATACTGGCTTTAAATCCAGGGTAATTTAAGAACACGCTGCATATAAGTGCACTAAAAAAATTCAAATAATCTGGCTAACCTGCAGACAGATTGGGCAGCACTGGCAGAGATCGAGACCTGTGCCCCAGTGGCAGCTTCGTGGAGAGACAGGGCACTCCCAGCGTCTGCAATACGAGCACGACAGAGCCTCGGCAGCGCTGCAACAAATAAATGCTTTGTTATTTACTTGGCATGTATTTGTTATGGGTCAATTGTCAAACTTTGAGCTTCACAGACTATATAAAATTAAAGTGAAGGCAGATGGGTAATTGGCAATTGATTATCATATTTGATAAGAGAGGGTGTTAATTCAGTGGATAAAAAATGTATAATATTGAAAATCTATCTACCAAAAACCTGCCTTCCAGTGGCCTATACTAAGCCACTGTAATTTCTATCGGACTTTTTATTCAGAAAAATTGGTTATATTGGCAACGATTTGCGGTTTTATATCAACTTATTATCGACACGCTTCCTAAGCCTGCTTCATTTTTGCTCTGCGTAGCAGTCGTAGCACTTACCAAATGACGCTTGCGGCGACCAACAGAGCAACGGTACACGCCTTCATTGCTGCAGCCTAAGCTAATTCAAGAAATTTGCTGAGCGCGAGATTTGCAAATGGACGAGTAAATATTGTTTGCTAATAATTGAAATTTACTTCCAAAATGCACCTGCAAAATGTTCGTCAAGAATGTACAGCAACGATAACAAATATTTCGATCACGGAAATAGAGTTTTACACACCAATTTCCTGACTACAGAAACTCTGCCGAAACAATGCGCTTGGGACATGCAGCAACGGGTTAAGGCAGTGCAGATAAATAGATGATTTGCATTCGCGAACGGTAACAGCCTGTGTATTGAATGCATGCATGTGCCGGAAGATCGACGAGTCTTTCAGGTTGAGGATTTACAACGGACAGTCTAGGGCATAATATCCCGGAATGTAGCTGTGATCTGTATTACTTTGAAATTTACCGAAAACTTCAGCCATTATAACGACTTCTCCGACTACATTAAAGTTTAAAATAAATAAAGCGATGAGCTCTTAAGTAATTAGACAAAAGCGCACAGCAAAAATTTTTATTGAAGCTTATACGACCGATACATTTACCACGATTCCTTATTACTAGCCTAGGCTTCATTATAAATTTTCCTAGCCATTGCCAATGCGAGCGCTGTTTCAAAGGAGCCTTTAAACAGTCTTTCAAAGAACAAGAAAAAAATTCAAAATTGCCATAATTAATTTTCACTGAATAGCTAATCAGAATAATTACACATTAACCATAATAACAAATGCAAAAAAAAAAGAAAGTAAAATCAACATTTATCAACTGGTGGCACATTTCGGAAATTCTCGTTTTCGATCAAATTTCACCCGAATACCAGTGCTCCATTCCTCTTAAACAAATAAGGCATAGTAAATAATTCATCATTTATTTTAAGTTTAGCATGCGGTCTGCACTGCGGTTCATATCATGAAACATGATCATTTGTAAAGGCCTTCAAGCTCAAGATGGCCCAGTCATTGATGGCACCAAGATGGCTGTCAGGAAGCCAGCCGCTGGTGAACATTTTTGCAGCAACATGGGACTAGCGCAGCTTCAGGACAATAAACTGTAAGGATAATACAATATTCCGTAATCTTTGCAAGCAAACTTCCGGAGCCATCGCCGTGCCCAGCCAATTCTTTAGCAATCTACAGTTATGCGATTTTAGTAGGAGCAGGCCTAGTTCGAGGCCAAACTTGTCATTGGTGGCCAAGTTCGACCAGTTTGCGAAGGTGCCTGCGCCGAACGGCTTTGCTACGAGCGTGATGCTCTCACTACGAATAACTCGAACATCACAAGATAAAAATTAATAAAGCGAAATGCCAGCCCTTTTACCATCCCGATCGTTATCTGTTTGTGTACCAGGAAACCTTATCACAATCGCTAATTATTGCTCTTCACGACGACATAAAATGATGCACAGATACTGTCACGGTGCCGTGCAGGGGGTATCATGTCACAGAACAAGTGTCGGTAGCTCAAGAAAGAGCTGCATTGTTGGATGTGAAGTGCAATTTGCATTCCAAGAAATATTCAATATATTCTGCGACCAATAAAATTGGGATTTAAGTGGGTTGAGAAAGCATGACGTAAAAGTGAGATTATTGCGGTCCACTAAATTGTTGTAATAGATACTTCAAACATTGATCGATAAGAGTTACTGTCGACATATAAATTCTAGCAAGACGTATAAGCCACGAAAAGAATTGGTCAAGAATATTTTACTTTCTTACACGAATTTAAAAGAATCAATGGCGTATAAAAGAATCACAATTGCGTTTAACTACAATGTCTGTTAAAGTGGAATGAGGTTAAGACGAGTAAATGAAAAAAACTGTGCATGCACATTTCTATGTCTGACAGATACATGCGTTATAAATTTGTTTGCCAATTGTGCCTCTTTGACACGCGGTAATGTTCACTGACGTTAATAATGAGAACAAAATTAATAATGCATGATAGAGTTGAACATTTTCAGTAAATGATTATGTTTGTAATTGAATATTGGATAATAATGAATTAAATAACATTAAATAGCGCAACTTCTTGTTTAGCGTCTTTAAAATGCAAACTAATGCTCCATGCTGACGATTACGGTTTTGACTGCCGATGCTCAGTTTGAGGATAAATATTGAAATTTCATTCAAGGATGAGCTCGAGCTAACAATAATTGCTAGAAGGTGCATTTCAAAAATAACTTGTTACAAGAATCGTTTAATAATTAACGTTTTGATAAGACCACGTTATCAGGCTCCACGGGGACTAATTAGCTGATTCTTATCTCCATCAGGCAGATAAACTTCTTGAGAAATAATTATAATAGAAAACTCGGGAATATTAGAAGAGTGAAAGTGATGACCTCCACCTTTATGTTGACCTTATCTCGTTCAATCAGGTTACAGAGCGGCAAGGTCGTCAGGCATAGACAATAGTTTCTCGAAATATTACTATTTCCTATATTCTGCGTAGCGCTGCTAGTAAAAAATTATGCATCTATCGGAAAAGTTTCGCGATCAATTAGCAAGCCTTTTTCTAATCTAGGAACTTACTAAGTTGACCTAATACCAAAATTATATCGACGATTAAATAGTGGCAATACCTTTCGTGACTCGAGTGCTTTCCCAAAAAATTTCCTAGCCTAAAATAGAAGGCACTCTAGACTAATACAAGTTCAAAAACGTCGTTTGATTCGATAAAATCAAGAAATTAGAACGCTATATAGTTAATTCCAATAAATCAAGTATCCACATAAAGCAGTTCGCGTTTTCTTCAGAAAAAATACGATATATCTAAGTATGGAAAATATTATCGATAAATCAAGTGGGGTAGTGAAGCCAGGCGTGGGCGACAGAATTAACGGTTTAGGATACCTGATGGTAGCGTATTTCCTGGTCACCACCGTGGTTGGGGCTGGCTTCCTCTCCTTACCCAAAGCTGTTGCAAATACAGGTGAGTTCTGTAATTATAATTATGATACATTATCGCATATATCAAGAAATTTCAGTAAATCGGGCCATCATGAAATATTGAGACCAAAATGAGATCTCATAGTGACCGTTGCGTTGGTTCCCTAGTATACAAGTTTTGCAGCATTAGTTTGTTGGTATCATACTGTCACCTTATATAACTGGTCTGAAAATTATTGAGTGATTTCTAAAAATATTCACCAGCTGTCGTCAAAATAGGTTTCAAAAATTAGAATTTCAAATGCATGACATCAATTTACGTGCAAAAATTACTTGAACTAGAAGATCTTGTAGGTCATAAAATATTGTTGAAAAACCGCATTATTCCGAATTCAATTCAAATTAAAATTCTGACATTCCCCAGGATGGATCGGGATTCCGTTGATTTTACTCTTTGGAGGATCGGTAGGCTTCGCTGTCACGAGGCTCGGTCGCACATGGCTCATACTGGAAGAACGATGGCCTAAATACAGGGAACCTGCTCGGCAGCCATACATGGACATGGCTGAGAAAGCCTTCGGGACAATAGGCAGGTGAGCCTCCGTTTAGACATGCATTATTGATGCTCGAAACGACTTCAAAGAAATGGCGGATACACCGGATTTAGAACATGTAACCAGTGTAGGCTAAGGCTGGGAACATTTCAAAGAGGTGGGTAAGTCGAATTTCAGACGCTTTTCTAGGAGTGACTAAGGGTGGGAACGCTTCGAAAACAAAGCAGATGAAACATATTTCAGACATGCAGCCGGTCATGGCTAAGGCAGGGAAACTCTTCAAGGTAAAGGTAGGTAAATCCAAGCAGAGATCTAACCCAACATGACATTGTTGCAAATCTTCGAATAGGCGTGAAAATAGTCTGTAAGTCAATGCAACGTTCCGATTGCGAATGGACATGACGCGAGATTTGGTGCAATTCATACGTATCAGACGATGCATTTATATTGCAAAAAATGGAAAATTGATAAGAAAACTAGGTACGAGAAAAGTTGATATACTTATCTATAGTCCCATTAATATTAAACGAAACTGTAGGCAAGAGTACTGTTGCTATTATTTCTTTGCACTATCGTTTACCCCCAACTAATTCCTACACCCATTAACTTTCTTGCATTATCGATGAGTTAAATGCTAATATATATAAAAGTTGTCCCTATATCTTCGCATTTTGCAATCGACATTCGTGTATTGAAGTGAATTATATAGCTCTGCGGTCAGCCCAAGTTTGGGAGATACGAAAATTTATATTTATATCTTTAGAAGTAAAGCAAGCTGGCGATATGGGCGTCCGTACTTACTCCATACCGCAACTCACGAATAGCACAGCCTAGAAATTAGGTCAGATCTACCGATAATGAGATGCACAAAACTTCACCGATTGATAGTTTGTAATACCCAAAGAGTTTCAATGGATATATAAACATATCTGCAAATCTTAACCTTCAGTAGAAAACAAATGCAGTAATGTTAGTTTCCTCCGAGTCGTAGTCCAGCATACAGGATTACACACGGTGAACCATTGGGTTGCCTCGAGGCCGACAAATTTGAAAATCTCGTTGAATCTCGTTGAATTTTTAGCACCAGCCTTCTTGGGCATCTGGTGCTTTGGTCAGAGCTTGTGGTATTGTTCTTTAGAGCTTGTCGATGATGTCCGTCTTTGACAGAAAGGATACTAGTTTCTCAGCTGGAAAATCATCTCTTAGTAGGGTTGTCAGTGTGAAAGGCCAGTTCATCTCTTTGCAGTATTGGTCCAGGGGCTGACAAATTTGAAAATGTATCGTGGCATTCCGGCCTCTTAGAACAGGATTTTTCTCTAGATGAAAATGCTAGTAACAAGTGGGCACGAATAAAATGGAATTCGTTCCGAAAATATAACTGTTCAAATGCCAACTAAAATTCCAGGAAAACCTTGGCTCAAAAAATAACCATATGAAGATTTGTGAATATATATGAGTAATAAATATTGAATATGTATATATATAAATATGAATTGAATAAATATAATAAATAATAATTGGAATGATTAACATAAATAAAATTGAATTTATGTTCATATACATGATTTTTCAAATGCCTATCAATATTCCACGAAAGATCTTGGTACAAAAATGACGGGACACGATTTTAACAGGTGACTTCTGGGCTGTATGATGGCGACTGAAGGTAACACCGTTTGATAAACTTTTGTCTTGCTTGAAGACTAGTTTTTTATATTTTCAACGTACCTAAGAATCAATCTTTATTTGCTGGGTGATAAATAACGAACATTGATCCTGTAGTACACCTAAAGTAACGTTTGTAAAAATAAAATGATTGATTTTTTACAGGAGAATCTGTTTCGGGTGCGTGATGTTCACTCTTGTCGGTGATGGCATAGCATTTCTGGTCCTGATGGCGGGTATGGTGAACAGCATCATACCAGCAGTCAGCGTGTGTGGATGGATCCTAATTTTTGCAGTGCTGCTGTGGCCAACTTCGTTTTTCGGAACACCGAAAGATTTTTGGTAGGGGCTCATGTTGAAGAGGAAATGAAATGTATAATCTAAAAATTCGGGAAATTTATTTTTTAAATTGTCAAATCATTTTGCCCAACACAGATTCCTCCATTGAGCTCAAATTTTATGAATATTCTGCTTGAAATTAATTTATAAACATTAAAAGATCAAATCAAAGTTATCAAATTTGAAGATGACCAGGTATTTGCTTCATTAAAACTGAAACTTCATAATTATAAGAATTTATTACTAGTTTTGCTAATTCGTAACTTCATCCCTAAAACTTCAGGTTGGTGTCGATCTTTGCCGTCGTGGCCACTGGGGTGACAATTGTAGCTATCTTAATTCAACTCTTCCTAGACATCCCACTTCATCCTGACCCTCAGTACCCAAACCCTACAATCAAATCTTTCTTTTTGGGCTTCAGTGCAATAGTTTTTGCATTTGGCGGAGTATCAGTTTTCCCAACGCTGCAAAATGACATGGCCAACCGAAGAGAATGGTGGAAAAGCGTCATTATTGGATTCGCTGGTGGGTTTAGTCTAATTATTAAAAATACTTTCAGGTACCGATACTTTTTAAATGCAAAATAGCCTTAAATTCAGTAATTCAGAGACAATATATATTAGTAGTAAAACATGTTTTGAAATGTAATTAAAATGATGTTCAAATACACCTGTTATAAGTGAAAAGTGGGGTTGTGTAAATTACAGTTTAATCATACACGATTCTCACGACTTGCCGCTATTTTTCCATTTTTCGCCAGTCATTTTCGCTCTATATCTCCCCGTGACCATTGCCGGCTATGTGATCATCGGCGTCGATGTTAGCTCCAACATTCTCTTGGACGCCTCGAGCGGCGTCAACATCACCATCGCCATCACCCTGAACGTCGTCAACCTGTTGATGACTTACATCATCTGCTTCAACCCTGTGGCGCAGGCGCTTGAAGACATCTGTAACGTTCCTAATTGTGAGAAGGTGGAAGAAAACCGATATCCTGGGAATATATATTTAGAACTCAGAATATTCTAGACGCATTTGAACATGAAATTATCAGTAAAAATATTTTATAGTAGAAGTATTTTTCCTAGTTTTTAGATTATTTTTTATATACTGTAGGATGAATTATTTGCCTCATTAAATTTTAACTGTTTACTCGCATTTTACAAAACTTTCTCGTACCTCTCCACGACATGAAATTCTATTTCATCATCAATGTTTCGAAATATTGAATCACTGAATTACTTTACTGATAAAAAATATCTTGCAGTTACGTTATATAAATTTATTTTATTTTGCACAAATTTTTGCAGCCCATCACAGTTATGATTGATTTACGTGCTGTTTTTTTAATTCAAAAATATGATATGCGTGCGCTTTTCAGGATTTCAAGATGTTGTTACTCAGTTTCTTACAAAGTTCGCTGAAGTACAAGATTCCTCAGACGAAGTAGCAGAAATCAAATTATGTACGCCTGAATTAATGCGGAACAATTTCGCTTAATAAGTTCCGGAACAATTTGGCCACAATGGGATTTAAACAACTTAAACGTAATATAGAGTGCTTTAGATAATTCTCAAAGTCACAAACCTAAAAAATTCACATTTTCCCAAAATAATCGAAAGAGATTTAACATTCAATATTTGATGTAGAATTGTTAATTTCTAGTAACTCCGAGAAATGTTAATAGTAAAAATAAATCTTTATCCAAAAATTATTTCCTCAATTATTCTGTCTTTTAATAAATATGTTTCCTACAGCTTTCAACTGGAAGCGCGTGTTGCTCCGTACGGCCGTTGTAGTCTTCGAAGTTTTTTTCGCATTGGCTGTGCCGGATTTCGGCGCCATCTTGAACCTCATTGGCGGGTCAACAATATCGATATTAAGCTTCATATTCCCGCCTCTGATGTACATGAGACTTACCGACATGACAAGAGATGAAACTTGGCATGAAGATGCCAAAGACAGGTAAATAAAGTACAATAAATTATCTTCTATGCAGTAATTATGTCCAGAAAATATACTGTGATATGTCATGTGGAAAGTATCACAATCGCTAGAAATTTATGTATAGTCACTCCAATAGACAAGTCGTAATTCGTGACTATTTTCGATAGAATTCTATGAAATTAATGTATATTTTTTGCTAACACAGATGCATAAAAAATTATTAATCCATCATCAGGATCACGTCTTCTGGCAATAATGCTGTAATAATATCACAGCTTCTTTCCTAATAATAAATAATATTCTCTCATGAACTTCAGAACCATCCCGCTGTGGGAGCGCATCTACCTATGGATGATCGTTGTGGTTGCCGCCATCGGCAGTGTGATGTCAACGGTCTTCGCCCTCATGGTTATCCTGGATCCTGAAACTTTAGGCGCTTCTTGTTTTGCAGACTTTTCTCTCTCCGTATAATGTTGTGCCGTGTAGTGTCTCAGATATTATTAGTCAATATTTAAAGATAGTATTCGTCATAGTTCGTTTATGGATCAGTTTTTGAGATTATTCAACCATCTTTCGATATAAATTAGGCACATTGCCTTGGTTTTATTGCGCTATTCTTGAGAGCATTTTCATAAAAAGAAATTGATACAAGTAAAGCAGTTCAATAAACTTATTAAACACATTTGGTGTAGTGTGTTGTTTACAGTCATGAAGAAACTATGATCAAATAATATACATAAATCTTTCCGAACACACATCGGAAAACAAGCAGACTTAGCTTTGAAGGTCACTCATCCAGTTATATTATAATTATATTATACAGGGTGTTTCAGAATTAAGTAACCCTTTTAATTTGTTAATAAATAAAAAACTAAGAACGTTATGAATATATTATATTATATTATACAGGGTGTTTCAGAATTAAGTAACCCTTTTAATTTGTTAATAAATAAAAAACTAAGAACGTTATGAAGTTGAAACTTGTTTTATTTAAAAGAAGAACATTTTTATGGTAATATTGTATCCTAGTTTTTAAATATAATATCTTTTAAATGCCCACCACAATTGTTTTGACAAAATAGGGCTCTTCTCTTCGTTGCTTTCATAACCTTCTGTTCTTTCTTCTTTGCTGTAGCGAATCATGATGAAAATGTAAGGCTTGATAATTAAACACAAATTTAGCAAGCTATACAGGATAATGACGTAACTATGATACAATATTACCATGAAAATGTTCTTCTTTTAAATAAAACAAGTTTCAACTTTATAACGTTTTTAGTTTTTTATTTATTAACAAATTAAAAGGGTTACTTAATTCTGAAACACCCTGTATAATGATACGTCACCTGGCCGATTACTGGATGCATTTAAGTACAGAATTCTATAATTCTAATTTAAAGGCGTGTTATTTATTTTATTTATACTTACTTCAAATCAAACTTGGTCACGAGGAGTTAGTTCTTACGTTAATGAATGTAGACACGGCGCAGTATTCAAGTTACCGCACTCAAATAAAATGCGTCCGCATTTGTAGCAAAATTTGAGCAGAAATTATGATAGGATTAAATTTTTTATAAATAAATATAAGCTTCTCTGGTAATATTTATAGCAGTTTTCTTGAACTCGGTTAACTTTCATGTCCTTACTGTGACGACTTTTGTTATGCAAGTGAAATTTACTGCTCAAATTCCACACCGAAATGAAACTGAAAGCTGTTTTGTAAGGTATGCTGAAATAGCTGGGCACCAGCCATTTATGTCAACATTATAAATGTGATATTTCTGAACTGCATTGTACTATTTATAAGTTTTGCTTGTCGTGAGCCCATGTGTGAACATTTCCTCCAAGTGCACCACATCAGTTTTATAAGAGAGACTGTTACACTTCGCATGTTTCATTATGGTTAATATTCATAAGTATGATTTCTTAGGAATTAAGTTAAAAAATACGTTCATGTCTTCATGATTTCGGTCAAAATAATGTTTTTTAATTATTTCACAAATTTCAGCCTGAAGTCATTGTATGACAATTTTCATTGTCATGCAATTTTAATGGTTTCATGTTGTCCTGAAACGACATGATGACTGTTTTGTGTAACGTTTCAGTTCGATTTATAATTGTTAATTTCTTGCGTTAGCCCCAATAATACATGGTAGAGTTATAAGTAAATTATTTTATATTTTAATTCTAATTATATCAGAAAAAATTATTAAATGTGTTATAAGATTTAATTTGTCCTTATGTATGAACCGTACATGATAGTAATATTAATCCCTCATTAAGATAATTTTTTTCATTTTAATTGAGGCTTTCCATCTTTAACATGGAATTCACAGAACACAACTTTAGCCCCACGACAATTCAATTGAAACTCTAATATTCACGATTAACTAATTTCAAGGACACAAAGGCCTCTTACCGAAATTGTGACAAATGCTTTATAACTTTTACACTTTTTAGTTACCTGATTTTTCATGCTACGAGGTATGAGGAATCTTCAAAGTAAGTGTAACCGACAAATAACTTCCGGTAAACTTTGGTACGAACAGCACAAATTTTATTCAGTACCGAACCAAGCTATCATAACCAAAATGCATGACACAAGAGGCTCTACAGTGTGGCCCGCATTCAAAATGCGAAAGACACTGCAATATATTTTTTTTTGTCACCAAATGATTTTCTAATATATTTCAGGCTATCAGGTGCATTAGAACAAAAGTTCCTCCGTCGTCGGAGAGTGTTATCAAGCTATTAGTATAGAATGTACCGAATAAAGGCTATTTAACGCAATGCAATCTATATATATATTTTTTCGAAAATTTTTGAAAAAATTTCAAAAATTTGTTTTTACTAACAGCGAAGAAACTGATACATGTGTGGAGTTTTATCAAACACCTCGCGTTCAGTACGTGAGGTGTTGGACAAAAACGATCAAGGAGCTGCGCCCGAATAAATGAATTAATTCACTTCGAAACTTGTAAAACTTCTGCAATGTTGGAATGCGAAAGAATTACTTGAGTTCGATGATATTCGGTGATGAAACATGCAAGTTATCACCGAAAATAGATTCTGAAACGGCTGAATCAACATGCAGCCACGGCACTATCAGTAGGGAAGTGAATAAATTCGTCGAGTTAGATTATATTGGGTGACGAAACATGAAAGTTATTAGCTGAAATGAAATTGTGAAATGATGGAATGGACAGCAAAGAAAATTGGAGAACCTAATTTCGAAATTGTCCAGCTGATAATTTTGTCCACTAATGCAGCCACTGCACTGTTTTAAAGGAAATAAATTCCTCGAGTTAGGAAATGTTTGTGTTGAATCAGTGATGTTCTTACCGGAAAACTCAATTGCGAAACAGACGAACTAACATTCAAGCAATTCATGCAGCCATTGCGATGTTGGAAAACGAATGAATTTTGTGATTTAAGTGATGTTTGTGTAGAATCATTGCTGTTCTCAGGGGAATACTCTACATTGAAACGTATGGACTAAATTTTAAGCGATTCATACAGCCACAGCTATAGCGCAGTTGAACAATGAATGAATTTCATGATATAAGTGGTATTTCATGTTGATTAATTCTCCATTAGAAATCACATTTCAAGGCAGGGTTTCAACAAGACAGCAGGCGTTACAAAGAGCCTTACCGTAGCACTAGCCGAACATGATCAGAAAATTAAGTTAACAGTAACAAACACTGATGTAATTTCATATTGCCTTCACGGACTTTCAAGAGTTTCAATTATTTCATCAAATTATTAGCCATAAAATCTAATAAAGAACCGAAACTAATAAACAAAATCTTAGGACTACAAAGAACGTATATTTCAGTTCATTAATGGTCGATATAAAATGAAATGCTGTCCATTATAAGCGATTTACGTTATTAAAATTTTAAAAAGTCTAAATCATTCCTAATCGAGAATATATCAATACTAATTATATAGCTGAAAAAAGGAAATTTTACACCGACAAACTATTCGTTTTAACAGAATTACAGACACATAAATGTATTCAGTCAGCCGATTAATAACCGATAAAAAGTTTCCGACCTTTAAAATAAAGTGGTGTAATTTCAGACGAAAATCGTTTAGAGATTTGCTGGTTCTGAGATTGGTGAACCTGAGAGGTTAGAATAACAAGTCAGAATATTCTTGCTCTCAAAAGCAGTGAGACAGAGAGATGGATTTAATTTGCATATCTCCGTATTCAAGACGCAGTATAACTGAACAAAGGAATTAACCTCATGATTCCTATTGTTGGCGGTTCCAATTTATGCATAGAAAACAATTGGTTATTCGCAGAAGTCAGATAAAAAACCTTAGGTTCAATTGAGAACTGTGGGTGGCCTTGGGAAGCTCTTTGTGATCGTAGCCTTAGTCTTACACGTCATGTGCACTGCTAGTATAAAAGGTTTAGTTCCCAACCACGCTATACACTCCAATTCAGGACTGCCGAGCAGCAGTTGTATCAATAGCTGTTGTATAATGACATATAAAATAACAAAAATTGACAACTAACTTCGTTACAAATCTCTCTTCAAATTTTTATCATTCATTAGTATGGTTCCTTATTATATTATATTATGTTATTTTGTATTATATTATATTATATTAAATTATATTATATTATTTAGTCACTATATGTCATGTATAGCGATTTGTTAGTCTAGTCACTATATGTCATGTATTGCGATTCACTAGTCTAGTCACTATTTGTCATGTATAACGATTCACTAGTCTAGTCACTATATGTAATGTATAGCGATTCACTAGTCTAGTCACTATATGTCATGTATAGCGATTCTCTAGTCTAGTCACTATATGTAATGTATAGCAATTCACTAGTCTAGTCACTGTATGTCATGTATAGCGATTCTCCAGTCTATTCACTACATGTAATGTATAGCGATTCACTAGTCTAGTCACTATATTTGCGATTGAACAACATGTATAGTTATTTGTATCAGAACAGCGTATTAAGTCATGAAAAACTGCCAGCTGTATGCATTTTATCTATAAAAAAGTTAGTGTATGTCAGCAAGGGATGCTACACGCATTTAATAAAATTCTAGTTATGGCAAATAAAGAACGGTTTTGTATTTTTTGTTTTAAGTGTCAGTGATTCCTAAATTATGTACTAACTGACAGTGAAGGGTCAGTCAGTTCATAATTTTATAATATTATTAATTCTCAAGCCAGATTATCGAACTTGTTCAATATAGACTTCTTTAGATTTTTAATTCGAATACACACCTCATGAAATTTGGTCTCGCAAGTCTAAATTAACCCGAAAAACTCAGGTTCAAATAAAATTTCAGTTAACCTCTAAATTAAGCTCAACATAAAAGAGAAAATTTAGATAAAATGAAAGAAAACGGCAAAATTTATTTTAATGAAAAGTTGTGTCATTACTCTAGAATCTTCGCTGGAAAATAATCTATTTTTTATTCATATAACATCCAATCATCGTCTATGCGCTTCATTTATTCGTGTACACTCTGACATAATGTATGGATCATAATGCCCAAATAGTGTCAAACATTTTGCACATAGCACTAATATACTCATTTTCTGGGTCTAATTAGGTCAAGTGGACCCAAGTGAGGCAAAAATATGCATCACTATTTGTACAATGTCTCAATTATTGACCTGAGTGTACGATGTCCGCGCAAGGTTCTGCAGCTGTAACTGCTGATTCAAAAAGACTCATTTCGCGTGTCGAGATTATATTTATAATTAAATTTTCATCATCCACACACTTTTATCAGTTTTTGTTATCAGATTATTGAAGTGGCCTTGACTGAATAATAAACATTTCTATTAAATATTATGTCCGCGCAGGCGCGCAGAGGCGCAGCGTAAGTGCGACTGTCGGGTCGTGCGGTGCGCAGGAGTAGACGAGCGCACGTGCAAGTATGGCGTCGGCCTCAACGCCTGCGGCTGCTGCCAAGTTTGTCTACTTGTAAGTGATATAAACTTGCGTAAATATTTATTTGTTCCTTTTCCTTCTAATTGAGATATTATTTGGGAAATTTCTACACAACAAACACGTCTTTCCACGCATTGATTTACTTGAGTATGAGGTACTTTTTCTGGAGCATATGTATTTCCAGTTTAAAAGTGTAGTTATCAAGTATTTGGGATAAAAAGGTGTGATTATTAAGTTGAACTTCCCGGCCGATACTATTTTTTCCTGGAACCTTGCACTAGACATCGTTAACGAGGATTAGTGTTATCTGATGTCAGATAATCAAATTTCCAAGCGAAGACATTCTATTCCCAATATTTATTTCATACATCATTAATGGAATTATTATCCCTATGTGATTTAAAAAATATTACGTATGAATTTTTTTACCCGCAACAAGGGCCCTGGTGAGGCTTGTGGCCTAGACGCTAAATGTGGCACGGGCCTCAAGTGCGTGAAAAGAAACCCTCGCGATGCCACTGGAATTTGCCAAAGAAGTGAGTTTTTAATAAACGTAAAACAAGTTATTCAGTCATACCTATGAAAAAATTGTGGCGTGAAATGTTTGTTTCTTAAGACAGAATTTGGATAGGCAGTATTTAATATCAAATAGTATTAAAATATAATTTATTAAATACTATTTAACAGTATTTCAATAGATTAAATAATAATCCCATATAGGCAGTATTTTAATCCCATGATTGACAAATATATTTCAAAGTGATCATTGACAAAAATATTTGTCATCAAATATTTTTGTTTCATTCAAATTTTATATTCATATCCTAGAATCAATTTGAGACTGCTTGGTAGCAATTAATAATAAATTTTATAAAGATCTATTGTTTTTACAGGTCATAGAGGAAAACGAGCCCTGCCCCAGGCGTGAGGTGGAATTCACAGCGGGCATCATAATCTGTTTATAATAAATTTTGTCATAAATGAAGTTTTATAAAATAAGAATATTGCATTTGTTTTTATTGCTCTGTAACTTGGCCGGGCAGGAGTTTGTTCATGGCTTCCTAGAATTTGTTTTCTGCTAGGAAAAACTTGACAAGGCTTCCAGGGATTCGCAGAATTGTTTTTTTTCCTTCGTGGAAAACGTAAAGCGAACTTGATTGCATTTAAAGGAAGTTGTGTTGATAACAAAGCAATTAATGAGAATCAATATAAAATAACATGAACTGTTTTCCTAGTTGAATCGTAATTAGATTCGTCATTTAATATGTAGTATGTAGTCATTTGATTTGTTTCTCGCAAAGAAATGCTTCTTATCGCTTGACAGATTTTTTAAATTAAATATGAATCGAAATATTTAGGCTGGATCACTTTCCAGCGTAAAGAAAAGCGATCAGGTATAAGGATGGGTTAGGAATAAGTGCTACATTCTTTACAATAGTACATTTATTTTAGAGAGCTCCTGTGTGGGAGTCACACCAATTAAGGCGTATTGCCTCTATTGGCCACAATTGTTTTGTAATTGTACTCAGTGCGGGCCTTGTCCATTCTGGCAATTTATATAATGAAAGTGTTGCTTATTTTCATTGATTTTTGTTACCTCCACATGGAATTATATCACAAACTTTAAACTTTTCTAATTTCTACCTGTGTAAGTTTTAAACTGATTACCGTGATTAGTCCGTTTCACGAATGACTTTTTCCTGAATTTGCATTTGAAAATGTTGATTCATTATTTTGAAAATGTTGATTTTATAAAGTAAAGTGCACAGATGGTATTGTGTGCCATTCATTTTTTGATTATCATTTCCTATAACTACGTTCAATTTCATTCTCTTACGGCATAGCCAATTTACAAAGCAAGATCCTAGGCAGAAGCAAACAAGTTAGAGCCGGAAAACTGCTTGAACAACAACGTTGTTATGGCGATGTCCAAGTATGTTTGGTAAGAGCGGCATGACCGGTTTTTCCAGCAGCCTGCGTTCACAATCGAACAGCAGGAGTCGCGTGTACAAAGCAAGACTGAGTCGACCTCTAGACTAAAAATTAATTATTTTTTTTCCGCAGCCTGACTTGACATTTAAATGAGTATTGCTGTTTCCTTGAAAGCAACGACAAAAATTTAACGAAAAATCCAAACTTTAAATTTATAAGCATGACGTTCTGAGGAGCAGGCTTTGGCTTTGCTGTGGTTCATTACAGTAGTAAAGTAATGGACTGTACTACAGTAATGTGGAATACCGGAAGAAAACTTTTTCTAATTAAATAAAATAAAAATAAAATATTACTAAAAGAATAGTGTGGACGACTAAAAGAAAAATCTCAATGCTCGATTGCTTCTTTGTCATTGATGGATATACTAAAATAATTATCAGAGAAGCATAACTTTTAACCTATACGCTTGACCACTAATGAGTTACTAACTGTGTTATTAAGAAAAATTCACACTTTTATTTGAGGAATTGAACTAAAATTCTATATAAACGACATGATAATCAATGATAAATATGATTTGCTGATGAGTTAACTTTAATATATGTGTTTTACGGGAAAATGGCCATTTCAGGCAACAGTTATATAATTTTCAACTTAATCAAACTGTTATATGTACATAAATGAAATTAGACCGATTCATTTACCTCATTCTCTCTTCGTGTACACTGAAATGCGTGAAATAAAAGAGATTTTCATGAACACGCGTTAGTCTGACGCGTCATTCTGACTGCAGGTACATAAGACGCAGCTCCAAACGTCCCCTATCATTCCAACAGAAGACTAGTAGGTAAGTGTAGTATTGATACAAGCTCTACGTTCTTCCAGAAAGTCAACATGTGTAGAAAATTTTTAATTTTCTTCAACTTCACCCTAAATTGTACAAATTTTACGTGTAATATATAACAAATGATGCATAATGATACAGCGCTTAACTTATTCAGCACCCCTAATCAATAATTTTATTTATTTATTATTATATTAATATTTATTTGATTTATTATAGTGACTGTTAACTTTTACCAGGTGATTTTGTTGCAGGAACATAAAGTTATAATTGATAAAGAAGGACTCGACATGTTTAAACTTAGCAGTGTCATCGTGGTGACTCTGGTGTTGACTTTTGTATGGTGAGTATAAATTAAGGCCTCAAAGATGTTACGTTGCTGGAAATGAATCAAAAAAATCGCCTCATTTATCATTATAACTGCAATACATGAAACTGAAATGCAAATTTGCAAAGTCAGTGCCATTCAAGAGGAGTATAAATTGACAGGACACTACTTAACTTTTTTTTTTGTTTCTCAGCAGAAAAGTTTAGCGCATTGGATCTTATTATGTATTTAATTGCGCTATTAAAATAATCAAATCTAAAAATATCATCTGGCTATGCAGTAGAACATAGCAATCCAGAAGTTATCCGCAACGTTTTTTCATGATAATCAATCATAATTGCTCCTGCAGCTGGTCTAGAAATCAACATATCGTAAAAATCTCCTTGGTATAGTGGCAATTTCTATGTGAATTTACATAGTCATAAAATTATATAAACTGCATAACCCAGGCTGCCACCGTGGTTGGAAAATGAGAATTGGGATTGTTCCTATAATCCGAAAAGGACATTCAATCCTTACCTTCAAAACGTTGATTTCAAATTTATAGCAAATTGACACTTTCTTAGTGACATCGCACTTGGCATCGTTTACACGATAATTTAGAATTTTCGAATTTCACCTTTGGTTAAATTCATCCGTAATTGATTGTGGAACATCGAAATTTTATGAAGCGTCTTTCTTGCATAAATATTCTCGAACTAATGCAGGTCACTTAAACATTTTCTTAAAGCGATTGCAGTCTCCTGAACATTTTCCTAAACCATTGCATGTCAGATAGATATTTATTCACCATTTCAGGTCAGCTGTTTCATTCCGGGTCTGCTGAACATTTTTTATCCATTTCAGGTTAGCTGAAGGCCTGAAATGCAGAGCTTGTGAGCCTGAGAACTGTACACCGCCAGCGGGCTGCAAATGGGGCACGGGACTGGGCGTCTGTCAGTGCTGCTCAGTCTGCCTCAAAGTCAGTCATTAGTGAATTTTGAGCAAAATCAGTTAAAATTAAATAATGGGAAAATTAAGAGTGGCTATATTTTTAGAGACATAGAATGTCCCTGAAATAAAGGCATTTTTATGTTAATAATTAGCTAATGTGTTGCAATTAATATTCATAGTCCTATCTTTTAATAATAACAATGATCCCAAGTTTGAATGCGCCTTGTGGGAATAAATTTAGCCGCAAATAGCGAATGAATTCAAACCAAAGCGAAGACTTCAGAGACCAATTCTGGGAAAATATGCCAAACTACCAAGTTAATCTGCATAATTTCGATTATCAATGTTTGTTTGGGATTTTATCTCTGACCGTGAAGGTTTGTTGCAGGGTCCCGGTGAGCAGTGCGGTGGACCATGGCACATACACGGTCAGTGCGGTAGTTCCCTGGAGTGCATTCTGGATGAACCTGCAGTCGAGAACGGGGCTGGTGTGTGTGACCGTCCTGGTGTAGGTGGGTTGGATACCGAGTGAAAATGTGACGTGGGTAGAGAAAGATATATAATAGATGTAATACTTGTAAATAAAATATTAAATGACTATATTATAAGATATAATTTAACGAATTAGTATTCTGTATTTAGTATTACTTATCTTATTATAAAAGATTAAATAAGAAATAGTTGGTTATGATAATCAGAATAGCTCCAAATGACATATATATTCCAAATGCGTCTCAATTATCAATGTTTTGTTCGTCAAGCTAGATTTCACCAGCAATGGAGATTTTGAGAACTAAAATTTAGAAATCTTAGTAAACCAGATTTACCATGGATAGCATATAGACTTTAAATTTGAGTTTTATTGTGAACGCATAATGTTAGTAGTAAGCCGAAATCATCTCAGATTATGTAGATTGGTCATGGTTACTCTACAAATGGCTTTTAAAATTCCAATCGTTTATCTATCCAGTGGATCAGTGGATCACAATCTGCGCAAAGACAAAATGCAGTTGATTTGAACAATAATCCACATGTTGAACGGGCGGTATTTCAATCAATGTGAAGTTAGAAAATTTGATAATAAACTCTATTTAGAATAACAATTTTACAGATGTTTTCTTGTAAGGAAAACATATTAAACTTCATGGAATGGAATATAGAAAAGAATACAGAATACTAATTCTTGAAATATACTAAATGGATTCGATCACGTTTAAATATTCTTAACAGTTAATTTGAGCAAAAAAGTTTCATTAAACTACATTTCCGTGAAAATAGAAAATATTGTTAATAATCATTCACCGTCATTTATAATTTTTAATTTTAATGTTGAGTTTTCCCATAGGCATCATACGACCATAGGCCGACCCTGCAAAAACCCGACCACCAATCCGTTTACGATCAGCGGTCTGAAGCATCAGCCGTAAAACTTAAAGGAAGAGATAAATTTCAACAAATTTAATTTAGGAATACGATGTAAAATAAAAATGGGCAGTGTCGACACCCTAGTTTTAATAACCCATGTGTGCAAAATTAAATTAAGATTTGTATGAATTTGCATGATAAATAATGCTCTCTAATTGCTAAAACTCTGTTTATTTCGAAAAATATATGTTTTGCCTGCTGATGTACTATGATAATTCGCAAGATTGCTACATTTATTACTGCACCATCATGAATCAATTCTGATATTGGATTCGTGTTATAAGTTTCCCGTTCATTTCCCGTTAATTTTAGTGTTGTATTCTTTTCCTCTGTGATTGTCTGCATTTGCCTGCTTGACCAGTTAAAAAGTCGTGAATTTGAAGCGAAAGTATAAGCTGCACGGAAAACATCATTGTAATGGTGATTCGTAGTCATTTTTGTACCGATTCTTGTAATTGCACAATTGCACAATTTTGTAATTGCACAACCGGATTCTGTAGTAGTATGCGTTCACAAACGTACAGCACGAAGCCGCTAGCGTTCAGCAGCTGTGAACACGAGCTACCTGAGCCGACAATCAATATTATCCAAATTAAATCCATTTTAACATCATTGTTGTTCATTGGTTGACCACTATGGTTGAACGTTGGTTGGCAAGGACCACAAAAAGGGCAATAAAAGCAATAGGCTTTATATTTCCATAAAGAACCGTGGAGGAGTGACGCAACTGCATTCGTATTCATTTAGATTATCTCAGTTAATCGTGATGCAGGAGGCGCCAATGATTAATGAGAGGCTGTAAGAAAACCTCGCCCATTTTAAAAATTTAAATTAATACATTTAATGAAGTTCATTTCTAATTTTTGTTTAAGAAATGATTAGTACCAAACAGGATGAATTTCTAGAAAATGGTCAACAACTTTATGTTCATTTTACACGCAAACACATTCATCAGAAACGTTTTTTCTTGAAAGCTTCTATAACTGTAAATTTGAAAGTATGTCTCAACACTGAAGCTTTGGAATGATATCTGCTTGCGCTTGAAACCTATTTGTGAATGCAACCTGCGTATGACACAGCATATCACTGCTGGTACAAAAGAAGTTGTTTTCCCCCGCACGCTTCACTTCAAGTGAGACTTAGCACGAGCTGTGGTAGCGATAGAGTCTCCTCTTTGAACAAAGAAAATAACAAGGATAACAGAACCCAGCATGTACACATTCGAAAAACGCATTTATTGAAATAGAAGTCCCTGAAATAGTGAGCCTGGACCCAATACGTAGTTTGTGACATTTTCTGGCAATAAATGCTAATTTTTCGTTTTTTTCCAGAATCCTTATATAATTTTTGTACATCAAATTACAGAAAATTGGACCCATTATGTTTAAAGTCGCCAGCTTCATTGCAGTCTTCCTAGTTTTGACTACAAACTGGTTAGTTGCTGTGTTTTTATACGATTAACTAAAATGATAGTCTACATAATTTTTAGAGTTTTTCACTGATGTTAACAACAGCCAGTTAATTCACTGTATAAGTGAGGAAAACTCATGCCATCGAAAAATATTTCCTGATCAAATTGAAATTATTAAAAAAATTCATTATGGGCAACAAAATCTTGAATCACTAGATACATATTTTTCACGAAGTTGAATAATTCTTCTTCTAACTTTCTCTTAGTATTTTTTAGTGATATAATATCAGATAATATTGTTATAAGTATGCTACATAAAACCCGCAAAATTTTTCCCCACGTTATAAATTTAATCTTTTATAGAAGACTTTCGTAATATTCTGATTTAAAGATCTGCGCAATGAATAATTTAACGTTTTTTTCCAGTTCAACACATATCCACTCTCATTATTTATAGTTCAATTAAACTTGTCTCAAGGATTGATGAACATCCTAAAACCTGTTTATTAAAAAAAAGTTTCTGCTAGTGTAACTGCTGATTTAAAAAAGTCTGATTTCGTGTGTCGAAATTATATCCATTATTAAATTTTCATCGTCTTCAAACTTTTTTCATCGTATTTTGTTATCAGATTATTAAAGGGGCTCTTGACTAAATAATAAATAATGCACGCGCAGGCGCGCAGACGCGCAGCGTAAGTGCGACTGTCGGGTCGTGCGGTGCGCAGGAGTAGACGCGCGCACGTGCAAGTATGGCGTCGGCCTCAACGCCTGCGGCTGCTGCCAAGTTTGTCTACTTGTAAGTAATAAATTTCCTCTTTTACTTGTAAGTCCTTTTTTCCTCCTAATTGAGATATTATTTGGCAGAATTCCCTTTTTTCCACGCATCAAATTTAATAATACAATCCTCAAGGTCAAAACGGTAAACACTAATACTGTGCTCAAATATACATATGTTGAAATAAATAATATAATAATTTTTGATTTAATAATTTGAAATAAATAAAATATTCTCTATTTATCGTGATTATGTAAATTTATCAAGGGACCTGGTGCTACTTGCGGAGGACCTGCTGACATAGAAGGAAAATATGGCACAGGTCTGACTTGCGTTAAAAGAGACGTCACAAAATCGAATTAATAATAATAGCGGTTTCAGCGTTATTAGGCCGTAGGCCTGTCGCCGATTCTTAACATCGCAGAACATTCACAGCATTTTTGCGGTTTCGAACTCGCAACTCACTGCCACAATTCTGCTATGCTTAACCGCCCGGCCTCCTTGCCGATTCTGACCAGAAACTGACGCACAGAGCTGGGATTGAACCCGCGCCTCTCTGCGCCAATCTTGGTACTCTGAACTTTAACCACTGGGCCACCCTGCCCATGCCTTCTCTTTAAGAATTCAAGAGGAATTTGTCAGTAAGGTGTGTTACATGAGAAAAAGCATTCCGTTTACAATAAATATGGTTTAATTTTGCAAATTTAGTCTATTTTTCTGCACGTGAATTTTTTTTTTAAACATTAATACAAATTTGATAAAAGAAATGTAAATTGTAAGTAGGAGTTTTAAAGGATTTTGAAACCTTTAGCGTTTTCGAATAGTTGGATGATTTTTTACGCTGATTTATTTGATATGCTACATTAATAAAATTTAATATTCAATTATTTTTCTTATTTACAGAAAGGGAACTGGCGCTCCAGGCCGACGATAAGGCCGAATTAAATCTCGGAAGAATTCTCTTTAAGAATTCACTCTAAGATTTCACTATAAGAATTCACTCTAAGAATTCACTCTAAGAATTCACTCTAAGAATTCACTCTAAGAATTCACTCTAAGAATTCACTCTAAAAATCCACTCTAAGAATTCACTCTAAAAATTCACTCTAAGAATGCACTCTAAAAATCCACTCTAAGAATTCTCTCTAAGAATTCACTCTAAAAATTCACTCTAAAAATTCACTCTAAAAATTCACTCTAAAAATTCACTCTAAGAATGCACTCTAAAAATCCACTCTAAAAATTCACTCTAAGAATTCACTCACTCAAACCTCTCTACTTCACTCCTAATTTCGGCTAGGCAATATTCGAGTTATATTACCACACTCAAATTTCAGATGAGTTTTTTAATATATCTGCCGCTCACTTGTATGACAACTATCGGTCAAAAAAAACATATTTCATCACATGAAAAGGAGGATGATATCTTTTCTAAATAATAATAAATGTCAAAATTTTCTTCTGAGTTAAAAACCTCCAACAATTTATTTTATCAACAATTCCTCACTGAGTTTGGCTTTCAGTAATTTTTACGGATGACTTGTTTCCAACTCCTCTCCTGAATTACTGATTTCAATCACTGCATAATTATTCAGAAGTAATTTGCTCGTAAATGAAATATAGAACATTATTTGGAGCGCGTTCAATGCTGTTGATTAATGTAAGGGCATTTTTTATATTTTTTCACAAATCATTCTAATCTCGATCAGTGTAAAAATTTCCAACGGGAGCTCCGTTCATTTATTCATGACACAAATGCCGGATATAAATTTCAATACAACATGAGAATTCAATCATAGAAAAACTAATTACACGCGCTTCTTTGTGGCACAGACGATAGCCAAGAGATATTCATTGTTGCATTAGCTGCCTTTCTCACCAGCACGTTATGTTAAAAGGCATAAGTTGTTTTTTTTTTTTTGTGTGGCCGTATATCATCTATTCAGTGCTGAGTGCCACAAGAATAGGCTTGGTACAAGCTACAGGTTTAATATTAATTACGAAATACCTGCCGAAATATTAAGTGAATCTTTCATATGAGATATAAATTAAACATATATAATATATAAATTTTCTGAGACCGAGTAATATTAGGCCGAGTTATATTATACTGGATGAAAAAAAAAATTGAAGTGATTTTTAAAGCTGAAAATCGTTAAAAATAATCCACAATTTTTCTGTTGAATAATTTATATTTGATCTGCCCACTTAAGGGAGGCACTCGATCAACTGTGACTGCAGGCTGGTCAAGTGCGGTGTACGGGAGCCGGAGTCATGCCGCTATGGCTCAGGACTGAACCCTTGCGGTTGTTGCACAATTTGCCTTCAAGTTCGTGAGAAAATAGCCCGGATATATTGTATCGAATTTGATTTGTTACATTTTTTAGGTAATTTTTTACTGCCTTTGAAATATACTTCTGTAATGAACCGATAAATAGATATAAATACCTTTTATTGCCAATTTAAATGCAATGGAATTGAATTTTATACAAGATCTGGGGAGATTTTCTTAATGATTTTTACTTCCAAAATTAGAAGTAGTGGAATTTAAGTTTGAATTATTTTCCATACATTAAGGGTCCGAATGAACCGTGCGGAGGACCTCAGGGCATCAACGGTAAATGTGGCACTGGCTTGACGTGCGTTAAAAGCGACCCCAATGATATCAATTCAAGCGGAAATTGCAAAGCAGGTGAGTTCTTCTAATCAAAATAGAATGAAATTATCAAGACAATTTTAATCATCATTAACTGTTCCAGACTTGTCTGCCTAAATGTCTAAATAACAGCATTTCGTTAATAAGTATGTTCACGTGAGTTCCAAAAAATTCTGATTCATTTCAAAATAATTCATGGTTACATTGATTCCAAAGATATAAAGTTACGGAAAGCCAGGTAACAATAATTTTGGGAATATCTTATTTGCTTAATGATGTAAAATTCTTACAAATTGACTGAAATTGTATGTATGTATCACCTTAATTTATTAACAAAGATACAAGTATTCAAGTAACTCAAAGTATGGAAATAATAACAATTATATGACGATCTGATGACATAATTGAATGGCTGGGATCGAACATGGGAACCTAATTGTTGAAAACGGTATAGAATATTTTGGAAAAATATCTCCAAACTCAAATTTATAATTTCTAAATTCAAAATTACTTATCTTGTTAATGAATCAATACTTTCATTTCATCAAATATGTTTTGGTTAGTTATGCACGTGGCACTGTCAAATGAAATAATTTATTAATTATTTGTCTATGATTATTTCCGTCTGTGTCTACAGTAATCAATGGAAAATGAGCTCCCCAATCAAAGGTGAAAAATCAAGTTCAGAGCGTGCGAGGTCTATGATCAAGAAGATACGCCTCGTTTAGTTACTGCTATTGATCGGGTTTCGTTTCATTATGTTTTTACTTGTTCTTTCCGCATAATTTGATTGCATTAGGATGTCTGTTTATAAGTGGTCTTCATATTATCAATATAGTTTAGTAAAAATTATTCATGTGTATTCCTTGTGTTTCATTATTTTCTTCTTGTCGAAGAAGCGTGCGTATAAGGAAACCAAATTAAAATCAATAATTTTTATAAATCGAGCAATTATTTCATAAAATGTTACATTACTCAAAGGCTTTCCGCAGTTTCAGTAGTTAACTTTACTCTAAGTTAGCCGGGATGAAAATTTATTTTACAGCAATCGAAGAAAATTGCCTGTTTTTTTTATCTAAAGCGGTATTCTGCGTGCCACTTACAAGAATCTTTAAACAAGCCTTAAATAACATTCAAAGTCAGAAAAATTACACCGCAGCTACTGATATTACACCGCAAATTTGAAGGTATTACAATTTTACGTCCCAGAAATTTGGAGATGAAATTTTTGTGAGACTTTCTGTAGAAAAAAATTTTGCATTGTCATATAATAGCAACACCTCATGACGACGCGGAGTGTTTGGATGCAAAGCTGTGCTTCTTGCTTTATTGCAACAATTTGAATGGTTTCCAGGAGACGATCATAAGTCACCACATACCGAGATGATTAAAATAAGTGAAATATTCTGTACAAAAATCATCGTTAATTATTTAACAGAAAATCTAGCTCAGGGTACGCCAGCAGATGTTGATGAAAGGCAGACATGTAAAGGCCCAGAAGAACATCCTCTGAAGTTGTGCAACAACAACCGAAGCTTTCACTTTGTCTCGATAGATAAGTAAACATAAGCAATTTTAATTAAATTCTTTCTGATATTTGAACGTTATGTTTCTTTGACCATTCCTGGTTTAGACCGAAATTGCCTCCAATTTCTACGCTGCAATGAAAATATATTTTAATAAAACTTCAAATACTACCAGTTTTCAGTATTTATCCGTAATTTACTGTCGTGGGTATAGTAGCAGGTTCAATGTTCATTAAGTCACGGTTACAGTTAAATACTTCATTGCAAGAGACATCTCATTACATAAAAAGTTTTCTTCAAACATGAGAACTGTAGCATACACCTGTTCCTATTCATGGCTTAACAAATGGGCAGCGATTTGCCTTCAGTCTTACTGGGACCATTTTTACGAGACACAAGATGCTGCTTTCAAAACCACGTTCCTACAGCTTTCACTTTCCCATTCGCAACCCTCACTATCACAGCTCCAAAACACCCTCATAACTCCAACACTGACCAATTCCAAATTGAAAACTCACCTACCCACCAAAAACCCAATACCCAACAATAAAATAACGTTTAATACATTATTAAATTTACGCTTCATATTACGCTTCATATTAAATTTACGCTTCAAATTTACGCTTCATGCAAGGAGCTCAATTACGCCAGTCATCAACTATGATGGCGTCACGAACAATATGCTCATACTGTTTTTCACGATGCCATATATGAATAGAATATAACCGGTGAACATCTTCGTTGATAAATATTATCATTAGCGATCTTAGTAATCAACCGAATTACTCTATTTGTCGATTCAGCGCCATAATAGAGACCATTCGAGACCGTAAAATGATTTGAATGTTCTGCAATGTTAAGAATCGGTGACAGGCCTACGGCCTAATAAACGCTGATACCGCTATTTTATTATATATTATTATATATAATGTTTGTCTCTCTATTGGCCCACGAAGAGCGCCAATTAGGGTGATGTACATACCAGCTTTGATCGGAACACAGCACAAATTTTCGCTCTGGGTAATTACATATCCATATTATTTCAGTGAAACCTACGGCTTTCCTCTCTACCTGCGTTCACATATTGGTCGCTGTAAACATGTTAAACACAAGCAGTAACCGAAAATATTTAACGAGTAACAGGTTTTCCTCTGGCATGCCCCTGAACGTTACACTAATCTTTTTATATTATATGACGAGTGGCTCTCAAATTTCAAAATTTAAAATAAATTTAAACTTGAAAACCCAGTAAAAGGAGGTTTATGAAATAATAATAGAAAAAAAGATTATGTGTTTTAACCCTTGGTGTTAAAAATACATTTAAATAATCTATTCAGTGATGCGAGATCATTGAGGTCTTACTTACCTATTCTTTGTGTTAAAGTCATCGATTTAAGGAATAAATGTTGTTAATTTTTCATCCTCGTCGCCTTTTTTGTGCGGATCAAAAAAGCTTAATGAGCAATAATTTATGTAATGGTCCCTAGCAATTTCTGTATTAACCAAATATTATAGTCACGCAAGAGACACATGCATCGCTGTAGGGGATTTTCCCCGTCTGGCATTTCCCCGACACAAAGCATGAGATCGTTCTTAATTAAATCAATCACTTTTCTAACCCACGGATTATTTTATGAAAAACAGTTGCAAGTAAAAATAATTAACGAAGAATAAATAGAAACACAAAACAATAAACCAAAATTCCAAAATCCTAAAACCTAACCATATCCGTGCTTTTCAATCCACTTCCAATTAAATCCACAATATTCAACTCCAAAATCCACATAATCAAGAACTTCAGAACTTGAAGCCTTTCTCCACAGCAACATCAACCGGCACAATCATAAAGAAAACACACTACTGCTAGATATCACAGCTAAGGTGCTTGAAAACTGAAAATGATCAACAGCTAAAATCCTAAACCCAAAATATTACAAAATAAAAATTATATTTATACAGCAATAAATTAAATCTATCTCCTCTACGTAGCAAGACTTGTTTATCGTGAACGCAGCCTCGGTCAGACATGCCATATCGACAGCGTGTATAAAAGGCTTCGTTCTCAACAACACTTCTCACTGCAGAAAAGGTCTAGCGAGCACTTGCAGCATTTTTACGCCTTGATTATGTGCCAGACGAGCAACAAAGATAAAGAAATCGACACTAATGGCCAACTTATAATGTGTTCCGTCGGTCTGTGTTGAGATCAATAATTATTGATTGAGTGCCTGAATCCCAAATCAACCAAAAGTTCAATAATATTGAAAAATTAAGAAAATCTCCATATTCACAAAGGGTATAATAGACAAAATAAGGGATTAATTACAGAGACTATAATTATTGAAAGAACGATCGAATAGACAAACTTCCACAACTTTTTTCTGATATTATTTTATATTATATATATTATATAATATTAACTCTCCAATCTAGTATACTAGATTAGAGAGTTTATATTCAAGATAGTGTATCGACCGGAAATATAAAAGGAATCTACAATTTTGAATCCTGCTTTGCCGGAAAGACAAGTTGAAAATAAAATACGTTTTCTATCACTTAAACTTTTGTTTCCGTAAAATTAATTATTTTAATTATTTTTATTAGATTACCTGTTAATAGCCTTGTACACCTAAGCTCTATTTATTTAATAACAATTACTTCTATTTATAAATAATGCCTTCCAGAGAATAATAACTAATTCTTATTTGTTAACCATTTTTTCATCCAAGGTCACTAAGAAAAAGATTTTGAATTGTGGAAAATATTCGACATGTTCAAAGCAGCCCTCATCCTCGCAGTGTCCCTTGTCCTAACATGGTAAGTATGGAAAAGCCTCTGAGTCCTGCGAGACTGAATTTCGATGATAATTATGAGAAAAATTTATTGTTTTTTAGGTTGACTATGAGTTACTTATTAAATATGTTTCATTTCATATGGCAGATATTAATAAGCGAATAAAGAGGAGTCGAGAGAAATAAAAACATCATTGCCTAATATCTTCGTATATATTAAATATTACATATTAAATTAACATCATGAATGTAAGATTGGGTGAGAGAAAGGAGTGAAGTGAAAGTATGAATGTGATGTTGATTTTAGCGAAAGTTTTTAGTTAATTAAAACTCAGTTGCAGTATCAAGATGACAATTTCAGTATCATTAAGTGAAAATGAAATTGTAGGCAAAATGTTATGATTGAAAATTCAACTTTACAATATAATCCCCTTGTAAAGACAAATTTTCTAAGAGATTTTCAAACAGCGCAATTAAATTCATATTTTTATTTATTTCAAACCATCGCTGATCAAAAATTCAATTGTCTTTAATCTTCGCAATTTGATTTTAATTTTTTCCAGACATTGCTTGTGGAAAGATCTTTTCGCTAATTTAGTTCTGCGTTCAATTTTATAGCCAAATTATTTCAATTCTGTTTGTATTACCTTAATTCAGAAGTATCAATATGTCTCCATGTGATAACAACAAGTATTTTTTCTCGAACAATAGGTCAGCTGAAGGCGTGATCTGCCCACCCTGCGTGCCAGCACATCTCAGTCCGCCCGAGAACTGCAGTCACGGCACGACACTGGATTTGTGCGGGTGCCGTCTGACCTGCCTTAAGGCAAGTTCTGGGATTTTCGCTTTTTTAACTTGTCATGTTTTAATTACTATGAATATGGATTATGGAAATATGAGAATTTGAAAATACAAATGATAATGAACTGCTCAAAAATTCATTGAGACTTTAATTCACACTTTCATTGGTAATTAGTGCAAAATTTATATAATAGTTTCAGTTATCAATAAAACATGATTCAATGAACGAAAAACTTGCTATGTGCGTTCTAGTTATTCATGTTATACGAAATTTCAGCATCGAGCTCGATGCAGCCTCTGCTGATTGTTTGGACGTAATTTTTAGCCATTGTCGTCAGTGGCGCATTAACCCTAAATTTTTATAGTCTAAATGTGACAGTTGCCGAGAAATGTTTCAACACACACAATTAACCGACAGGTTCACTTATTGCGTAGTTATTAATACGGATGAATGTATTGCAGGGGCTCTGTGAGCGATGCGGTGGACCAGGGAACATCCACGGTCGGTGTAGGCGTTCCATGAACTGCATCCCGTCGTACCCTGACGGATCGGGCGTGTGTGGCCACCCTGGAGAAGGTAGGTTGGAGGCTTCGTTAATTCGTAAGCTGGGACCTGCCTGGAGTGTTGGGAGGTGACTGAAATGATGGGTAGTAACCGGAATGGTGGTTAGTTACCGGGATGATGGGTGGTAACCGGGATGATGGGTAGTAACCGGAATGGTGGTTAGTTACCGGGATGATGGGTGGTAACCGGGATGATGGGTAGTAACCGGAATGATGGATTGTAACCGGAATGATGGGTTGTTCTCTAGTAATCTAAATGAGATGTAGTCACCACCACAATGAATAGTAAGTAACCGGAATGATGGTAGTAACCGAAATGATGGGTAGTAACCGAAATGATGGGCAGTAACCGAAATGATGGTAGTAACCGAAATGATGGGTAGTAAGCGAAATAATGGGTAACAGAAATGAGCGGTAGTTACCGGAATGGTGGGTAATTACCGGGATGATGGTTAGTAACCGGAATGATTATGTAGTAGTGAACGGAATGATGGGCAATAGCCGAAATGATTGGTAGTGACGGGAATGATGGGTAGTAACCGAAAGAATTAGTAACCGGCGTTTGTCTCGAAATGAATGAGCATCTTGAACGAGCAACTTGAGTCTTAAGTTGGAATTGAGATGAGTCAGATGAATAGCATTCAGTTGCAAGTTCATGCTCCACCTTTTACTTATAGTCTATTAAATTTACAACCAAATTTAAAATTTACGTCTATGTATCTTGCGGCAGTTGGCCCTGCTGTCGGCTGTGTGCTATCACAAGTCGACAACTGAGCTCCATCCTTCAGCATCAGACGACTGAAGCTTCAGGCAAAATAAACTCCATCCTTCACCATCAGTCGTCTGAAGCATCAGGCAAAATAAACTCTATCCTTCAGTATCAGTCGTCTGAAGCATCAGGCGAAATAAACTCCATCCTTCAGCATCAGACGTCTGAAGCATCAATCAAAATAAACTCCATCCTTCAGCATCAGACGTCTGAAGCATCAGGCAAAATAAACTTCATCCTTCAGCATCAGACGTCTGAAGCATCAAGCAAAATAAACTTCATCCTTCAGCATCAGACGTCTGAAGCATCAAGCAAAATAAACTCCATCATTCAGCATCGGTCGTCTGAAGCATCAGGCACTCCTCTGAAACACACATACATTCCACCAATTTACAAAAGAAATAACAAATTCAAAAATAAATGGAAATATCCTTCCTCCTTCCTTGGTCTCCTGTGCACTAAATGATAGTTTACGATATGAATGATTTATTTTGTAACATATTTGAACATTAATATACTTTTTACATATTTGAATATTCAGATTTATGTGGCTAGCAACTATTGAACTATAATAACATTATTGTTAGAAGTTTTATCCAAATAAATTGTTTCAAGTACATGTGCTTCTCATGATATCGATCGTGTATCGTATAGCTTTCTTTACAAACTTGTTGTTCGCTCACAGAAATGATAATCTATCGCAAGGATGCTTATAACATTGTAATAAAGTATGAAACTGCCATTTATATTTTAAAATATAAACCGTAAAACGGCAGGAAGATCTATCATTGGAATATAAATCCAATGTTTTTTGCGCTCGACTAAAGGTGTGGCGAAATTTATTTTTTGCTAACTTCATTAGTTAGGAGAAAAATTTTTAATTTTCTTTTACAACAATGGAATGGTTTTGCGGTGCTCCAGGCAAATTTAAAAGAAAATTTGACGTTCATTCCATATTATTGGGCTGAAAATTGAGGTGGTAGCTTCGCAATTAAGGGCAGAATAACGAACATGATTTGTGCAATTCCATGGCCTTAAATGAACATCTCGTCAGCTGAGAATATATATACTAACCCTGAATATCTTGCTATTCTTTATAGTGCAATGTTATCTTTCCTACAATAATTAAGTTCTTCATTGAATTTGTGATCCAAGCAGGTCAATGTTGAATTTTGAACTTGTTTCATGTTCTTTTGTTCTTTTTCATTGATAACGCAATTCGAGTCGCTCCTGTTACGAGGTAAGATCGTCGATATCCAGCTTACTCTGATATTATTGTACCAACCTTGCACCTGTTCGGACCTCCTTGAACCATTAGATCCTTCCTGTTACTTATTTTGAGTTTGTGCAAATTTACTTTCAATTTGTTTGGTTCATTAAGTTGCATGTTTTCGTCTCTGTTGTCCATTCACTTGAATTTTCGATTCTAGATTTTAGTCAAATGTTGAACCCCGTTGGGTTTTTGGCTCGTCAATAACTTTAATTCAATAGCTACCAGGCCTGCCACTGTTAATGCCTGCTTTTACGTGAACGCTTGCATGCATTTAACTTTATTGCAGAATGGAAACGCTTTAAACTGCTTAGTTATCTATGAGAAGTCCTGTCGATGGTTCCATTTAAGGCAAACAGAAAGGTTAGTTATTCTTTTTCTTGTTCTGACTTGCTCATCATACTGAAATAAATTAAGTTATAGCGTGAATAAATTATTTTATAGGTTCTAAACTGCCAGCCTGTGTTTACCAGACCCAGAATCTATCCAACTACCTTGACTTGCAAGTTGGCCGTCATACCCGGCAGCTTTAAGTTTTTTATTTATTTTTCCTTACCTACTACTAAATTATTTCGTTCAGTTATGGACGCCCATACGGTGATAATTGTAAAGTGAGACATACTAACTTTTGCAAAATGGACTCATTCCTTTTAGAATGAAAAATGTTTTAATCTACCATTTATTTCCGCACCAATATTGATGCTCGCGTGTTTATGCAACAGAGAGTGCAACTTCAGCTTTTATCGATTCTTACTGGCTTCGTTTGTGAACAACTTCGTTTGGCGTTCAATAAAAGTATATTCGTCTTCAGTAACATCTTTTATTTTCAATTGTTGCGAAATTTAAAAGCTCTCGTATTTTGATGGTGCAGTATGTATTCTGTTAGCTTGCATTATACTGCCATAACCAACTCTTATTTTTCAGAATCTCCGTTCTCACTCTGATTCTTGAATTTTCAGACTTAATTTTTTTTAACAAAATAATAACTGTTTCATGTCTTGGGGTCCAAACAAATAAACTCTCATTTTCTAATTTTTCTTGTATTTAATAAGAATCGTAATTTTAGCCTATAAACCTAAAGATAACATCATTCAAAGAGCAAAAAATGTTTCGCAGTATTCAAATGATCACTCTCCTTATAAGAATTGAACTAAATTACAGCATTTAACTAAAGTTAACACTTTGGAAGCAAAATTAAACAAGGTATTTCATGTGGAAATGAATACATCACTGCTTCATGTCGTTGAGCTGCTCGCCAGAGGGCTCATCAGCGGTCCAGTTGACATCATCAAGATTGGGCGTGATGCCGTTGCTGCTGCTTTTCTTGCCGTCCATGCATGACGGGTTGCTTTATTTGCGTGGTGGGCATTTTTGAGCAAGAGACATGGCTCGTTCATTCTGCTTTTTCGTTACTTGTCGCCGCCATTCACTAAGCATATTGTGTTCGACTGTACCGACTGGTACGAAGATGCCTTTTTTTGTAGCACCTTTACTCGTCACATGTCCAGCATTGCTCGTCATGGGCGCTTCCTTCTCGTTGTCAAGGGTAGCAGTTATTTCCTCAAGTGACACAAAAAGCTTCTTGCAATCGTTGCAACGAACCAAACATCCCAAGTGTTTCTAACAACACGGATAAAAAATGTCGCTGTTGGCTATGCATTGTCCAGTCTTGTCATCACGCGCCAATATAAGTCCGTCACTGGCATCGACCGAGGTTGCATGGAGACATTGCAACAAGCAACCAAAGTATGTTTTGTCATCAATCGTACGCACTAATTCTTGGTAATTATTCTTTTCGAGGGGTACAATAGTTCCAACAAAATTGTGATCGCTGTCGAAGCACCGTATTTCAAAATCATCGTCAAGACTGCCGTTTGTACCAGAACAATGGAGTTCATCCTGCAGCGGTTGCTTCGGTTTTGATGACAATTACTTCGTTTGAGACGGGAACGGAAATTTCGGAATCATAGGCGTTTACTTTTGAATAAGATATAATTCTTCTTGCGGGCTCATATTTTTTCGAAGATAACTTGGCGTCAAATCTGATCCAAAACTTTTCGATCTGGGTCTGGCACTTGAGCTTGTTGGGATATAGGCGACCTCGCACTGGAAGAAACCCTATGTCGACTCCTCACTGATCTGGGGGCAGCCACAGCCGAACAGGGTGCGAATGAAGTTCTTAGCCATCGAGGTTGCTCTGCGGACAATTTTCGACTGAAAAAGCGAAGTTCTTGGTTCTTTTAGTCCTTCTGAAATCTTGTTCCCATTTTGACGGATTGCAAAGTATCTGTGATACCGTTACTCTACACGAGTTGCCCGAATTCCTATTTTAGCGGCAAAAGACGCTACAGCGTTTTCATAGGATTTCGATTGATGAAAAAGTAAAGTTTGAATTTTGTGAACATACTAAGTACTTGTCCTAATTATAGTTTCGCGTCAAAGACTTTGGACGTTATATCATTTAGAAATCAAAGGGGACTCATTTTGGGGTTCAAGTTGCTTCTATTATTCAGTCACAACGGATGCATGAAACAAAACGTATTTGGCCAACGATTTGCAAGCTTCACTCCCATGATCGTTAACCAACATAATGCCCTGCTCGTGCACAATGTATTTTTCTCATCCACTGTGAACTATATCATTATATCGTGCACACTTTTTCCACAGTATTATGCTTGTTTGGATATTTGTTGTCTCAATATTTACGGAATTCCGTTGTTGGTTTCAAATGATTTAGTAAGTTCCAAAAATGCTATATTTTGATAAATAATTCTGTTGATGTCAAATTACCAGGAAGAAATGATCGTCTGTTTTGACGAGTTTCACGACTTAAGTTTTCTGTGTGTGAGCAATATTACATCGTTGGTGAGATTTTCCTGCGCGCCGGAATAGAATTTCATCTTCGCTCACAGTATCACATTTAGCACGAGAGGAATTATTTGTTTAAATCGTTAATTATGATCTGTTCATTGTTTATTCATTTTTGTCCTATGTTAAGTATAAGTTTCAAATATTATTATCTAATTCATCTAGATTTAACTTAGAAACAGTTATTTTCTCGTACATCTGGAATTTGATCGAAACGTACGCCTGCAAATCAAATTTAACCAATTGTAATTTATGATATTGTCTGTCTCCGTCTGAGGGACCTACAGAGCGTTATGAAACCATTATATTAAACTAAATCGTGATGAATGCTGCAGTTAAAAAGTACGGGATTATTTAACAGTTTATTATAATTGGTACAAACTCAGATAATAATTAAGCAAGGGACATGACAAAAATAATTTCCGCAAAAGCAAATATAAAGCGTGTGAGTCTCGGTTTTAAATTAATTCAAAATACTATCGAAAACGATTAAATCGTTCAATTTTCGAAGAATAAAATTGTGTTAAACTTTATGAACTGCATCGAGTGCACTTTGAACAAACTTAAATATACTTTTTATGCACGCTGATTCTCAATAAATCTATGGATAATAATTGGCGGACATATGTGAGATGTGTATTCAATCATATATAGCGTCTCAAAATTTTTGTACGTAGTATAGTATAGGACTCAATTATAAAATCGTATGGTACTCATTTATAATCATAAAATAGTGTAGGACTCAATTTTTTGTACATATATGTTTATCGAGGACGGGGTTCGAGCAGGGGTCTTCTCCTTCCCCAAATATTTGAATACATATTTGGTTTTTTTACCTATAGTTCCTATCCAATTTCGCAGCTGAATTAAGCGCTAGTAATCATAGGGTCACTAAACTAACCTAACCTATCTAATTTCTTTCTAGATTTAAAGCAAATATTTTATCAATTTATCAACAAACCGGTATATAATAACATGCTCCTTTATTTCAATTATCTCTCCTCTTTTTAATTTTTAAACCTTTATTTTTATATTTTAAACCGTTTTTTATCACCTACATTTCTTTTTACTATCCAGAATTAGCAATTCTCCACTTATTTATCAACAGCTCATCACGTTGCGAAGGGTGTTATATATCTATTATCACTTTCTTCCCGTATATCTTTTACTCCTAGCTTTAAATTCTCTGCCTTTGTCGGTAATTCGTCATCGTGAATGCGAGGTTAATTAGTTGAATAGCCATTTTTCTGGAAAAATGTTTGGTAGCTCTGAGCATCTCTTCTTTGAGATATCATTGATTTTGCTTTAAATCTTCAAAAATTTTACACCGCGCGGCTCTCGGATCTGCTTTATTTTCCATGCAATGCATTCGGAACATGAATGGGTTTTTGCCAAATCTTCTATTTAGACAACTAAAAAATTAGCATGAGAGCAGTATTTTCCAGCTGGTCCAAAAATTTATGGCAAAACAGGTATTTATTGCTAATTTTACCACTCTGGCCTTGCATTAAATCGATCTCTAAGTAGTGAAGAATGTCATTGAAATATTTTCCGAGTATTAGCCTTCATGTATTATTGGTATATAATTTTGAAGTTTCTTCGTATTTTAGGTACACGAAGGTTTACTTTTTCTGTCCGCTTGCGATCTTACCTGTTATTTGAACACAGATGTTGACTTCACGCAAGTTCAGCATGAGTCGGGAAAAACAGAGGAAAGAGCTATCGTACCGGAAACCTTCTTATGTATCCACCTCATTCTGCTTCGCGCATCCGCGCCGTACAGTACAACGACCCAGTGACTGAAAAATTATTTTTAAAATTTCGGTTTTCACACCCGCTGCTTCCGCCTTAAGGATCATAGAATTCCAAAATACTTTTCAACGAAAACATCGTTTGAGCGACGTCTATAGATACTATATAGTTCTTATCCGCATCATATTTTTGTTATATTGGTTTCCAATTTTATTCCTTCATTTACACTATCTGTGGCATGGTACGGACATGCACTCGTTAGATGTGACGAAAATATGAACATGAGTGAGGCCTTTAATTGCTTGAGAAACTTGTAGTGTATAGCGTGTACGACGGTTCAGCACCTTGTACTCATTACCGCACAATAATAATATCTGTACATTAATACATTCGGTGTCACCTTGTCGCCTGTGTACGAGTTTACCGCCAATTCTATTGTCTTTCCATCACAGTAATAAATGGAGAATTCAATAGCACAATGCACCAATATTGGCCTGTGCAAACGACCAAGTTTGTTCTTATGTTAACTGGGATAATAATCATGACTACGATACCATTGATTAAATGCCGTCAAAGCAGCAAGACTTATGATGGATGCTATATCAATTATCAACTATTACCTATTTTAATATTATAATTAACAACTACTAGCGCTAACACTGTTTTTGCACTCCATCAAGCTAAGGTAAATTGGTAAAATTATTAGCTCGAGTCATATGGGATAATAAAAATCACCATATTTGGTTCAAGTTTCGTTCATAAGTTCTGAAAAAAGTTGTTCTATCCCTCACTGTAAACAGGCCAAAACTATCGAATTCATCACATTAGGTGCGATTTTATACGATTTTCTCTAACCTTTTTCAGCTTTTGCATTGTTTCACTATGTATCGAGTAAACATTTTATTCCTAATCAGCGCCTTCCTATTCGGAAACATTTGGTAAGTTTTTCTTTCAAAGTTAGATCATAAGTATTAGTTAACAATTAGTAATAATAACCTGATTACCTATGTTCCATCGCGCAACTCTGAAAAAATTCATTATATTATTTTTATCACTGTTGTTTTTTTCACATATTTTCACACCAACAATGAATTTCGGTGAAAAAATTTTGCAACTATTTTGTAACCCATTTTTAAAACCATTATTGGATTCTAGAATTAAAAAAAAACTCAAAAAGCTCAATAAATATCAATGATAGAATTGTTTTCTTAGCTAGAAAACAAAATAAGTTACTCAAGAACGCACTTTCTTGTTCCCAGTTCTTTAATATGAACACCGAAAGTATTCAACAATTCATACGTTTGAGTAGAAAACGAAAAATAAACATAAATTATTTTGGTTGTGAGGATATTTTTCTCATCTCTATAAAACTGATTACATCCATGTTGATTTTGCACCGAAATATTTAGTTGCTCTTATTAATAAGCCAGGAATTTAAAAAATAAAATATTATTTCTATCAGAGTAAATAATGTTCTAAAATGCTTTAAAACTATTATTATTATTAGTATATTGTAGAAAGTAATCTTAAGGATGGTTGAAGTTGATCGTTGTTGTCAACTTGAATATGAATATGTAATTGTTGCTTGATCAATAACTCGATTATGAAATTGCTGCTTGATCAATAACTTGATTATGAATTTTTTGCTAGATTAATAACTTGATTGTGATATCTCTCACAAGCAAAATACTAAGTGCATGTAATTTCAAAATACTAAATGCATGTAACTAATAAAGTGCATGTAATTTCTCCAAAATTCTAAATATTTTTAATAGCAATATAACTTATTTGAAGTCCACAACGCAGGTCTGCGGCAGGATTAACGTGCGCTTGTGACAAGGCGAGCTGTGCGTCAGTCCCGCCAGACGCGTGCCCGTGGGGCGTAGGTATGGACTCCTGCTTCTGCTGCCAAGTTTGCCTCAAGGTGAGCAGCTAAAATCTCCCCAAATATTTTTTTGTTTGAAGAAAGTATTATATTATTCATTATTATTTATTATATTATATTACATTAAAAAAATTTATTTTATTTTATTATTTTTTACCAATTGCTCAGTCGTTTATGGAATTTTATCCGATTTTGTATAACATGGAACATACTCTATGAGGAAATTAAATTCGAACTATCGTATTATGAATATAATCAAAAAATTAATTTTTTTCTCATTAACTAATAATAAAAAGTTATAGAATCAATAATATATTTGACGAGATGCACTTGACAATTACATTGATATCCTATGTTAACGAATGCCCATAATCTTCCAGTTTTTTATTTGAATATTGTCGTACAACGAATAATTTATTTTAATATATAATTATCTGCAGGGACCAGGCCAAACATGCGGTGGCCCATGGAACATAAAAGGCCGTTGTGGAGATGGGCTGGAGTGCGTCAGAAAAACTCCCGGTGATTTCAACGCGAACGGCATTTGCAAGAAGTTGTATAAACGAGGTTCTAACTGATGATGAATGAATTCACACATTTCGGTTTGTGTTTTATTTGTGCAAGGTACAAGATGAGCCAAATTTTATGCCCTGCCTTGAGTGTATTAGAATTTATGGTAAAAAGATTCGAATAACCCACGACGTGGTCAAATCTACTAGCAAGATAAGTGCAGGATACAAAACGTGAGGATACATTATATACAAAATAAATTTCAGTTGTTCGGTAGCATACCATTTTTACGAGTTATATTATCTGATAAATTGCGCCTATTCCTTTATATGGGCAACACTGTACAGATAGTTTACGTCTTGTTCACCTTTACTCCTTCTTCAATAACTCTATGCTGACTAACGGGTTATGTTGTAGTTATCATAGCCTTATTAATTTCTTAAATGACAAATTTTTACTACACTTATTTCTCAACAGCTCATCACATTGCCAAGGATGTTATATTTATTATCAATTATGTTTACTCAAATCTTTTACTTCTCAACTTCTGTGCCATTGTCGATAATTGATCAATAAAACATTTTAGAACGGGTCCGTATAATTTCCAGTCTTGCACTTGCCCCAAAATTCCACAGACAACATACAAAAAAATTATTTATACAGTCGTCTTCTGCCATTAGAATGAGAATTTCCTATCGATATCATCCTGTATTATTCACAACCAATTGCATCCTCTGGTCTTGATTTCTAACAGCAAAAGAACAATATTAGGCAAAGGTAAATTATTTTTCAATGACTATTTTTATCAACAAAATTATTGATTTTACTGGTAAATTAAGAAGATACGGAGACAACGCATCGTTAAGTTGCGGAAAGTTATTCATGAAGTTAGTTGAACAAGAAGTAACTTAGTTGATAACTGGACGACAGGTGTCAGAACGCACTTCGGTTCCGCTGTAAACGGATATTTCAAACAGATCATAAGCAAAATTCAGATTCTTTGCCCATCACCGTAACACAATCGTCGCAAACAATACGGATTTACGCAGATCAGGAAAATTTTTGAAATACATTTGGACCTACACAGTTTAAATTTACGGAAAATGTATGAAGGTGAGTTAGATGTACATTGCAATACAATACAAGGAGATACAATACAATTCAATATCAGGACATCTTGATACCTGATGGTTTATTAAATTTTATTGCCAACACGTCGATGAACATTCAACCAACTTAGATTGTATTTTTTTCATGCGAAAAATAAGTTTTTGATAAATTGTTGCCAAGCTATCATTAGAAGAATTATGCATGGATATCTCATATTTAGGGAAAATAAACGCGGGTAAACACAAATAAATTTTATTCATGGAATGAAACTCAAGTAAACTAGAATATAAAAATTGTTTCATCCTAGATGGAAGCGTGAAAAAACCATGAAAACACTTAGGGCGCGTGAAGAAGAAAATCAGATGATGTGAACATGACATAGTAACAGTTTTGCACTTAGGAAAGTAAAACTGAAGCCAAATAGTGGACGTAAATGATTCTGGATTATATAATTTCGTTCCCGAATTCTTTTCCTGTATTCGCCGTGCGGTTCAACAGGAGGCTTGAACGAACTGAGAACAATATTTCAGTTATATGTCAAACTTAATAATCTATTTTGTGAAAATTATCGTCATGCATTAACATATTATTAATGTGGCGTGTGCCATCACCTTCAAGGGGTAATATTTAAGTAATCTATAGCCGTTATACCCTCGAGAGAGTTTGACATACTCAAAGATAAGAAAAAATGAACGTCATTTGAATGACATGCAAGAAATCTGCATTGCACCTCTCATTCGGGCAAAAATATCTTGCAATATATTTCGAGCATCAATTTATTTATTTTTTTGCTTTCATTATCATCGGATAAGAGAGCAATTAATGAGCATTCAACTGCCCTGTCCACAGCGTGATTAATGAGGTATTCGATACGACTATTAACAATACAGGAATATGTAATCTATTGCGTTGTAAATTCAAAGCTTCCGTCGCCTGTACAATGCCGTCCTCGGATAACTACGTAGCAAGAAAATTAAAACATTCTTTGCTTGTTATTCAACAGTAAACAATCTGCATATGTACACGTCCTGCGCGATATATATAAGGTCGGCATCCTGTCTCGGGGTTTCATACAGCGTGCAGAAGTCGATTGAGGAGCTTCTTGTGGAAGAGAGGCGTTTGGTTGGCTGTAATAGCACTTTGATCGTGAAAAATTAATCATCATGCATCGTTTGACTATTTGTCTCCTCGTGGGTATTTTCGTTCTTGCAACAATTTGGTGAGTTGTTCTCATACTTTTTATTTGGGCATATTAACGAAGGAAAAACTTTGAATCAAGTCAAGACTATGTCTAGATAATGATTTTGTTTGTGGTAATTATTTCATTGATCATTTCATGGGAAAGTTCTCATCCGAACTCTTGTCAACTACCACTCTTAATATTTTCCAACTTTCAATTGAATAGTAAGAACTGTTAGCATAATTGATAAGAGACAAATAAAAAAAATTAATCCATTAATTCGTAGTAATTTACACGAAATTACTTATTTGGAAAACATGCGGCTACAACTAATTTCTTCCGATTCGTGCTGCTTGATGGATTTTCAATAGCTAATTTTCAACAAATTCAAGCATTCGACTAATACGGGTGTTGAATACCCTTGAATAACGGATTCGAAATTAAAATAGAATAAAATTCCAGCTAATTTTCTCAAAACGGCTCCTTAAATAAATTTCGTTTTCATGTGCAACTCTGCTGAAGATGATACTAAAACCAACGATATTTTTTTCAAATTCTGTATGAACTTCAGCAAAAATACTAGATATTAGTTTAAATAAAGTCAGCTCAGGAGATGCAGACAATTAAAAAAAGCCACATAAATTACTGAAATAAATTACTGAATTATTATTTGATGCTATTTTTAATTACAAAACAAAATTTAATTGCATCTTGACTACTAATTACTCTCATTTGAGCGAATATGATCAAATTAATGTCGTTCAGAAGCAAGAAAGAGGTATTGAAGTCACTCGATAAAAATATGATAATTTTGTGTTCTTTCTTTTCCTTTACACTCATATGAGAAATAAAAACAATATGAAAATTTCCAGGTCTGCGGAAGGGTTGTCGTGCCTGCGCTGTGCAGAGTACGATTGCCAGCCTCTCCCCCCCAGTACCTGCCAGTGGGGCGTCGGCAAGGACCCTTGTGGCTGCTGCGATGTCTGCCTCAAGGTCAGCTATGCAGTCACCGTTGTAATAAGTTGAATTCATAATTTATTTACCTTATTTCAACTTTATTTAATGTTTTCATGTTGAGTAATTTCTCTTTCTGTACTTATTATACATGATTTCTTAATTCTGAGAGTGAATGCTTAGATCATAGAGCGTCATTTCTTTGTCTCTGGATAAAGCCGGATATGCTTCAGTAATATTATTAACGATTCAATAATGATTACGTAATTATCGTTGAATACTATCGTTAAGTTGTTAATATCGTTATCGTTAACTTATTTAATTCATCAATTACTTGATTATGTATCAATTCAACTTAGTGATTTTCCGTATCGAAAAAGTTCTTCACTCACGCAATAAGGCAATAACAATATGAATATTCCAAGGAAAGTTCATTAATAATTGTAATTTTATAGTTTATGCTAATAATGTGATTTGGATATAATAATTTAATCTTAATCGTAATTAAAAATGAACGAAAACTAATCATGATGATAAATTAATAGAGAATTAAAACATAATTTATTCCAGGGTCCAGGTGAGGTATGTGGAGGCCCATGGAACACCAGCGGCTGGTGTGGTGAGGGCCTGACTTGCATTGAGGAAAAACCAGACGATTTCAACTCAGTTGGAGTCTGCAAGAAAAAAAGTGAGGCGGTGTGATGATGGTTTTAAATCTATTGTTAGGGTTTGATAAAATGATATGTTGGATACAAAGAAGTTAACAATATCAACCTGATATCTAAAATGAAATGTATGGTAAATGGTAATGTTAATTTGAGGTCAACTGTAGCACATATAGCTCTAGTAAGAATATGACTCACTCTAGTAGGTGTTCAGTGTATGTGGAACGTCAATGGATCATGTCATTATATATTCTAAAAATTTTGATTGACATGATCTTCTTGTTATTTTTAGGCACTACGAACCCAGAAATGAATTCAACACAGTCGTTAACCATGCTCGTTATCAAGTAAAATTTTTTGAAGTCAAGTCATTTTTTTGCAGCGTAATGAAGAAGATCAAGGAAACTCCGCTCCTGGGAGTCGCGATTGGATAGTCAAGATTTTAGTGCGTGGAGGTACGGAACTGAAAAGACGTGAATACTTCAATAACATAAACTTTTGTCTTTCATTTATTTCTTGCCACACATCAACAATATAACAATGGCGCACAAATTTGAATTTTTTATTCAAAATGTTTATTTGAAGTGGTAATTCGACACATGCAATGTATGTTCACTATCTTAATATGAAAATCAGTGTATATTGTTATAGATATATCAGAATATATTTGTCTACAGCAAAAATAATTTTTGTTTGATACTATAAAACTTTAAGGCTTCAAAATATATGCGCTCTGAACCGTTTATATTTTTTCCAACACTAAAATTTTTCCAATTATATAATTTGGTTGACGAATAAATATCCAAAAATTAAAATCGAAAATTTCAATTGATAATTTACGTATTTCCTTAATATAGTCCTAAGTTCGATCAAGAAGTTAGTTAAATTTGTACAAAATTCATTTGAATTCTCTAGTTGATTTAAATATTTTATTATCTTGGTTAAATGCTCTTATGAAATGTAATAATATGGGAAAGTACTTATTTCTCTGTACTGAATAAATGTCTCAAAATGTGCTAGTCGGCTTGATATTTTTTCAAAATTCATAATAATTGCTCAAAACGTTTTTTAACTACTGTTATCTTATTATTTGAACAAATCAAATGGTCATAATTATTAACGTTAATTCAATAAATGCTATTTATCTCATCTCTTAGAACGTATGTTAAGGTAACACAGCAAATTAATTAACTGTGGGCATTATTGGCCTTGCAAACGTGAAGTTTAAATAAACTTTTTGCAAATACTGCATTTCGTAAAAATGTAATGAAACACCATAACCATTTGATTGGGTGCAAAGTTAGCTTCTAAAATTGAACGACCTGATCAATAAATGTGCAAACTACAATTTCAGTTTTAGCTTCAGCTCAGCTCGAGATTCATGTAAACTGGAAGATTTTAGAATAATTGCATTAAATTTGCTTCTCATTCGTTTCGAAAATTTAATATCCAGGTAAATTTATTGAAGGCATACGGCGCTTATGAGCTTATAAGGGAATTCACAGCAAAGAAATTTTTCTTTAGTCTTCAAGTTATTTCATTATTGTTTTTGAAATCGTGATTAAAATAAACATAATATTCCCATGTGGATAGATAAAGTGAAAAAAAGTTAATAAAGTCCCAAAGAAACCATCGATACCACATAAACACCACATTTGACAATGAGGAATTGCTGAACAAAGTATTATTATCAATTTCCCGATGAAGGTATAACTTATATTGATTTGTAATTTAATTTAAGTATACCTATTCGATTTATATAGTTTAGCAAAATTTGTCACTGAAAGCAGGTTTTACTGAAGGCCAGAAAATTTGTTTTATTTAAAAATTTCTTATTAGTTCTTTTCAATATATTGAACAATATTTTTCGTTTGCACTGGTAAATCAAAAATCAGGGTGCCAATGGACATTTCTATTTCTTTAGCAACGTTTCGAATGTATCAATCATTCATTATCAAGTTACAATTCGCATTGAGTGCTGAAATTTAAATCGACATATATAGAAAATCATGTAAATAGGATCGTAATCAAAAATCAATTTGGTTAGATATAATTGAAAATATGAAATGATCAGGAATTAGAACACCAAAAATTACCACGAAAACAGTCTCAAGGTTTTGACAAATCCAATACATTTTAGGTTGATGGCTGGAGTTAGCAAGTACTTGTCCTAAATGATGAGAATAGGATCCAAAGTGTTCCTATATCCAGTCTACATAAATAAATGTTCCTGGAAGTCTTCATTTCTGGACTCCAGTCTGTTCCTTGCCTTTATAATAGATCAGTAGTTAAATTTTATTATTAGTAACGCTTACAATGTTGTTGTGAACGATGGATTGGAGGATCCGTTCACCTACTTTTTCACCGGTGGTCATTTGATTCTCGCAGTAGATGGTTGTTTCTGGTTCGTTGTTGAATCGGTTTTGGTTCAATCAAAGTTTTAATATTTCTGTGTCGATGGTTCTAGTGGAAAACCCATTATTGACTAAGTAAGATTGTTTTGAAATTTCTAAGCCTCATCTTAATTTCATTTTTAGATAAGCAGGTTTTGAGAGCTCGTTGGGTGACAGCACGTATTGTGCTTTTATTGGGCATTCGCTGGCGGCGTTCAGGACTCTACCGACTTCTGTTGCCTTCCGGTATACTTTGGTGACGAACGAATTATTTTTAGCTTGGACAAAAATATCTAAAAAAGCAAAGGACGATTTTATCCGAGTTCGTAATGAAACTTCAAGTCAGAATTTGTTTCAAAGGCCATTCGTTGATTTCTTAGTTTCTCTTCATATCGAACGAAAAAGAAGATATCTTCGATATACCTGCCGTACAATTCGAGTTTAATCTTTTCGTATCAAAGTACTCGATTTTCATTTGCGCACAGATAGTCCCTCAGCAAAAGTAAGAAAGAGGGCTCATGGCAACGCCGTTGGTTCTGCCGGTAAATTTTGTTATCGGGAGTCCGGAAATGTGATTCGGAAGTGCGGAGTCGAAAGAGGCCTAGGAGAATTTTCTTGATATTGGTGGAGCCGGCAAATTTGGATGAGAATATACGTGCTCCGCGATGATTTCCAATGTTTCTTCAGTTGGGACGTTGGCGAAGAGGCTGGTGACATCTAATGGCAATAATGTGACAATAAGTGAAAATATAAGTGACATTGAGTGAAAATGAGTGCCAATAATGGGCGTAGCTAATAGTAAAATTAAACAACTGATCTACTATAAAAAACAAAATAACGAATCTTGTAATGAACAATAAGCCCTGACATAAAAAAATCCAATAAGCCAATGTAGTATATACGTTTTCCTACATTAGAGAAGGTTGTAGACTTCTCCATAATGTGGGAGAATACATCGGGCCCACAACTAGACCATCATCACTCGTACGGTGCTGGAGGAGTGTACCAGCGTCGTCATGCGATGCCCCGACGCCAACCGACTCGCGATAGCTGAGGCCCTCATCATTAAGGATATAGGACCCCAGCCATCAACCTTCAAACTACTGGATTTGTCATAACCATGAGACTCTTCAGAGTAATTTTTGGTGCTTTAATTCTTTATCATCTTCAAATTTTCGTGATTGTGTAATTATTTCTAAGCAAATTCTGATTTGAGAGCAGTATTCTATTTACATGATTGTTTACTCATGTTGATCCAAATTTATCACTTAGTGCGTCTTGTAACTAGATAATGAATGATTGATACATTCGAAATGTTGTTAACGAAATAAAAATGTCCATCGCTACCCTGATTTTCTATTTACCAGTGTAAACGAAAAAATATTATTCGGTTTGAAAAACAACTAATACGAAACTTTTCAATAATACAAATTTTCTGGTCTCCAATGAAGGCTGCTTAAATGAATTATTAAATTGTAGAAGATTTTCGAAGCCTTTAGATACCAGCACTGCATGTAAGGTTGAGGAAATATCCCAGAACGGTAGGTATTGCAAATGCACTTCCGAATTACCCGTACACTCAGAAATATGTACGGGCCATATTGTTCAAATACTGACGCACATCCTACACGTTGCACTGGTACACCCGTTTGCTGAGCAAAACTGGCTCAGGACGACATACACACAGGCAAAAAATGAATGCAGAGCTATTTGAACAAATTAATTATTTACTTTGAGTGTAGATATTTTGAGGCTTGGCTTCGAGCAATAAAAAAATTCAGATAATAACATCTTCCATATATAACATTTATCACATATTCCTGATTTCTTAATTTTAATTTATTTGTTGTTTTCAAATGAAAAGAGAAATTTATGTTTTCGAACATTGGACGCTCATAACATGAAAATTTGCTTCTGATATGGTAGGTGTACTAACAGAAAATACATGTTCGTTTAACCATTAAAAGATTCGTTTAACCATTAACTGAAGAATAAATACCTTTTTCAATTCCTAATTTAGATTTATTCTCAAAGCCCGTACGAGAAAGAGTTTAGTTGATCGCTAGTATAACGATGAAATTTTTTGTCCCAAACAATCACAAGTTTGAAAAATACATGGATGGAGATAGTTTTGCTCCATGTTTGAATTATTTCCATGATTTCTCAGTACGTTGTAAAAACTAAATTCCTTCCATACATGTTATTTTAATATTGCTCTATAAATTGATTGGGTCGCTATACATCTGCATGCAGGCATCATGCGTGGTATATAAGCTTGGGATGATACCGTTTGCTTTCATACAGCGACCAGAAGGCGACCGAGGAGCTCCTTTGGAAGAGAGGCGTTTGATTACTAACTTATACTACTAACTTATTTTACTTACGACATATTACTAACTTATTACTACTAACTTATTTTCTTGTCGTAATCGATTGAAAAATATTCATAATGAATCGCTTGTCAGTTTATTTCCCATTGGGAATAATCTTACTTGCAACAATTTGGTAAGTTGTAATCATTCCTAATTGTGCAAACGAACGAATTTCGTTTAACAATTTCATTCGAATATAACATGTCAGAATTATATAATTACCGCGGAATCATGTTGAGGATTCATGTTAATATCATGTTAAGAGAGGAATCATGTTACGGATTCATGTTAATATCATGTTAAGAGAGGAATCACGTTACGGATTCGTTCAGTTGGAAGTTTTCTTAATGATACCAATTACCCTTCAAACATTTTTGAAGATATGAACAATCGAAACCTTGAACATTTTGAATGCTCAGCTGTCACATTTTCAGTAACAAGCATTATGATATTGATTGAGCAAAGAATACGAAAAATAATCTTATGATTTTTACAGATTCGCAGAAAGCAAACAAGATTCCGATTAGATTATACCGATTCATGCTAATTAATCAATCTTTCTAAGATGAATTTTAAAAAATGTAAAAAATGTTACTAGTCCGTTTGTTGAATTCATGGCTCAAAAGTTGATAAATTTAAGTGATTATATTAAATTTTAGCCAAGTTTTTGTACACGATATCGTGTGATAAATTTTTGCTTTTTGGAAAATACTCTAAATAAAAATGAATTGTAATTAAACTAAATATCTCCTTCAAAACCTGTATAGAAGTCAAAGAAAATTAATATCAGTTTAAATAAACATCAGCCCAGAGCATGCAAATAATATCAAATCATGTAATAAAGTCACTCGATAGAGAAACGGTAAAGTTTTCTGACATTTTCTTCGCTCCTATGTTCAAAGAAGAAAACAAATTACCGATTATTTCTCACGAATTATTAAATTGATCAACTGTAAAGGACTTTCTTGTTGGCTAGTCCTTTGGGAACGTTTACTGAACTATTCTAAGTCGCGTCATCATAACAGGATAAAGAACGAGTATTCCATGATGTACGGTTTCTAGAAAGAAAATTACAATCAATAAATATGAAACGGTATAATAAATAATTCAAATAATCAACAAATCTAACTGACTCGGGTAATATACAGGCATCTAGGGTCAAACACTGAATGCTCTGACGCATCAGAAATAAACTACCTCTAGTAGACTAATTCTACTTCTGCAAATTCCGGAGAAATTGAAAATGGCGGCTACATCAACTATAAATCATGTAATTAATTTTAATGTAACAGGTCAGCTGAAGGGTTTCCTTGTCAGGGGTGTCACCAATACAGTTGCCAGCCAATCAAGCTCAGTAGATGCAAATGGGGAATTGGTCCGGACACCTGTGGCTGCTGCCAAGTCTGTCTCAAAGTGAGTCAAAGTCTCAGAGTGAGTCAAAGTATCAGAGTGAGTCAAAGTCTCAGAGTGAGTTAAAGTCTCAAAGTGAGTCAAAGTCTCAGAGTGAGTCAAAGTCTCAGAGAGTCAAAGTCTCAAAGTGAGTCAAAGTGTCAGAGTGAGTCAAAGCGAGTAATGCAATTACGCCAGATTGTGTAGAATTTATATATATTTGCACTCATTTTAAAGTTGCTCAATACTTTTCTATGGGGTATTTTCTAATTATTATTTTTTATGCATTCTTCATTGGGGAAAAGTGTAAATTACCTAATTAAATGAATTTCTTTACTGTTACTGGGTTTTTTTCAGTACTGATAACAAGGAGTCAATGATTATTTTACCATTTATCAGTTTAATTAATAAATTAAGTAGTTATATACCTATTACAAGTGTTATTGGTTAAAGTGTTTTGAGAATATTATCATACACGCAATTCAGGGTTCTGATGAGTCAATCTTAGTTCATACACGAATCTCATTTTGCAGTTGTAGCATTAAGGAGTGATTTTATTATGATTAACTTATATTATCAGCAATAATAAATGATTTGTCAATTTAACATTAAATATGATTTAATTCAGGGTCCTGGTGAAATGTGTGGAGGTTCTGGAGGATCATGGTCACCAAGCGGTCAGTGCGGGCGGGGACTCCACTGCATGATGCAAAATCCTTACAATTCAGGATATCCAGGCTATTCAGGATATTCAGGATATTCAAGATATTCAGGATATCCAGGGTATTCAGGATATTCAGGATATTCCTCCAATTCAGTTGGAGTCTGCCAGTACAGCAACCTCCGTGAGTCGTCGTAATAGATTATTTCAATTTATTGAACAAGACTTTTTACTATTTTTTTTACAGAATTTGCCTGTTTTCTAGCCACAATAATAATTTATTATACACTTTCACAGAAATTAATTGGCCATATTGTCATAACAGTGCCACACTCTAGATTCACTTTCTTCACTTAGCACTGATGGTCCTTTTTGCAGAGCCAAACTTCGGCAAGTCGCGCAGTAAAGCAGCAAACATTGCATCGCTACTAGGACAAGTGCTTTTTTCTCTGGGTAAATGAAAGCATATGGCACTCGAGTCAGAAAATTTATTAACCCAGGTAAGTATTAAGTTAACGCTGAACGTTGATAGATTTTGTCATGTGTATACCAATCATTTAGCTAGTCGTGACAAATCTTTTAATTTTACATCCATTTCGTTAGCTACCATTTCCTTTACTGATAGCGATTTTCATTATTTTTACAGGGGATTGAAAACTATCAAGGGAACGACGATCACAAATGGACATTCTAGATTATCTGAGAACATGAAATACCGAAGCTGAAGAAAAATTAATATTACTGTTATTATGTTCGACACATTTCTGTGTTCAAGTGACATTCTATGGCTAGTGGTCTGATTTCCTCAATGTCTAATCCAATCTAGTAACTGATAAAAATATGTTAATCTAACGGAACCTAATTTTCCTGTTTTTGTAATATATCTGAAAGTATTTTTGTAGATTCGAGATAATTTATGGCCAATAATGCACAATTTTTAATTTTTAAAATATATGTGCACTGCACGAAAGTTTTTTTTCAATACTCAAATTTCTTCGGTTATACAATTTGAATGAAAAAAAAATATTGAAAAATTAAAACAGGAGATAAAGGACATCTGTCAGTTTTGTCGATCTTTTGTACCTTTTCAAAAGTACTTAGTTTGGTTCAAAAACGCTTCGATATCGTTGAACTTATTTGAATAATTCAACTAATTTGAATGCTCCAGCATCTCGGTCATTTACGACTCTTGAATTTTATACGATCTGAAAAACGTAATTCTCAGTTTGAAAATAGCACTCAATATGCATTATTCGCTTTTATTTAGTTTTAAAAATTCTATTCACTCAAAATACTATAATATTTGTTTATTCCTTTAATTTCATCTCAAAATTATTTCCCCAGATATTCATATACATCATATAAAAATGCCAGCAATCGCATCTTATGTTGCAAAAATACAAAAACACAATTAATGCTACAACCTGCAATAATTTGTCCTAAAAAGATGCAATTTAGGTCAAAGGTTATTTAGGTCAAAGGTAATTAAGGTCAAAGAATGTCTTACTGACGAATAATTATCTATCCCACAACTTAGTATTTAATCACACCACGGATTTATTTCCATAACAATTACCGCTGTATTTTTAAATCACACATTCTAACCAAATTTCACACCGAAAAGAGTTCTTATTTATTTCGACAAAAAACATAGCAATTTTAGTGGCAAACTGATTTTTAGGCAGAGTCACTCGATTTGTGAACGATTTTGTTGATATTGAATAGAGTTCTTTTTACAACACTACGTGTACGTCATCGTCAACACTCTCCCGGTGAAGCAAACACTGTAATGGCAAACATTGATGGCAAAGCATAACTTCGGTGGCTGGTCACAGCCTTTCTTAGAAGCAATTCTTGAATCTAAACAGGGATGTCGAACTGTCATGCTTGGTTCTGATGTATGCATAGGACAACACAAGTTCATTTATTTGCATTCAACTTTTCTATCACAGATATTTAGACTAAAGTTAACTCAGACAGACATGAAGTTGCAACCATGTCAAGAAACTGTTTGATGAGCGCTTCCGGTAACTACTGCTTAAATAGCAATTTCATCCTGAAATTTGCTACGATAGAGCAAGTATTTTGAATGCCTAGGGGTCAGTTTAGCTCGGAAGAGAATGTTCGGCAAATTATTTCAAGTTAGATTTCACATTTAAATAATATATTCGGACCATAGGTGTTTGAGCGTAACTTCTCAAAGTTTCGACATAATGAAACAAAGCTCGAACGAAAATCCAGGAAAATCAACAAACAACCCACTCCAGCTTTGGGGTTGTTAGCCCAGCCCAGTATTATATTGATATGATTATAGTTTGAAATGTAAATTTTCAAATTCGAAATCATTTTGAATTTCACATTTAGTGTATTAGAAGCACAAATTTTGAAAGTAATTATTTGCAGATCTTTACAATTTAGAACTTCTCTGCGTTGTGAAAACTATTGTTCATAGGGTCTCAAAATTTCTTGAGACACACGCTCGAACATCCCACACAAACACCACACACGAAGACCACACACGAAAACCACGCACGAACACCACACACGAACACCACACACGAAGACCACGCACGAACACCACACACGAACACCACACACGAAGACCACGCACGAACACCACACACGAACACCACACACGAACACCACACACGAACACCACACACGCACACCACTCACGAACACCACACACGAACACCACACACGAACACCACACACGAACACCACACACGAACACCACACACGAACACCACACACGAACACCACACACGCCTATTACATTCGAACCCCACACACGAACACCACATACGAACACCACATACGCACACCACACACGAACACCACACACGAACACCACACACGCACACCACACACGAACACCACACACGCACACCACACTCGAATACCACACAAGAACACCACACACGAACACCACACACGAACACCACACACGAACACTGTGCTCGCATATCATTCACGAATGCCGCACAAGAACACTACGCTCACACCATAAACGCACATCACACACGGAAACTATTCACGAATATCATCCCCAAGGACCTCCGCATGTCTCGCCGTGACTCTTGATAAGTGAAGAAAATTATTGGATACACTAAGTATATATTGCCTTTATGAAACACATATTTTATTTCTTGTTATGAAACACTAACTCATGAAACATATATTTTAAGCAAAAAATCTCGAGAAACTTATCATCCTTACACACGAACCAAGGAATAACATGATATTTTCCATAAAATTCATACATTTATTTAATTACACCGTATTTTCTTATAAATATAATGATGAAATCCTAAATTTCACAATAAATTCGGTATTGGCACAATATATCTTGATTTCGTACGCGGAGGCACACTCTGCAGCATCCGTACAAGTCAAGCACTACACTATGTCGTGAATGCACAACTTTTTATCATGCAAATAACATTAATAAAACGCTTCACTCAAGTGACTATAAAGGTGAGTAAATATGGCACTAGTATTGGGCGGGAAACACAATGATCAAGCAGAATAATTGGAAGTGTACAATTATTGTAGTGGAATAAATCGATGGGTAAAGTTATTAGAGCAGAATAATTCTAAATTAAGGTCTCAGGCAAACGATTCTAACGTTGAATTGTAAACATTTTCACGAGTTACAGGCAAATATTCTGAGATTTTCTTTCACTTGACTATTCACAGCGAATCAAACCAACAAAATGAAGCTCACTTAAGACAAATATCGCCGGGAAAAATGATGTGAAGAAGCCAGAACAGAGAAAAATTTCTAATACCGGTAGTATCCGGTTCTAAATCCAAAACTTTTGTTAATTGACTTACGGTAATAAGTTGACAATATTCTTTAAACTCTTTGAAGGTCAAGTGTAAGTTGAAAATAACCAACTTTTCTACGAAAATAAATCTCAACTCGTCAGGCCCGACAGGCCTGACAAATGATTCCGATCACCCCGTCTCACTCGGAATATGCCAATAAGGTACCATATGGATAGAGCATACATTTGTATTTTAGCCATGCTTTTCTACGTAAATTATGTGTAGCCGCCATTTCCCATATTCACTGGAATTTGCAGCAATATATTTAGCCTACTTGACGTAGTTAATTTCAAATGTGCCACACCATTCAGTGTTGACCCAAGATGCCTGTAGTACCCGAGGAACCAAGCTATTCGGTTAGTTAGATTTATTTGATTACTTAAATTACTGATTATCCCGTTTCATTGTTATTGATTTGTCTTGATTAATACATTGTCATTTATCATAAATTATTTCTGGTATATTTTTCGTATGTATTTTCTTGTAATCTTCTTTCTGAAAATCGTACGTCATGAAATCTTCGTTTCTTACCCTGCCATGATGAGCGTCTCAGCTTAGTAAACCTTACGAAATGACTAGCCTACAAGAAAGTTCTCCACATTATGTTTCATTTCAAATTAATTTTTTTGTACAACTCAAATTAACTTCTTTGCAATATTTATAATGATTCATTTTAATTTCGTGGCATGATCTTACAATTTCAACGCACTCTGCAATGCTCGCAGTTACGATTTCAAAAAAAAAGTTGTGTGATAGTTTTCGTATATATAATACTTAGCATTAATTTTAAACTATACATTTTTTATGTTTTAAATATTTGTTTGCTTTTCAAATTTATATGGTGATTTATTTTGAACTTTTTGGTGCTCGGGTTCATTTATACAGGAGTTGCATAGTATTAATGATCATTTTCATGTGACCACCAAATTTCTTAAGTATCCCAAAGAATTACACTATTTTCTTTCATGTATGTTTCGGGACCGACTCCTGCAAATCATGGTATTCCTATTTCTATTTGCGTCATTTTGATAAGTATTCACTTTGGATATTGTACTCTTACTACTCTACGAATCGACACCTTTTCATATATCCTCGCATATATTTACTTAATAAATAAAAATTTTAACTTAATAATTTAACTCACGTTCAACGTGCTAGAAAGACTGTAGCTCTATAAACTTGAAAATCGCACTCATTAATAAAAAATAATTACTAAAATATGAGACTAATCAGACTATATATTGAACTGCTCAAAATATTTCTACTTCCGCAGGCCATCCCGAAAAAAGGTCAACTTCTCGGTCTTGAAGAATGAAGCAGCTATGGATCCCGTTATGTTAAAAATTATATATTCATCCCGAATTGGGTAATCTTTGTCCAATTTACGTGTGTATATCTGATTCCCATATGTGTAAATATTCCTATGATCTTATCCCTAAATGTGTAATTTGTGGCAAATACGCAATTAATTAAGAATTATAATAAAAAATGTGTTGAGAAATTTCCGTAAATTTTATTAAAGACGTATATTTGGCCGAATTTGCTTAACAATTCCTTTGATTTCAAATTTTTAGTAAATTTGCAATACCAGCAACGAAATTATCTTAATTATAGAACTAAGCTGATATATGCTGATGAGGCCGGACGTTAACTACCTTAGCTTCAACGGATGGCCGCCCAAGGTTGCACGCTGGCCACGAACTTATTAAAAAGCTAGTTTTAAATAATTGACGACGAAAACGCAACTTTCCAATTCACCACTGAAGTTTAAAATACTTTTATTTCAATAGAAATATGGCACTTTAAAAAATGGCCACTCTGCAATTACGGTTACAGTTAGGAGCAGCACAAACACTGGCAAAGAATTATTCAGCTCAGTCAGGGAGACGGCACACTGAAAGACACTAAGCTTTATGCCAGATAGGCAGTTACGAGTTACCACTAGGTAGGTCAGAGCAGCAACTTCACCGATGGGCTAGCAGGACTCTGCTGTCTCCTTAAAAGAATCGCCCTTGTCTCTTTGAGACCAATCTTGCCTGAAGGGATCCTAAGTCTAAGTTATTCAATGGGCTTCGATGAAAATCCATACATGTATAATTTATCTCCTAGCTTAAATAAATTTAAATGATTAAAAAAAATGTCTAAAATGACCGCGAACGATTCTCATTCGTTGACACTGATGCATGGTGAAAATTAATGTTTTTTCTTATAATTAATTTCCTTAGTTTATTTTGAGTCATGAAAATATTAAAACAAGTGGAAAAATGCCGTTTGGTCTCATTTTTCCTGATTAAGCATATTCAGAAATATATTACGAACACTTATTTAGAGGAAGCCTTGGATACATATAATTCGATCCAGAAAAATCCGTTCGTTTACCCTCTCTCAGCAATTTTTTTCAAGTTCAGATGGAAAAAGTATAAAAATTTTCATTCAGATATAATATAAATAAGCCTCCCTAATATTACGGACATCATAATCAGCTCTGATTGGATTTGGCTTGTTATATTTATAAATGTATCGACCCAAAAGTTTTTATTGCAATTTACAAAAATTTTAGTTGACTCCAAAGATCATGTATCAACACTTGAACTTCTAAAATAAAACAAAAATATTCGTGATGATGATAAAAACTTGTTTTATGCGCATGGCTTATTTGTATCAAGTCGCTCATTATAAAACTACCAAATACGAAATGATCGCCAGCATTATTCCTTAAGATTTGCCTTATACCCAGGTTTTAGCTGTCACACTAAGGTAACCTGCTATTTTAAGTGGCTTCGGGAATGAGGTTGAGATAATTAAACTTTAGTTGTAAAAACCGTAGATTAAAACAGCCACTTCATATTTTCTACGAATAGTCTGCTCTAGTCTGTGTATCCTGTTCCAACTTGGAAGAATTTTCTTTCGCACAAAATATTCGTCCAATGTAACATTCATTTAAAATTTTGACAAAATTTATTTAATTTTTTCATTTATTTAAAAGTTTTGGCAAGAAAAAATGTTGTTGTTAAATATTTTCAAGTAATTATCGTATTCCTAGTTCATGGTGCATGATCTGCATTGATATATCGTGGAAAACAATCAATCACCCAACATGTATTGCTAATTTCCGAGATTTTTTCTCATCTCGATTCTTAATGAATTCCAAATAAGGGAATGCAATTTTCGAGGCAAACATGTACTTCAGAATTCAGATCAATGTGCAGAGAAGGTACGCATGTAACTCTAGGCTTATTGGAGTATCGAGTGCCGTTAAAATGATGTTTTGTTGCGTAAATGCATTTGGATATTATTGCTTCAAATTGCTGCAGTTATACGATTGATTAAATGAGTTTCCATGTTCGTCCAACGAGTATATAAACTCGTAATAGTCTGCTACAAATGTGTATAAAGGACTTCCTATATTTTAGACTTATTTCATATTAATATTCATAATAATACGGTGGATACTCCAGAATTGAAGAAAAAAACCCACCAACGGTTGCCCGCACGCACATGAGGGCATTGGAGAACGTGTAACGTCCTTGGAAGAAGCGTTTAAAAAGCGTTTGCGCGTTTAAAAAGTAAACTTCGTTCTCACTAATTATATTCTTAACTGTTATTACATTCGTGCATTCCATTCTATTCTTACATTACATTCTATTACATTCAAAACGGGTTTTCTCCATTTAAATAGTAATTTTAAGGTAAAATATGGACTGGTCAGCTTGAAATAAAATTTTCGTTGTATTTCGGAACATATTTCATTATCTTAGATTAGGACAGGAGGATAACATGTAACTAACCTAGGGTGCAAAATAAATTTATTTATCAGCTGTACCAGGAATAACATCTTTCTTTTATTTGAGAATCAACCACCAAACCGAAACCAAAAAATAAAATTAATTTAACTCCTGTACCTGAAAAATTATCTAACTTTTATTTGAGAATCAATCATTGTACTGAAACCGAAGTAAAAAATGTATATATTTACACTTGTACCTACAAAATCACTTAATTTTCTTTGAGAATCGATCATCGAACAAACAGCGAAGCTGATAACCGCAACTAAACGTTTCTCCTAGTTATCTAGAATGTGTTAAAACTTAACAAAGTAATCCCAATTTCAGAGAGCAAACCGAAAGCAAATCGTCTTGAGAATTAAAAACAACAATTCCGATAATATTCAAGACTTGTTCAACAGAATTACGCAACAGGTGTATTCCTAAAATGAGAAATGTATAATCACATTTCAATAGAGGTGGCAATATTAATGGCCTTAACAGTCCCAGTAATCACTGTACAAAGTGTACATTTAATTGTGGAGATATTCTGCATCATTCAGCAAAATACAAACAAATAATTCTGAGCAGATAAATGCTGTTAAGCATTGGAAAACCTTGTGCTCACATCGTATTAAGAGCGAAATTTTCACTCTAAAAATTATACGTAAAGTTGTGTTATTCCGCTTTTTTCCGCAGCTTGCCTCACAGACTCACAAAGGTCACACGTGATCATAGAAAACACGAACAAAACAAGCGTGAGCAGACTACCAAGTGGGAAATTATAACGAGGAACTTGTTTTCGCAAAACTCGCATGTACAATAACATGAACTTTTCGAGAGTGTGATGCACCTAAGAAATACGAAAAGTTAGAGTTATGTGTGGAGTGGAATATAACTACTCGGTCAATAAGATACACAAGTTATATTTCACATATGAATTTGATACTAGAAGCCTCATTCGTGATTATAGGCTAGAGCAAATTAAAATTTTTATCTATGAAGCCGTGACATGATCTCTACATGACCCTGAAAATCCGTGCCATCAATTCACCAGGTCAATTACTCTGCAGGTATATAAGCGAATTTTCTCCCTTATCATCACTTCATTGTAAGACTTGCAGGGAGCGCAAACATAGACATCAACTCTTGTAGTAATACCATATAAATAATTGGCCTTAGACTGATGGTCATCCTAGAGAGGTAGACAAATAACACCTAGCTGACTTCAAATTATTCAATTCTCGTTGTGCGAATAATAAATGAAATAACTCTAAAAACTCTAAAAATAACTCTAAAAATATGTAAAATTTTATTTCAAAAGATTTCGAAACAGACTACATGCAATTTATTGAACAGAACTGCTAAAGATGTTCAAAGTCGCCAGTTACATCGCGGTGTTAGTTGTTCTGACCTCGGCCTGGTGAGTAGACGTTTTCGTAAACTTACTTTTGATTTTTCAGAATAAATTTAAACTAAATTTTTTATTAGAATAAATTTAAACATGAATAAATAATTCATGTTTAATAAATTTAACCATGAATAACAATATATTTTTCGCGATTCACGCGGATTAGCCCTTATTGATATCTTTCATAAAATTCAGATAAAGCGTATCAATCAACGAAAAAAACTGATTGCATTTAATTTTTTTAATAGTTTTGGTTTTAAATAATGAAAACTTAAATTCTAACTCCATAAAGGGTATTTTCCTGATAATAATTTAACTATATATAACTCGTGGTCGCCCCGTTGATTATTTATTCATGATTTTGATTTTAACTCGAAGATTGCATTTCACAGACGAATAGAAAAATTGCTCAAATAATATTCACACATCATCCTCGAGGTGAATATTATAATATATTGTTTTCCATATTATATATAATTCGTGTTGAGTATTATATGAGATAAATTATACAATAACGTAAATAATATGTTTTTTCTTTCGCACAGGCAGCTGGAGGGGCAGAAATTCACCTGTGCACCCCTCAGGTGTCCGAGGGTGAACACGAGGGCTTGTAAATTCGGTGTCGGACTCAATGCCTGTGGCTGTTGTGAAGTTTGTCTCAGCGTGAGTAGCTGAATACTTAATAGCAGCTGAGGTTGTAATATTAAAAATAGTTACTTTTTTGCAACTTTATCAGCCAAGCACTGATGGTCTTCCAAGCTAAACTCAACAATCACGGACGATATATTGACAGCTACGTGTACTTAGGCTGCTGTGCGTACCTAAGCTAGTTCGTTAGTATGGCCCTATGGAGAATTCTTGAACTTATTGACATATAGTCTTTTTCACTGTCATTCAATTTGGTTTTCAGGAATTAGGGGGATTTGATTATAAAGCACGGATTATTATGATATGGATGGTCTATGTTCAACTGATGTTCAGGTATCAGTTCTAATCTACAATCTAACTTTTAATGATTTGAAACTGAAAATTTATTGATTTGGCATCTCGCTTCCTGTATATAATGGTTTCGAACGCCATATCAAGAAGAAATAAATATTTCAATGCATACATACTTAATAAATGCGTGCTGGTATACTAAAATGTAAGCAGCTTAATAATTGTTGGTGCACATTGTAAAGCTGGTTTTGATAAGTGATGTAAAAATTTTACCTTGTGAACCAGAAATCGATGTAACAAGGACTCGCATTTGACATTTATTTTCAATCCTTACGGGAGCGATTGTTATCAGTAATTGATTGGATTGTTTGTAATCGGCTGCATATTGAAACCAGCGCTTAAACCGGATACTGGTATAAACGTGTTTGGTATCAACGGGTACTTCTTGGTATTTTTCTACTTTTATTTCCTATGCTCCCTAGTATAAGATTTATTATCACAGGACAACCCTGCGTTAACGTCAACGTGTGACTTGGTTTCCCCAATGCTATTGTTTCAGTGAGATATTTAGTAACGATTGCTGCTGCCTGTTTTTCGTGGCGATGCGGTTGAAATAATTCACACCTTAACAGCAAAATTTTTCCCTTATTCTACGCCCCCCCTCCTTCATTTGGAGGATGTGAAAACTTTCGCTACAACAATTTATCATTCAAAAAGGCAAAAAATTTCCCGTTATATTTATCTTTCTCCTGTTTGCAAAAGTATATCTAAACAAGATTATTTTAGTCCAGAAGCAGCCTTCCTACCTCAAAGATTTATCGTTCTAGCTTTTGACTGCAAAGACATAGGGCGGTTGAGATTATTTTTATTTCCTGCACCTACTACGCGATGATTGGCTTTGAAACTTTTAATCTTGGAGCTTTAAATTCAGAGTTTTATCCTTAAAAATCATATTTAAGAGATTTTTTCCAAAGAGAGAATGCAATCATATATGTGATTTTTTATCTCTTATTAAGGGTCTGAATGCACCGTGTGGAGGCCCCTGGAATACAGAAGGTACTTGCGGCACCGGTCTGACGTGCGTCAAAAGTGACGCCAACGACGTCGACTCGGTCGGTACTTGCAAGTAAGGTGAGGTGTTTATAAGCTATTTTTATTTATGTGGTATTTATAATTGCATGAGACTTTATATCGCATGTAATTAAATTTCTTGAGCATATGATATGATCTCCACATAAATAATATGAGTGACTGCTTGGTTTGTATAATTTCAATTAAATGAGAGTTTTAACCAAAATTAACATTCACTTATATATACTTCACTTATATTTATTCACTTGCATGCATGTGCTTTGAATATGATGTATACATATTAAATTTTCTTTTCAGTGTAATTTTTGTATGATATAATCATGACGAGGTTGTGGACTTATTATTGCAATATATTTTTAATTGCAATATAATAATTGCAACTTATTTTTTTCGTTTTTACAGACCCGAAAGGCGAACGATCGCAGCACTGAACGACTCCATTTTTGGCAGTTGACAGAAAGCTACAAATATTTTTTTATTCAACCGTTTGAATTAAAATCTTTGCATACCAACACTCATGATATGATTATCTCGCCACTACTTTTGTGCCGGAAATAATTTTTATCCGATTCATATATAAGTCGTTAATTCGTTCATTATTATATATCATTCACACTATTAGATATTTAGAAAATAAATAAATTTGTAATTTGAGCTGAAAAATTGTGCGCAAGATAGACCAAATTGACAAATATATTTCATGAAATTTAGACATCCTTTCGTGAATGGTTGGTTTTGGTTAGGTGTTTTGAAAATGGTGGGGTGAATATAAGAATTACGAACAAGAATTTCTTCGCGTAAGACATGACTAAAAACATAATTCATATTTCTTATTGCGTAGAGTTTCTCATATTTCAACTAACGAAAGATTTAACTTCAATTCCGGATCATCAACTTATGCAATTGGCAGGAAAATTGAACACTTGCGCGTTTTGAAGGTCCAATAATTGAGTGACTCAAATTCGAGTAAGAAATGTTACAAATTTTCACATCTACTGATAACTTGTTAATTATTTAGCAATAACACATCGGAGTAACATGAAGAAAATAACTTTAAATTTTATATTTATCACAACTTTGATATCACAACGTAATTAATTGGACTTCGTCTAGTATATTTTCCTCTTCGTTTCGATTGTTAATTATTCTATTTGATGGTAGTATTTGGTGATATCTTAATTCGATTTATATAGTTTTATTCCCAATGCTCAACGTAAATTTTGTGTCAGTGTTCAATGCACAATTTTGATGAACAAACATCTGTTAAAAATGGTCTCAGATGTGTAAAATTTTCCTAGAATTTTGAAGGAATTACATTAGTTTGGAGAACTCAACTTAAAATTTAGAGCAACATAAATTGCGCATCACGAAAAACTTTTGCGGATACTATATTCTTTTACATGTGATCAGGTTAGTGAAAAAGAATGACATTTTTATTTAAAACTTCTTTAGAGTTTATTTTTTCCAGCTGTCTAAGAATTTGTACAATAGGGCCAACAACTCATTTCTTTCATTTCTCCCAATGAAAAATCCGTAAAATCCATAAATTTTGTGCATGTGATCCCCAAATTTAGGAAGGCTGACACGTTGGTATGCGACTGCAAGACCATCAAGTGTTCCAAAGTTGACCCGCAGTCATGCAAATACGGCTTAGGACTTGACGCTTGCGGCTGCTGCGAAGCGTGTCTGCTCGTAAGTGATTTTTACTTTTTATAATAAATAAACTTTTTCGAAATGCATTTTGGAAAATAGTGATTTCATCTCGGTGATACGAAACATTGGAATCTGGGTTTTAACGGTACTTAAGCATATTTTAATATAATAAGCGAGTGTATTACAACGATTATAATTTTTTTACTCAGCTACCTCCCGTAGCAGCAAGCAATGGTTTTTATCATTGTAGACTTAATTATTATGAATGCATTTGTCAAGGGTCCCGGCGCTACTTGTGGCGGCATGTGGGATATGGAAGGATATTGTGGCACTGGCCTGACCTGCGTTAAGAAGGACTCTACTGATGCAGATTCTATCGGAACTTGTCAGTAAGGTGAGATTGTAGTATAGGTACGTCACGTTTTATTGCAGGCTTCAATAGGTGCATGACACTTTAGGTGCGGGTTCAGTAGGTACATCTTGTTTTATGTGTGGACTCGATGGGTGCATGCCACTTTAGGACAGGGTTTAGTAGGTGCATTTAGCTTCAATTGAGGGAAGTTTCTGTAGGTGCATGACATCTTAGGTGAAGGTTTAGAACTTACATCAAATTCTACGTAGGGTTATAAGTAGGCGCATATTGTTTTCGTGAGGGCTTAGTAGGTGCATGAAGTTTCAAGTGAAGGTGATTCTAGTAGATGCAGGACACATTAGGTGAGGGTTAAGTAGATACCTAAAGTTTTAGGAGAGGTTTCAGTAGGCACATGACAATTTAGGTAAGATATTTAGTAGGTGAGTAACTCTAGTTATGATATTTACTATAGTGCATGATCCTTTAGGTGAAACTTTCAGTAGGTGTGTGACACTTAAGATCAGACATGTTAAAATTTTCAAATAAATAATAGGATCTTCATCCGAAAAATTTTCTTGTACATTTAATTCTTTTTATAATTGGTTTCATACAGTACATTTTCTTCCAAATTATGTCATTATTTCATCGAAGTGTTTTGAATAACAAAGAAATTTCACCGATTTTTATAATTCCCACAGGTCTTAGCGGGGGAGGAGCATGGCGGCAGTCGTGAGGTTGTAGTTGTACCTGAACCGAAACACTCTCAGACGAATCCTTATTTTGAAGTTCATAACATTACAGAAATATTTTTAATCTAATTTTACAAGAATTGAACATTTATCACAAATTTTTTAGATGTTGACTTGAAGTAGGAATTCTATTCATCCAATGTCAATTCAATAGCTATGTAATCATAAAAACACGTTGGTTGCAAGATTAATCTGTCGAGTATAAAATGGGCAATCTATTTTTTCGAATAATTTTTCATTGTATTGAATACGCAATTTCCCTGACTAACTTGAGGGCCTTTATAGCAGCGTTTTCCTATTTTGGCTTCGAATAAATACGCGTAAAAAATTGGTTTCTTTGCATGAGGAAACTACGAACATAACAGTCTATAATTTATTCAATAACGCTAATAATATTTCTTCGTCATACTACGGATTAAATTTGGTGGAAACAGAAAAAAGTGTAAGATTTCTTGAGGATAATTTTATCAGAAACAAAAATTACATTTATTTAATGTATTTGAAGTGCGAATCCATTGAAACTTATTCAAATCAATCACTTATACAATTTTTCCATGTTGACAAGGAGAGTTAAAATAAAGAAATGATTAATAAAACAATCAAACTAGCATGACTAGCATTAACAACTGCACTGCAGTTTTCTCATAATAATATTCTCAAAATCAAATTTTCGCCTAAATCACAATTTAATTGAAGTTTAAGAATGAATGCAGTAAGAATCAATGAATCCTGATATTCATTGATTTGAAGTTACCAGTTATGAAGGTATAATTGAAGAGAATTGAATTGTTAATTAACAAAGAATTTAAAAGCTAAGTTAACTCCAAGTGAATTTTCCCACATTTTCATTGAAAACGTTTTCAATGACGACATGGTGAATTAACATGGTATTTTCCTTGATTTCCAATTCGTGGTCAACTTACGATTTAAGCAGCCTTATACTGCATGTATATATTTAATTAACGGGTGTTTGGTCTACCCCCTAGGGTCGAGAAACCTCAGTGCGCCTGCAAACCAGCGTCCTGTAGCGCCCCTGAGTGTAAATACGGCGTGGGCAAAGACTCGTGTGACTGCTGCGACGTCTGTCTTCTTGTAAGCCCATGAGGACAAAGAGAGATTGATGAATACAACAGTATTTTGGAATGGAGTATTTTCCTAACATATGGAAAATACGCCATTATTATCTCAACCAGTTAATGGAATATTTTCTTTTTCTGTTGAAAATATCCATTCCATTTTTTATAACTTATGAATGGAGAGTTTTCTCCGCCGCTTAATTGTGTTTCTAATAATTCTGTTTCTATTTCTATTGTATTAATTTATTTTTTGTTATATATGGATGTTTTGGTCAATGGAATAATGTTGCGAATCAATATAAGGAATAAATAACAGATTTATACCCGTATTTAAAAGACTTGTACATTTTTCCTTCACGAACGTGCTACTATTCATAAAATGTACAATGATTTCCTTCATATTTCTAGGGTCCTGGAGTAACATGTGGAGGCCCTGGTGACGTACACGGCAAATGTGGCAGGAACATGGCATGTGTTAAAATAGATCCCAAGGATGCTAACTCCATCGGGACCTGCAGAATAAGTGATTATTCCAGTTATTAAGCAATGTCTCATTCGGAAAATTATATAATCAAGCCCTAGTCTGTTTCTTTTTAACGCATTTTCTCATTTGTGGAAAAAATGCACTATTGTGCTCGCTATGTCCGTCTGTCTGTCTGTTTGTCTGTCTGTATGTCTGTCCGTCCGTGACCTCAAATTTTCGTCGACGAGAAAATGCGCTCTCTGTCACTCTCTGCAGTGAGTACTGAGTTATATATTTTTTTTTGTTTTCGTTGATCTCATATTCTATATTTAATGTTTTAATTATTTTGATCTGCATTCTGGATTATTAGATTCCAATACCCCTTATTACTATGGATATATAGTTAAAATTATTTAATCTTATATTGGAGGTTTGGTCCGAAGTAATGGCTAGTCATGAAATAGACTTTGGCCGTGCCATTATAAAGTTAAATACCTCGCGAAATATCGTACATACGTACATAGTAATCTTAAAGTTATTTAGGAAATTTCAGGAAAAAACTATAGCTGGAATTAGAATACAATTCCCACAACTTCTCAAATAACTTCATCATGAACGGTGATTTGCAATATTTGATTATATTATTAGTCCCGTTTCCAGTTGTTTTATCATTGAATGTTTACAAGACATTTATATTAAATTGAAAATTTCCCAGCCTAGAAAAATTATCCTGTTTACATGTAGTTCGCATTATCGTATTTTAACAGTACTCGCTGTAATCGTTAGTGTTTTATTTATGGGAAACTAAACACTCATCTAAGATTTACCAATTAAAATAATTATATTTCAAATAATTTTATCTCTTTTATAGTCCCTAGGGGAAAATGAGCTACGCAGCCCGGTATGAGGTCTGCCTACAGCGAAGCGAACGTGCTTGTGATCAGCCTTGCTTCGATAGGATCTACTTACAAATATTATTATACATCAAGTGCTATACTTCTCCTTCCATTAAAGCTTGTCTATGTAATAATTTGCGTTTCCTTTAACGATATCTTCATTTTGTGTATCTTTTAATTGAAATTTCATAAGCTATTGTTTGCGTCGTACCTGCTCTTTATTACAGTGAATTCAATTCTATAAATTGTTTCATTCCACGGTAAAATGTAAAATTATTATAATGATGTCCTTCGATATATTATATATGCCTCCATTGCATCTACCGAGGATTTATTCAAGTGAAATTAGCTAAGGACCAAAATTGAAAATTATACCGTGCTTTGAAACTACAACACATATTTTCTCTCTGTAGTATCGAATCTCTCGCTTCTTCTATTGGGTTACCAAAAATAATAACGAATGTAATCATGAAGTTGAAGTTGTTGTTTTATTTACCCATTTTGATGAAGTTGAAGAGGAATTCTATGACATTGAATAAATTTATTAACCCTTGAAAGATTTACCACTACGAGGTATAGGTGCATTTAAATGGTTCACAAGTACATCTCGATGACTTACCGAGCAGTTTAAGAAAGTGTAATATGATATGAAATTTCAATAATAAATAATAATACCACTAAACAAATCATTCCGCGTACAATTTAGTATTTTTACTTGCTAATGTTTATATGTTTTTCGGTAATTAATTATTAGGGCGCACGCTACTTATTTGCGTTCAATGGTGTGGATTATAGCTACACGTCGAGAATTAGATTATTAAACAGATAGATAAGATAATTGATAATTTCGGAGAACGAGTCATGGTTCTGATTAGAAATTAGTTGCCAATTATTCAAATACTACTGGGAATATGAAAATAAATACAGGAATTCATTAGTAATTCGATACTTCCAATTAATTATTCAAAACTTGTGTTGTGATTAATATTTTTTAAATAAACCAATTCATTCAATGGTTGTTTTTTCAATTAGTGTGATATTTTTGATCATCAATGGTAACATGACACATTGTAAATGACCTCATTCTACGAATCTAAATCAAACCATTGCATTCCAATAGACTTTTATCGGCAAATAGAACGCGAGGGTATATATTCAAGGCACGATAGTCATTGAATTGTTAATGCTGTACGATATGATTTTATTAATATTTGTATTTATTTCTAAATGAGTAGGAAAGATAATATTAGGAGAATAAATGCCACAGAATTGATTTTAGCTCATGAGCAAGCTAAATTATATGAGCACTAAACATTTTTATTTGCTGCCATTTTTTATTGTTTCTGCAACGCATTGCTGTGTAGCCAAGCGGTATTCGAGCTAATATATTTATTAATAAAATATTTATTCGGAAAGAAGGTTGAACTCTCATTGTTGTTACGTGTTTAACAAATTTCAAAAGATTTGAGCAATAACAATTGCCTTATACTGAAGAGACTTTCTTATATATAAGATCTACCAGTTCTTCCTTCGTCTCGCTAATATTGATAATAAATGTCACTGTTTTATAAAGGTTTCATGTTGAAGCAAGCAACGCAGCAAGAAATAAGGCAATAAATTGAGCTCCAGCTGTATCAGACGCTTTGCGCATACCTTTAAATATATTGCATTGATGATTAAACCTTGATAGTTCGATAATGTTTAGAAGATCAACTATTAATTAAACCATATATTAATATTAGCGTGAATTATATTAATTCGAACGCCACCGCTCTAGAAGTGAATATTGTTATATTGTTGCGGGAAAGCGAAGCAACAAATCTTAATCAACGTTTCATAGGCTGAAAATACGTTATTGAATCTGCATCAAAATTTCAGGGTTGGGCATAATTCACAGGATGGGAAATTATTATTCAACCTCGTTTCAAATTTGCCAACAGTTAATCATTATTAGAGATAAAATATTCTACTAGTCTCTCTCATATAACTTGTTTTCGTCGAAATTTTCATTTTCTCTATTAAAATAATTAACTCATGCATATTTATATCAAAAAATTTGAAAGTTATTCTTCACAGCGAATATACTCGTAAATACATCGAAAATGAGTCGAAAAAATGTTTCGCAACCCTTCAATTGATAAATGGGAATAATGATGTTCCTAGATATATTAAATTTCCCTACATGGAATGCGTAGATGATTTACACAAATACAATAAGTTAGGAAAAACACTAAAAATTTTTTAGTGTTTTTAGTGTTTTAGTGTTTTAGAGTTTAGTGTTTTTAGTGTTAGGCAATTTTATGGAAACGTTTATGTTTTTTCATAAATATGAAAGTTTTCTAGCATACATGTTTATATGTCTCAACCACGCCATTGCGATGGAAAGCTGTAATTAAAAGGTGCATTTCTATCTTACTTAATTAATCTACAGCAAGACCGCGAATGAATTATCCGTGATTATTTGCACTGCACCGCAAAATCCTTGAAATCAGCAGTTGATACATCCAGGAATACTGCAAGGAACAGGAAAACATGCGTCAACCGGAAAACTGTACCGAACAACATCGTAGTCGAGGCTAAATCAAAGCAATGTTACGTACTGAGCCACCTTTAATTGCCTTCTACGTAAACAGAAAAATATCAGGTTGCATGCGATCATGGTAAATGTGACCAGAGTGAACGTGAGCAGACTACAGAAAAGAAATTAAAAGTTAATAACAATTCTGAAGTGTCTGCAATGACCTTTGCAATTACGTCATGAAAAATGTTTTGAAAGCACGGTCAGAACGAACGTGAGCAGCATACTAAGCAGCATTGAATAAGAATTATTTGATCAACTTGCTCAGATGTTTAAATAACAACACTGGCTCGGTTTAAAGAAACCGAGCCAAATCTGGGTTTAAATTGATTGCATGTTGTACTACTCCAATATTTAAAATATTTTAAACATTTGAGTCAAATATTTCCAGACACAGAAAAATTAATTTAATTAAAAAATTTCCTTAATCCACGGTCGTGATCATGAATATGTCGTTAATAAATCTGTTAGAAGACGTAAGAGAAATGGACGTGATTAAATTAAAAATACATTGCCATTTCTACATATAACGCTTCTGTTTGGATTATTTCATTGTAGAGACAACTGTTATTCCGCTCATGATTGACTGAAAAATATGTGCGTATAAAATAAACAAAATAAAAACAAACAACAAATAAACGTTTAAAAATTATTATAAGAAATTACTGTTTTGAAAGTGCACATGCTGCGCTAGAGAAATATGATTTTTGGTCTTTATTAACGGTCCATTGATTATTTATCTATTCAAGCTATTAAGCTCGTCACGAAAAATGAATAACAATTCACTCCTCTATTGAAAAATCCTTCTGGATGTGGAAAGAATGTTAGCCATATTTTATCTTATCGCAATTCCCCTTATGACAAGGAAGCCGTTTGCAATTTTAGCAGGCTTGTATAAGGGGGAGATTTTGTAATAATTGTTCGTGGACGTAATTATCACTGTATTCGAGATGGATTTAGTTACTAAATATGAGAGACTCAGATCCTTAGGCATTTGTATTTAATTAACTTTATATCTTTGTGGTAGTTTAACTGGATATTATTACGCGAAGTTAGCATTAGGGGATATACAAAAGTGAATATTCCCCTGCTGGAAAAATATTATTTTTTATCTAAATTTGAATGGCTAAAAACATGGCCTGTCGTCTGTGCTATACTAAGATATTCATGGACACAGCCTCGGTCTCCCGTGCACGTATATATAAGGCTAAGCGCTATCATGACTCTCACTTGAAGGTAAGACGAGCAAGGAGATGTTGCATTAATCCAGGATTACCATTAATCCATTAATCCAAAGGATTTACCATTAATCCAAGATACTGGATTACCATTGACAATCCACTTCAAATATAAGTTTAGACTGGTGAAGAAGAAGTTTTAACGAGAATACTCTTTAGATTAATTTCAAATGTTTTTCATTAGGATAGGTATTTAATCCACTACTAATATCTGTCCACTGATAGATATTTATTATATCAATTCAAAATTTTTCCAACAGATTGAATTATTCAACAGATTTTCTATTACAAACAGAAAATTTTACATAGGAAGAAATCGAATTATGTTCAAGGTCACTTGCATCATCGTGGCGTTCTTTGTTCTTGCTGTGACCTGGTGAGTAGACTTAGTTCTACCACTAAACTTTATTAATCCTAAATATTTTTTAGCCCAGTGAAATGTCATATGTCACGGTAACATCACATCATTTGCCATAATGTCATAGATCATCATTATTTTGGAACTTGTAGGTGAACACGCATTCAGCCAATCAATGATAAAGTGCCTGGTTGTTCAGTAAAATATTTTATCCGAATGAAAGATTTCAGGTCATCGATACAAATTTAATACAAAAGTTAATACATAAGTATTGAATCAATGATATTGTATAAAATAAAATTTATTGTTACATTTTTTATATAGTTTCTGGAATTTTTACGAGGTTAGCTCTCATTAAGATAACGGAGAAATTTCTGGGCATTTAAAGTGTGCGGTTAAATCTAAAATTGAGCGTGCGACTGAGTTTGCTAATTTGAAAAAAAACAGCTGAGCGCTCTATATTTTAGAACTTGGTCACATTTTTATTTTAGAACTTGGTCAATTCACTGTATTCCTAACTACTTAAAGAGATTTAAATTTAGTTAAGATGGGGCTGTTGTTCGCCTATAAACGAAATTCGTACTATAATAGCATATCAGTCCTGACTTCAATTTTAAAAAATATAAATATTTCTATTTAACATAGTTACTAATATTCATTGCAAAGCCAAAAAATTAACTCAAATTTTGAACCTCGAATGTCAATTAAAATTTTATTATAAGTACAAGAAACAGAAATCATAAACAAAAATTTTTCTTACATCAAACTACTCAATATTCTCATTAAATTATTTTCTTATTAAACATAGACACGCATTGCGTGCATGATGGAGGAGCTGTGATATAAATGCATGGCCATCACATGCGCTTGAGTTACTGAGCAGTGACAATACAAATATTAAATGCGGATAAACATATAATAACATAAAAGAAAAACTCAAATCCATTTTCAAATTAATCAACATACACCCTGAATCGTGCTCGCATTGCTCATTCACACGATGATTCCTGACAAAATTACACATTAGGCAACTTATACCACTAGGATACAAGTAACATTTTTTGACAGGCAGGTGGAGGCGCTCCGATGTAACTGCACGGCCATCACATGCGCTCGAGTAGACGAACGGACTTGTCGGCACGGCGTCGGACTCAACGCCTGCGGCTGCTGCCAAGTTTGTCTCCGGGTAAGCAATTTACTTAAATGATTTTAAAACCATGAAAAACCCTTATATTATTAAGGTGAAATATATGAATATTTATGCCTATAATGCAGGATTGTAGAATATGTTTTATTTCAAAGGAAATTTAATTGAAGATCAGAGAAAGCATTTTGTGAATAAGTTAATTGCTTGCTTCTCCAGTGAGTCGAACGATGTTTTTGATGGAGTTTGTATTTGGGATAATAGGTTGCCGAAAGACAGTCTTAATAAATTTCTGACAATTTGGATGTAACAACGTTCATCTCCAAGTTATAAGATAAACAACTGTAAGTTAATATCATTCATTGCCTTTTTATATGAATAATATCTATAAGTTATTGCAGGTTATAATATCTATTGGTTATTATTGCAAGTTTCATAGTTTTAGTGGTATTGAAGATCTTTTTTCCTCGTTCCTGAACTTAAAACAAAGAGCAATGTTACATGATTACAGAAAATTACCTTATTGACTCGCAATCACTAAGTTCTGAAGCTGCTCCCAAAAAAATACGTCTCGATGTTTAAAAAAAAAACAATCGAAAAATACATGACGAAAAGCATACCAAGTCTTTATTTGCTCTCAAAGTCTTTATTTGAGTAACTGATGTTACTGATGTTACTGATGATATGTTATTGATGGATCCTAACATTAATCTAGGGCCCAGGAGAAAGGTGTGGAGGGCCTTGGAATATAGAAGGCAAATGCGGCAGAAACTTGACGTGCTCTAAACTCGGCCCCGATTCTGTCAACTCGCGCGGTATGTGCGTAAGAGGTGAGCTAATAATAAATTTTATGTGTTACTGAGACAAATTTGTGGTGCGGTTTTTTACCTATTTATTAATATTTCGCGGCAAAAAAAAATTTGTTAGTATTCTCGTCTGGAAGGAGTTTCACTCCTGTTCGTATTTTTCCCCAAATACGTCTTATGATGATTATGAAAAGAGTGACAAAAGCTTCTAAGTTAATGTTTATCAAATTGAATCATAAATTTGAAAATTAATCACAGAAAATCAACAAATAAACCATTAACCATTATAAATTTAATTTAATTCAAAAATAATGTATCAAAATAAATTTAATTTAATTCAAAAATAATGTATCAAAAAAACTCAGTTACATTCAAAATAATTTGTTCAAATTATTTCAAGTATATCGTGATTTACTTCTTATTAGTTGTAAGGTAAGAATACACATGAGGTGAACATTTAACCTTACACGCCCTGCCATCAAGTTCTTTATAGAATCTCTACAAATAAACGCTCCAGTTGCTGATGATGAGATAGCTAATTTCTTGTGTCGCTGATTTCGTTTTCGAAACGTTTGATTTTCCTATTTTGACCTGATAATATCCCCATATAAAATAAAACATGTATTATAACATGTACATCAAGCATGGTCAAGCAACGATGATTCCGGATACAAATATATATTAGTTCTCCTATACTTCTATGATGCAAGTTAATTTTTTTTAAAGCTCCGAACGAATTTAAATCCATTTTTCTTTGTCTAAATGAAAATGTAATTTTTAGTTACCTCAATTCCAATAAATGTGTTCAACCTGTTTTTTAAACACAGATGGAAATTCGTTATTTCAATCTCGGGCGGTAATTTTATATCTCGAGATAATTTTAAATTTATAAATTATTGACTTCAATTAGTTGGAGGATACTAAAGCAAACCAAAAAAGGATCGTAACAACGAAAAATTATTGTGGTCTTTTTACTTGCGGATGGACAAAATGTGGTCTTCTTTTTCGTCAAAAAATGTGGACTTCAATTCTTATGGGCGGACAAAATGTGGTCTTTTTGACCACATTCATCGAGCTGCAGAATTTTTTCATTCTCAGAAATATCTGGGAAATTTTTTCCGAAATTTTTGGATAAGCGTCAAAATTTAGTGAATTTTGCAATATAGAAGGCATATGTAGTGAGTGATGCTCATAATATTATTCCTAGAACTTACTCGGTTCACTGTAGGATAGTTGGACTTTAATTTTTTTAATTTTGACCCAATTTTCCATATTTGTGCAGTTCCTAGAAGAAGATTCCCGTTACTCGCCGCCACAAATGAGATCGAAGATTAACCTGGATATTGCGTTGCAGGTTTCTGAGTATAATTTTCAAATATTATACTGCCTTCCGCTTTTCTTTATTGGGATTGTTAATAACTAGAGATGTAATTTATTTTACTGCAATTTTTCAATGAACTGCAACTATTATTCTAATCAATTTCATATGAATTTTATTCTACTATAACGAAATTTGTGAAGCCAACAAATAAATGTCTAATGACCTTAATAATGTCTTGAGTTCATCTGTTGATTCGTCTTAATTGAATTATACATGGAAGAAGACTTAAACCACTATTTTTTTATTACCTAATTAAACACCCCAATTGAATTTCAATGCACAAATACGATCTCGGCCTCAATCTCTGCAGCTGCTAACAAGTTTAATTCCTGTAAATAATTTAAGTTTGAATAAAAATTAATCCATATTTCTTGGAGTGTATTCGATTATCAATGAATGTAGTCTTCATTCTCGCTAAATCGAAGACAACAATTTCGTCTCAGGTGATAGGTAAGTTGTGTGAATAGTCATTTGTTATTTTTCAAAATTGTCAGTCAAAATTGTTGTTTTTGATGACAATTTGTTTTTTATAATTTGTAAATAAGGTGGGCCGATTGGGCGTACGATACTATCATGTTATAAATTATATAGACAAGGGAAATCTTCCATAAGAAAATGCGTGGCTTTCAGGGCATATTAGTAAATTTTTTGTTTCGCAAATCTTGAACATTTCACGACTTAACAAACCTAATACTGATTTCCAAGTGAATACTTGTAGCACCGTAAAATATTCATTTAATTTTCTTTTTTCAACTCTGAATTGAAAATTTAAATTTCAACTCCATAGTAGTTGAAACTACAACAACATAGTAGTTTTCAACCTAAAATTCCCAAAAGTTCTTACAATACGTTTTTAACTAACAGTCCATGCAAATCAGTAAATTAATAGTTATATTTACAGCTCTAAATTTTGTTTTAACCAGGAGCAGAGAGATACTTAAATGTCAGTTATTAAAACCGTAGACTAACCTGAAATTCCACTATTTTCTTTGAGAGGTACATTGAGGATATACTTATTTAAATATAAATTTCGATAACGTTCATCACTGTGTCAATAAATACAGAAAGAATAATATTCGATAACATCTCTGTTTCATGAATTTTAAACTTGCTAGTAACACTAGATCCAATTTGAAATTCATGGAATAATAATTCGAACCTAATCGTATCACTTACTTGAATTTATGAAAGGGATTTTCTTTATTAATTGTAGTATTATTATTAATTGTAGTATTAAAGACAAATAGAGGGTGGTTCTTTTCGATCCCCGAGCTTTTATATATATTTGGATTTCACTGCGAAAAGAAACTCTTTATTTATTTTTATTACATGGACCGGCTGGGTAAGCTTGCTTGTGTCAATCTTCGTGCTCTTGCTTTGAATCTATTGGTTTTGATAATGGCACCTGGTTGCTACTATAGAATGCTAATTTATTCAAAATTCAGGATCTGAAATCAATTTGTCATTTTTGGGCGATATCTAATCAACCTTTTGATTCGCGCTCTGAATAGTACTTAGATAAGGATCCATGGGTAAGAAAAGTTGGACGGTTAATTTGGAATCTAAAAGTTTTCAGCGTCAAAAAACTTGTGAAATTAATTTCAGTCGACGATACCTGAAACCCAGGAGTACACTTGAAGTACTTTTAAGGAATAGCTCCTTTACATTAATTGATAGGAGTTTCAATGGATAATTTTTGATGACATTAAAAAATAGTTACGACTCCTATTGGAAAACTACTGAATGGAAGAAAAATATTTTTTTTCTTTTGAAGGTACTTCATCCATTAGGGATAAATTTATTTACAACCCGTAGAGAAATACGATTTTTACAAATAAAGTTGAACAATTTCTCGCAAAAGACTTGCTAAATTTTTTTCAAATTATTACGAAACCTGCAAGCAAAAAAAATCTTAATCTTTTCTGGTTCATCGTTCATTGTTCACGAAGGGGGTTTCCTAGCTCCATTAGACACTTCGCTCCATATTCGTTGTTCGTTTGGAGTTTCACATATCAAGTAAACCTTATACGAACTTTTTGAAATCTCGTCGTGGTTACAAAAGTTTACGTGTTTGTGTCCAGCCATTGTTCCATGAAAGGAAGGTTCAAAATGTTTAAGTTTTAATCATTCGTAAATATATTGTGGGACAATTATAAATCTTATTTATGGAATATTGTTCGTAATTCTTTTCATCCTAATATTTGCCGATTTTTTATTCATTTAAATGGTATTTAGATTTTTATTGCTGATGTGCTACTACATAGAATCAGAGCTAGAAAATATTATATCGTTTTTTTTCTATAATTCATTTATGAACTAATTTAACGTATCAAATAATTAATTATCTAATTATATATTTTCATATGCTCCAGCAATGAAATTTAATAATGGACTTCATTTTACCCAATAACAATAAACCAAAAATTTTTAAACACAGTTTTCGTGCAATTTTATATAAATACGAATTCCCGGTGGTCGCAGGTGTTGGAGTAAATCTTGGTTCGTATCTAAGTTTGTCCCTCCATTTGGCGCGGTGAAGTTGAGCGCATCTTCCGTCACTGGCGAAATGCAACCAAACTTTGGGACTTGATACCAGATGCTCCCGTACGGCGCTGCCTCCTTCCCGTTGCACGGCATGACAGATATTTCTGGTCCGAAATTTATTCAATATGCAATTCACAAAGTTGACAAATTGGATATCTGAAAAATTTCTCGTGAATATTGTGTTGTGGAAAGATACAAACTTTAATTATATACGAAATAAAAATATATTAATTCTGTCGGAAGAAAGTTACATAATGCGGAAGCGTAAGACTAGATATTGGAATCTCTAATGCATGACTACCGCTTTTGATTATTCTGATAAAAGCTTATTCAGGCCTACTAAAGATAAGGCTGAGCAAGACCACTATAGAAATCATTGCTGACAGACAGCCGGACTCGCTCAAAAATATACTGAGAAAGTAGCGTTTATATATCATAGCTAATAATTCAGTTCTTTTCTACCTGTAATCTAAAAAGATTCAAACACATTTCACGAAGTATTTCTCTTTCAATATAAGTTTTTAATGTTTCGATAACATTTATCACAATACAAATATCCTCCATGCTAGAGTACCGCACTTTTTGATCGTAAGGTTAAGGTTGTTCGAAACATAAAAAGTCATGCATAAGTTTTTAGAAGAGATTTCTTATTTCCGTAGCAGAGATATTTCAAGCTTAAATTAGGTTATATACATCATGGTAATGAGGTCCAAAACCATTAGACTTAATTGATAATGGATAAAAACTAGATGTGTGCGAAAGCACAATCCTGGTTTCATGGTTTTTTACCAAAAAATTGTGGCGCCAACCGTAAAAAGCATTTAAATTCAAATTCCAAATGACTCAACATTTTACTGAGTAATTGCCAAAAGCCGTTTTGAAATAGCTAAAATTTTTTCTAATAAGAAATTAATAAGCTATGCCTTCAAACGCGCATAAGCATGAAGTCATTAACTTCTCAAATTGAAAAATAACATGCCTCGTTGTAAGTTAGTTCCTGTGCTCTGAAAATTAAGAAAAATTTAAAAGGCTCTCAATAGGAGAGGCATGAAATTCGGACAGCAGCTTGATTGCTGCCATTTGATGACAATGTTCGAGTGCACTAGCCTTAATGAAGGTGAAGTTGATAATTCACGGAAATAGCAATAAGGCCCAGCGTGCGACAGTTGTATCGGTATTGAGTGCGGCAGCTTATCTGCCATTTATCTTGATGACATCGAGACATGGAACGACAAAGTCACGATACTCGGTGACACTCAATAATCCCATCACGGTAACGGTCCTTTATTTCTCTTTCTTTAACTGCAAGGTAACTGTGTTAGAAATGGTATGATAAAAGCTAAACGGCACGGCGCTAACCTGCAGGTGGTATAGGTGTCAAGTTCCTTCTTTTTATATTGCCTAAATTTTTTTTTTACAAAGTGAGTACTAAAAATGTCAATATGTTTATCTTGTGAAGAAAGTGGGAAGCTTTGAATTAATACAACAATCAATGTACATAAGCATAATATTCAATATCTAGCTACGATATTTCATGATATTGCGAGACTAATTTTCTAATTTAACGACGACTGCCGGCTAATAATATAGAAATGCAATTCCAATTTGAGTTCGACCCGAATTGTTCACAAAAATTTCATGTTTGAGAAATAAATACAGTTGAATATATGTTCATTAGCATTTTTCGGTTCTCAACGCTCAGTCAAATTGTAAGTTTTTCCGTATAGGACATAATGTCTCCCAAATCTGACTTTGAGTTGGGAAAATTAAATTAAACAACCATGTACTACACACTTGTATTTACATGCATATTTACAGTCATCCATTTTACGTTGTACAATTTATTTCCTGAGTAGTGTGTTCTAATCCAATTATGAAGACGAATCAAGTATAGTACTAAAGTCATTACGTATGAAATTATAACTAAGCTCAATAGTCGTCGTTAAAATATTTACGACAAATCTGTAGACCTCTTATTTTCTACGAAATTTTAAGATTAAAGATTCAAATTTCAGGGTATAGAAACGCGGTAATTCACTTTATCCGTATTTAACCTTCCACTTGCCATATCAAAACCACTATGTCGCGAAAGAAGTATGACACTGAAAGCATTAACTCGTATAACTAAAAACTGACCGGAAAAACTTAATTCAGGCATCATTAAATGCACTCAAAAACAAACTCAATCATATTTACCTACTGACCATTTCAGCTTTAAATGTGCACAGAAGTCTTTAATGAATATCTGACGGGCAATTTATAGTACTTTAAGAATAACCCGTCTTGAACTTTGATTGAAGTTTTAAGCTGAAGTCTTTTATACTTACATGTACATGGCAGTTATATATATAATTTTTTAAATAAACTTCACAATTTTTCAACCTAAGCAGAAGATTTCGTCAGTTCCATAAAGAATTAGTATTAATTCATAATACGTTAAACACAACTTTCAATTGGTAGTGAAATTTTCTCGCCTGTGTTTATCCGTTAAGGTTGATCCGCCAATTCATGTTGTGTATAGAATGGTACGCTAAATTTGATTATTGGTTTCATCATTCGTAAATTTTTAGGAGATGGTACAGTGACGACGCTTACAAACTACCTCACTATTATACACTAAGCATCATCAAAAATATTTTGCAATGGAGGACTTTTCTCACTAAACTACTTCTCATAACAATACTCAAATTCTGAAGCAGAAGGAAAAATTGCATAGCAATTTAAAAAAATCTTTGTTATTAATTATGCAAAACGTATAGAATATTGTTCGCTTCCATAAATCACAATTTTAATAATTCTGCAGGATGGCATGAAAAATAAACCGTGGTGAAGGTCAATTTCGTTATGAATGGCTATGATTATCTGATCCTAAATTATCTAAATTAGTAATTTTTTCGTAATATATTAAATTTGTGCAGATTGTTCACAAATTATAAAATAAAATTAATTTCAGTAAATAATTGTTAGTGAGAAGCCACGTCTTTAGAAGAAGCACATTCGTTTTGATTAACAGTTATTTATTGTACATATCTAACGAAATCCTGACAACAGTTGTACTGTAGAAACTTTTCCTAGGAAGTAAGTATCTTTCGATACTATGTCATTTGGTGCGAGTAAATAAATTCTTCAGTGTTATGTTTGAAGCTTTTTCCGCATTGGTGCACGATGACTTCTCATAAAAGAGCTCGCTCAACAATCAATTAGCTTTCAAATAGTTCCACTAATAAAATGCTGTTAATCTTACATTTCTAAAATGAAACCAGATTTCAGTATTTACAAACTATATTGCACAAACATTTGATATTCAAAATCAATAAAGTACTGTTATTGACGAATGAAAATTCCTGTATTTCATTATTGTCGCCAATGGATGAAGTTTAAGTATTTTCATTTCTGGGGCAATTTACGTCTGCATTTTCTTACGAAGAAACTACCATCTATCTAAGATATGCGTTGTTTAAAAATTTAATGTGTTCACAGATTCGTGAGAAAGAAAGCCTTGCGACGTACAAAAGCTCAACTTAAAATTATATATTCAACGAGTTGAACCAATTGTTCATTTGATTATAAATGTATCGACGCAAAATATCGATCTCGTAGCGTGTGCAACACTCGCACTAAAACAGGAAAAAAAATTTCTCTCAGGCTTCGCAACTATAAACCAATCTAAAAGTAACTGCATCCCACTTTGTTTAATATAACATCATCATTTGTATTGTCGAGTTGATTATATAATATAGATCAAAATATGGAAATGCATCGTTTGTTAAAATGAGAAAGGGAATCCTTAAGATAAAAACATCGTGTTTGTTTTTTTTAAAACACTGCTCATAGAACATGTGACATGACAACACTGATACAAAGTCCATAATATGAGAGGAACTTTGAAATTGATCAACGTTATATTTATCTTGTTCAGGGCACTTACTATAAGTTTGATCTTTATATAATCAAAAATCTTGAAGTCAGACTATAAGTAATGCTGAAAACCGTCCTGTAATTATGATTCTCAAGTTGATGGCAATGCCGATGGCAACCTTTCGCTCTCCTAAACGACCCAACTTATATATAAGACTTGTCGTCCAAAGTGTTAACCAACGCCTGACGTATGACCACCATAAATATTTCTGCCAGAATTTCCAGGCAAATGGAGAAGGGAATGATATTCGTTCGTCGTACTCAAGAGACGGCCACATTTGCCCTACGAATGTGTCTCGTTAAAGACTCTCCTGTAGAGTTTGCTCTAACTTGGTGCGATCCAAGCGAGTGTAGTCCTTGCCGGTCCTGGGGCGGAGGGTGGTAGCGTGGGGACCGGGACCTTGTCTGTGTGAGAGGAAGATTTATTTCAAGTTTTGAAGCTTCTTGGAGAACTACTATTGCGTTTATCCTACTACTCTTTGATATATTGTTACTCACTAAATTCAAATAATATCAATATTGTCAAAACTTCCACACTTCTATTAGCTATATTTCTATCTTCATTAATTATTGTCTACTTTCACTGATGTTTCTTCAAAACCTAAATATCATAAGAACCTTCATTTTGAAGTTGAGTTCCACTAAAACAAAGTGTATGGCATGCGCACCTGTCTTGGTCGGTGCTGAGCGTGGAGGCGAGGCTGAGCGTATCGTGATAGTCACTCGTATCGGAGGCCGACGAGCGGCCGTCGGTACCGCGGCTGGCGGAGCAGCAAGCGCTCCCGCCGGATCCACCGCCGCTGCTACCCCCGCCGCTGCCTCCCGCCGCTCCGGTGTACGTGCGGCCTCTGGCAGTGACGCTCGAACACCACATGTCTAGAAACCAAAGGCAAAATGCTTGCTTTAAAAATTAAAAAGAATACCATTGCTAGGATATCTTAAAAACTAGACGATTCTGCGATATTCTCTACTCAGCAGGTTCAGAAAAAAAATAAAAATAAATATGCTGGTAATACTAAAGAATAATTAAAAAACAGATATCTACAAATTAATATGATTGAGACCAACCGGTATTTCTCAAGGAAATTTTTGAGTAGATCTTCAATTTTTCGAGTCTACAACTAATAGCGAACCTCTATTGCAGTGATGCTTGGCTGGAATCGACTTCAGACGCGGCAGAGAAGCATGGAAACATTGAGGCCCAAGCATCAAATTCAATGGACGTAGTGATTTACTTTCAGCACAGTCAAGAAGCCGGAGTGGTTCACACTGACCCAAATAAAACGTCTTCAAAGATTCACTGACTCCAGAATCGTTACTGGAAGCCGAGTCTCTGTTAGCAGTTTTCCCGGGAGCGGAAGAGGAACGACGTAACACAGCTTCTTGTACATCGCACCCACTGTCGTCTTCGCCTGGTAAGTAATCGTTACCACGACAATTTCCGAACCTCATTGGTCTCCCAGATTTTCTTTTTCTCCTCCTGGGAGAAATAGGGGGTGTATTTAGTGGGGAAAGAATTTCCCCACATCCCCAAATGTTAGACTCGCCTATCCTAGAGTCCGCTGAATTCGATCGTTGACGACCTTCGTAAAACAAATTTTCGTTTCGAGCCAACGATAAACTTCGTCCTGTTCTTGGAACACAACGGTTCTTAGAATTCATGGGCACAGGGTGCTCTTGTTTCAGTTCTTTATCCTCGTCAAGATTATTGTTTGAATTCGAATGGCAGAGAGTGTGACTTGAAGGAGAAGAATTAATGTCAGTTGTTCCAGCATGAGTAGGGTCGTTATCAAGCAATTGCGGAGACGAGTGTCGGAAATTAGATCCACTTAATTGTCGTGCTAAAGAAAAGTGTTGTAACTGTTGATTAAAACTCGATAAAGAATGAAATGATGGAGATGTCATGCAAATATAATGCGAGCTTTGGTGCCTAAAACTTTCTGCGGAAGGCTTCATGACCACATAATGTGTCGTGGAGCTGCATGGGGAATCTTTTTGACTACCCTTCTTTAAATTCTGGCTTAACGCCCTGCCTATCTCCGTTGAAATTCCACACTCCTTATTTGAGGAAAATTCAGAAATTTGTTGCTTTTTAGAATTTTCTGAGTTCATTGACTGTGAAATTTGAGTATTACAATGTTGACAGTAAGTTTCAGCACCACACTTACTAGGTTCACTAATGCAATTCGCTGGATTCACATTAACATAATTGTGTTCCAAAGATTTATTTACGAATTTCGAGGCATCTAATTCTTCAGATTTCGGTTGAACACCTCTAATGATGCTTCCACTATAACAGCTTCCTTTTGATTTATTAACAACCGCATAAAGATCTCCCTGCACATGTTGGTGTTGAATATGCAGCGGCTGTTGAAGCAATACGCCTGTTGAAGCGTCAACGACGGGCATACGGCCTTCCCCGTTGACTTTAAGGGACGACGTTACTGGTTGGTCGTCGGTTCTCCTGCCGCATACTAAAGACCCCGCCCAGCCTAACACGCCGCTACACGTCGACCCTGTGAAGCTTGTGGAGTGTACTGGCGCCGGTCCTCCTAGGAACTTCCTCGGTGTGTCGTAAAATGTTTCCGCCAAAGGGCGAGGCACGTCATAGTTGTCCATTGGATTAGATGTCACATTAGTCGAAGAGTAAGTTCCAGTAAAGGAGGGTGGGGCGAAATCGGCATTCGTTGGGGTCTTCTGATCTTTGTCGCTGTTCCAGTCGTCTCTGTGTACGGCATAACAAGGCGTATGTCCTAAAGCATTGACAGAACATGTCTGCAATGATTGAGTTTGTTCAACGTTCCTGTTGTCAAATCCTACGTTCTTTTGTACAGGGTCGATCATGCGATTAGAAACGCTTCTGTTCATTCCTCTCCCTCGCGCTGGACTGCATGGCGTTCCTCTTGGAGTATCATAAAGTCCTTCAGGAGTTTCTTGTCCTTGCCATCCTCTACCTGAAGCCCACGCATTCGCCCACCAACCTGTGTCGTCCCCTACGGAACCGCCGCTACTGCTGCCGCTACTGCCATTCGTACGGGTCGTGTAAGTGTCCATAGGCACTCCGGTTGGATGCCGAAAGAGACCGTGATGGGTGCCGAACGTGCTCTCGCATCCGGCCAGGGATACGCAATCGCCGCTCATGTCGGCAGAGTCGCTCAGCTGCAAAACGCTGCCGTCCCGCATCCACGATGCTGACGCGTTGCGGCTCAGTGGTCGAACTCCTGGTATAACGTAAACATTTGTTTAACATTTCATTTTTGAAGACTATATTAGATAAAAGAATGAGATCGAACTCCTGGTTTCGAGAAACAGCGTAAATAATTTTTTGACACTATATTTCGGAAGCCTGTATTACATTATAGAATGAGAAAGAGCAACATAGCAATAATTGGTGTTGGAAGGCATACCGTTGGACGTGATTTCATTTAATGTAATATTAATTATATCACAGAATACAACTTTCTTTCACGAAGGTCATGAAATTGTAATATATCTATTCCCTCTCCCATCTTTTCTCTTTCGTAGCTTCACTTAATATGACTTATGTAATCGATAATTTTCTTGATTTTGAAATATATCCTGTCAATTAATAATTTTTTTAAATCTAATATCCTCATCAATTTGCTAATTTTTATCAAATTTCGTGATTTTCTTCGTATATTTATTGCTTTGAGCTTCCTATTATTGCACACATCTTTTCCAGAATAACTTTCATCAATTTAAAACTTATCTTTACAATTAGCGTACTCAATTTTTTGCCATTCCATCTTTACTAACATCAATCAACCGGCTTCCTTCATCCGTTATTATCCTATTTTTTGTCGTTGCATCGTCCGTAGTCCAGCCCATCTCGCCCAAACTATATTTTTTCTTATTTTTTATGTTTCCTTCTATTCAATTTTTATTTTATTCTATTCCCATTTCTATTCCATTTAACACTTTATCTATCTCCCTGTTCGCTGAAAATTTTGAAGTTTGTCTTCGTGTCACCCGACTACTCACCCATCTCACCCATCCTGTTGATCATGCCCCTGACCGCGAGATCGAGCGCCTGCACTAGCACCCGCGGCAGGTTATACTCACCCATCTCGCCCATCCTGTTGATCATGCCCCTGACCGCGAGATCGAGCGCCTGCACTAGCACCCGCGGCAGGTTATACTCACCCATCTCGCCCATCCTGTTGATCATGCCCCTGACCGCGAGATCGAGCGCCTGCACTAGCACCCGCGGCAGGTTATACTTGGCGGAGAAGACGCCCTGGAAGGGAGACGCTCGTGTGCCTCCTTCCCACACCAGGCGGTCACCCAGCACCCCGTAGCGTCTGCGGGTGTAGTCGTGAAGACATCAGTAAAATTATGCATATTAATAGAGGTATTTGTGTGGGTGGATATGTGATGAAGTAAAATCAATGCAGACTGATGGAAAAATGAGACTTGCCGGAAATTATTGTGAAGACATTGGTAAAATTAATGCAGACTGATGGAAGAATGAGACTTGTCGGAAATTATTGCAAAGACATTATTAAAATTAATGCAGATTGATGGAAAAATGAGACTCGTCGGTAATTATTGTGAAGACATTATTAAAATCAATGCAGCTTGATGGAAAAATGAGACTCGTCGTAAATTATTGTGAAGACATTAGTAAAATCAATGCAGCTTGATGGAAAAATCAATGTCTATGGAAATGGTCGTGAACACATCCGTGGTAGTAATGCAGACTGAACGAATATTTAAAGTCAATTGAAATTGTTGTGTAGACCTCAGTGAAATTGATGCAGGCTGAAGAAAATTGTAAGTCAATGGGAATAGTCTAAAAGACATTAGTAAAATTAATGAATACTGAATAAAAAATTAGAGTCAGCACGAACATTCGTTTAGGCAGCAGGAAAATTTGTACAGTTTGATGAAGAATTAACGTCTGCGGAAATAATCATGATGGCATCACGGAAAGTAATACAGACTAATGAAAACAATCAAAGCTTACATGGAATTGTAGTGAAGCCGGAAGTAAAAGTCAGGTATAACAATGGACAAAATTATTACTTCAGAAGAATCGTCGGAAAACATCAAGAAGTTTCACGTGAGCTGATGGACAAAACAAGTGCCAGCTGGAAAATTTTGGGAGTGCGAAAAAAAAGTCATGAAAAATTATCCTGAAAATTAGCTTCTGCAGGGAAATGTCAGTATGCATCAATATGATAATTGTTTGTAAAATTTAATGATACTTATTTACATAATCATGATGTACGAGCATTGGAATCTTTTGCAAATGTACGGTTGAGCAGACTGCGTAGAGTTTGGCTAGTTGCTAGGAATCACTCGATAACATCCATGAATGTAATGATGGTAACTATTAAGCCGCACTGAACAAAAATACTATCAGATTAGTTTCTCATTTCAAGTAACCAGGAAAAATCCAAGCGCTTCCATCGCTTGAAAAATCCCATAGTAGAATATTAATTTTTTCCGGTGTCTATGCGTTAATACCGTCAAGTGTGGTAGGAATGGACTTATGCTAGGCAGATATTTCCTTTTAATGAATGAAGGACAATGAATGTCCTCGTCATTTCACTTAAAAAATCTATATATTACGCCTTGCATTTTTCCCCAAGTTACTGCATTAATGTTAACTAATAAAGTAACGATGGAGATAAGAAAGGCGCAGGTATTTTTTCTTCAGCTAAATCTCATTTACTCTCGAGGCTCATCCATCTCTGTGCCTCGCAATAACGTCTTGGAGGTCGCGGCAAACTTTAAAATATCGAATAAAATAAAGCAGGCCTCTCGACTTTGAATCAGAAAGCGCTTCTAGGAAATTGGATGAAACCATAAATTAGCGTTCGGTGAAATTTACAAGGCAATGTGGAGAGGGGTAATTAATTACATTAAAATATACGTGTCTTTCCAACAGAATTATTACTTTGAGCACTTTGTTCAGAGCAATTATTTGATTGATGTCTTGAAGATTTAAAAACTAGAATTTGTGCCTACTATTTGGTTTGTTTGTGTGCTTGAATTAAGGAACCAAGGAATTTAAATGGAGCTAAAAATTCATGTTTATTTGATAGGTCTTTAGGGGCATTATGTTTAAACAAATCATCATATGTTATCACTCTATAATAATTAAATGTCGCAAAAAATTTTTAAAGAAAATAAAACAACCGCGTCGCGAAATCCCTACGTTGAGGAAACTAACGGACCGCACGCGCGTCAGCTGATGGTTGAACACGTAATCTGGCCCCTGGGACCGATAAATGTGTAATTTCCGTAGTCCGGAGTTCTTTTCAGCGCCGGTATGCGGTACACGGTGCGTCGTCTTTTCGGCGCCGCACTATGCACAACGCACCATCTCATTTGGTGCGTCGTCTGTTCACTTAGCTATCTCTCTTATGTAAAATTTTCGAAATTTCAAACACAAAATCTTGAAAATGTTAAATAAGTCTTCTCACTGATATTTCTGAATAAAACTATTTTTTACAATTTCTTTATGACGTTTCTAAAAAATAAAGGTATGAAATTCTGCTCCAATGAAAGAAGTTTTCGATTCTTTAAAATTAAATTCTTATTTCCAAAGAATATTCCAGTCCAATTTCGGAAGGCAGCTCTTCTATGATTTCTGAAGGTTCGAATTTCCAGAGCAAAGACTTGGCAAACAAGCAGAAACTCGGAGAGGTGCTCGAAACTGAGAGCACTGAGAGACTCTGTAAATTTGTCAAGATGTACAACAAGAATCCACAAAAATCCTCGAAAATAATTGGAAGAGTAGGCTCCTTCTTTCAAGATACGTGCTGGCGACAAGAGACAAGATTTTTTGTGATGCGTACTTGATAGAACTATGATCTTTGCACTGGACCTGGTTTTTCGTTCTTTTATATCCATTGGTAAAAAATTTGTGTGTATGTTCACTTGTGTATGAAGCTTGGCACACTTTGGGGTCGATGCGTGGCACATACAGGGGTTGTTTGGGCTCGAATCCATAATTATTGCGTCGGAAATTATTAGTTGGACTTGAATATGTATTGTTAGTAGAAGAATAGTTATAGGCATTGCAAAACTGGTACAAGAAGACCGGATAAAACTGGAAAATTTTTTGGAATATCTGAAACTGGAATATTTTTCTGGATAAAACTGGAAAATCTTCTTACAAATTTCAAATTTGTAAGAAGATTTATATTCGAATTCTAAATTAATACATACAAATTGCGTTTAAAAGATGATTAATATTTTTAGCGCATTTTTTCAATAATGGAAAAATGCGCTATTGTGCTCGCCATGTCCGTCTGTCTGTCTGTCCGTCCGTGACTTCACGTTTTCGCCGACGATAAAATGAGCTCTCTGTCACTCACTGCAGTGAGTACTGAGTTATATTTTTTCATATTTTGAGACAAGAGTCAACTGGTATAGTTGTATGTCCTACGTAAAATGAGTATTAGAACGTGCCTCTCTTTAATTGGCATATATATGAGCAATATTGTTATATGCTGGGACTCGGGATGACGGGATTCAAAAATTGCAGGGATTATTGGTCGCTGGAATGGCAGATCTGCTATTAAAACCATAAATTTACTCTTAGAACAATTGTTATGCCTAATTTTAGATATTAGATTTCAATATATAGTAAGTTGGTCTCTGTACATTACAGTATAAGAACAACTAAAAATGAATGCGAAACAGTAATGTTATTAGGAAATTATCTCAGGATAAATTGATCTCCAGTCATCGCATTTTCAGAACAGTCATTCAGCTTATTATCAGTCGGTGCCATTTTTGTAAAGCATCCATTATGAGTTCAGTAGCATTAACATGAATATTTACTAAGCACATTTCTAACAGGCATCAACCTAATTTATTCCTATTAATATTTTCATCCAGGTAATAAATAACGACATGGATCCTTGCTTAGTTTCTTGGGTGGGACCTTTCGAGGGGAAATGAATGGCTAACTCACGATATTCCCCAAGGAAATTTGCTGCAGAGTAAGACGGATGATACCTGATGTCTGGGCGGCGAAGTAATGTATTTATAACGAGCCCACGCACCTTTTATAACGAGCCCACGCACCTTTTATAACGAGCCCACGCACCTTTTATAACGAGCCCACGCTCCTTTTATAACGAGCCCACGCACCTTTTATAACGAGCCCACGCACCTTTTATAACGAGACCACGCTCCTTTTATAACGAACCCACGCACCTTTTATAACGATACCACGCACCTTTTATGCTCGCATGCACGCTATTTTCCGATATTTCACTATTTTAATTGAAACTTTTATCATGGTTTTCAAATCATTTAGCTCAAGGACTTCAACCTCTAAAAATTAAAAGAATTTCAGAATAAAATTAATTGTGGAGAGTATTTCTAACTCTTTTCTACTTTGCTATTTTAAAAGGATCTGTTATTCAGTAAATGAGCCCTGAAAATTGCTTAATTATTAGCAAAATAAAAATATGGAAATTGAATATAAGTTCTCGCATGAATTAAGACATCAGATTGAACCATTTTTAAAGTCGACTGCACAAGATGAATAGTTGGAACTCTGATGAGTGTAATAAACTAATATGTATTTTCTAACAATCTGGTTTCATGATATCTTTTCGTCTTTCTTGGTATTTGTTCCAATGCAATACTTCAGAAGATGTAAACTACACGGAGCTAATCATTAGGAAACTCCAGCGAAGTTGTCCAATTTGGGAATAATTTTTGGATGACTTGCAGATACCAGGAAGTTATGTTACAAGTTCTTGACAGCACATCAGCTCGACCGCAATGGAGTTGGCTTAGTAAATGGAGGTAAAAATTTCTAAAAGCATGGAGGTAATGACTTACGCTGCACGACCTTATAATAACACATGAAAATTTACTAATATGTGACTGGGAGATGAAACAACAGGAAAAGATGAATAAATAAGAAATTATCAGAATGAAAAATGTGTATTTTGCATAACGCGACAGCATAATTTCCTGATGATAAGGAAATTCGTGGCTAAGTCTGTTGCAAAGAAGCTTCTCATAAGTCAAAAATTATATTGATGTATACTTCTAACTTTACCGAATTAGTGGAAGGAAAGACTTAAAAATGATATCAAATCCAAATAAAATTAAAGTATTTTATAGGGTCATTATTCAATTCAAAACATATCATTACTAAATTAAAGAAAAACTGAGAAAACCCCCAAAGTTGACTTATGCCACAAATCTATTTTTTCATTAGATTGAACCCTTGTCCCTGCAAATTACGCGGATGTGGAGGATCCATTTGCTGTGAGTCTCAGGTAAACTATTTATTTACTTCTAAAAGTAGCTTGGCCTCTTCTTCTTTAAGCAAGGTATCGCCGCGTGATACTTCAGGTCTTAGCCTCTTAGTGTTGGCTCCTCTAAATGCGAAGTGACGGACAAAGAACTTAGAGGGGCATTGTGGCTCTTGTGCTGATGCCTCGTGTCCAACAAAGCCCAGGATATTTTATGGCATAAAGGCCGTAGCCACACCGGCAATAGCTGTCCCCAATAATGGTGCTGATGACAAATGCAAGCCATAATAAGGAACTTTCTGTCGACACTGCAGCAAACCTGTAGCTGCCAAACCGCAACCCATATCAGTCCTCTGATGTTTGTCCGGCTAAAGGTCCTTCTTTTTCAGAGGATTCGAGATGCCGGCGGCTGTGACTAAAGAGTGAGTAATGCGTAGATGTCTTCCATTAAAGGATAATTCAAATCAACAAGACGATACAAATGGTAATAATTACATAAAATGAGTATATAATACAAACTTGGAGTAAAATAGTCGCTAATTTCGAAAAATAATGTGGAAAGGGAATTAAAAATAACTTAATAGTTAATTGTAATACTCAAGATTTGCTGATGAGAATAATATAAAAAATATTAATTAAATTTCATAAATTTATTTTATATAAATAAATTTGGCACTCTTTCTTGTTTCAATTGTTCACTATATGAACACTATACTCTTTCCTTATTACAGTATATTAAGCTCATTTTTCGTCCAACAAACCCTACATTCGTTATCTCCACTCCGGATGGATCGAGCAGAGAATTTTTTCACATCATTTTTTCGAATTGATAAATATATTTAACAATAACATTAGGCAAAACTTTCCAATCTCCAGTCTTCACACTTTTTTTTCGTCGCAAAAACTATTGTCCAATGTCAAGAAGCGGATAAAGACTTATGTGCCTTCCTTTCTAAGTAAAGAATTTAGAATAAGTTCAGGTGTTCGTGATGCAATTTGTTTACCAATGATAGGTGTAAATAAATAAAAAAAGTCCTTATGACATCTAACGATTCATAGATCTGCTAATAAATAAATTTTCCATTTATAATTCGCAAGCCACCTTTTAATATGCAGGGTTTATACGCAAGACCGTTGCTGTAGCGAAACATTGTATATTGTGCACTGTGACTCCTCAGGTCACGAAGAACGATTATTATTTTATTAGCAAATAATAAGATAAATTGAATCATTAGTCGGCTTTAATAGCAGGTTCATAAAGAATTCAAAAGTACAATACGCCCTTCAAATTCACCATACCTTCAATGATATATGGAATATTTCATTGTAGATATGGTGAATTTGCTTGGCGTTTTCTTTTTATTTAAATTCTTAGCAAATAATACGGATGTCGTATTTTTGTTTGTGCAGAGAAGGTGCATAAGACCAAGGCAGCCTGCAAGCCTGTGCCGGAGAGATAAGACGAACGTCATGCAAGGCGGCGATACGGCGAGGTCAGTTCGCATCACGTACAATTGCATTCTGGAATATCGCTGGAATGTCTTCATCGGCAATGAATGGAAGCCTAAGCTTGAAATTACACAAATAACTTACCAGGGTATAACAGTTACCGTTATTACATGTCATGTAATAAGTTTAACTAAAACTACTGCTAAGCTTAGTTGTATATGACAACTAATATGGCTTTGACCACAATCACCATGCCTTCTACCCGTTACTAATGGTTTCCATCGCTTTAACTTCGCTTAGTAAAAGTGACAGCATATGGGCCCCTTGTGCCAATATCAAAAATACCATCAGTATTATCTGATCTGCAATAATAAAAGTGGCATAAATGGCCTACAACTCATATTTTAATATTTATTTTTCGTGTCCATCGAGCCAACGAACCTGAGGTCAGCGGTGTGCCACGTCGCTAGGAGTTTAGGCGGGCTGTTGGTGGTGAGGGTGAGGCGGTGGTCGCGAATATGGAGACGAACTGGACCTGTGGGTACCCCACACTTGCCTCCAGGTACCTGCACCATCTGCACCATCCACGATTGTTCTGTACCAGGTGGTGACAAGAAATGTTTTATCAACCAGGTGATTGCAAAAAAAACTTTTTATCAAGCACGTGATTACAGAGAAAAATGTAAAACCTATATTTCTGTGAACGGGTAAATGCTAGATTTGCATCCTCTCCAATATTATATTAGTATTGAAGTAATAGGCTATACGTATTCGCTTGTATTCAGGCGCCAGCAACTTGAGCTTAATTCACCGATATACCTTAAGTAAAAAACTAAATTTGTTCCGCGATTTAGTGAAATAAGAATTTAGGAAATACATATAGCCTACTTCTCTTGAAGACATTTCTTCATACATAGTTGAAATTGGCTATGAAAGAAATCCAGGAGTAATGAACTTTTTAGCGCATTTTCTCATTTATGGAAAAATGCACTATTGTGCTCGCCATGTCCGTCTGTCCGTCCGTCCGTCCCTCCATCTGTCCGTCTGTCCGTCCGTGACTTCACGTTTTTGTCTACGAGAAAATGCGCTCTCTGTCACTCACTGCGGTGAGTTCTGAGTTATATTTTTTTGTGTTATTGAATGAAGCCAATTTTCTTTTTAACAAATAATTCTAAGACATATTCACCTTGTGAAATTTGATATTCCTTATCGCAATTAAAAGTAGAAAGTGACATTAAAAATTACATATGCATGAAGAAAAAAATTATTCTATTCAAAGTTTAGACTAAGGAACGAACTAATTAGACTAACGGACTAAATTAAAAAGTCCCAAAAAGAAATATATGATAATTTTAATAAATGGAAACAATTGTAGAACCTTTCGCTCATGAGTCAACGAAAACATTGCAGTAGATCTAACAGATATTGTAAATCGACAGTCAAATCGGCATCAGTTCGTAAAGTGAAGCCTTCATTAATATTAAAGTTGTCAATTATGTATAATCTAATACATTCATGCATTCTAGCACCGATTGATTATTTAACACTATATTGATTATAACACTATATTGACTATATTGCATTATATATATATTGACTATTGACTGCACTATATATAACACTATATTGATTATTTTCAGTAAAAGAACATGTATTTTGATATTTATATAGCAATAATCATTAGTGATATAATGTTCAGAATGTTCAGAAATGTTACCTTCCCCGAGCGTGTTGGTGAGCTTCGCCCGCCACTGCAGCAGCCGGTCTCTGGACTCGACTGCGGCGACCACCGTAGCTGTGTCCGCGCACAACACTGACCACGTGTGGCTCTCTTTGTCCACCGTCAGGCCTGTGATGGACAGAGTGCACAGACAGATATTACTAGTGCTAGTACCATCACTACTGCCTTTACTACAATGGTCTAGCCACGAAGATATAAAATCACCATTTGTTTTAGATTGGTGTCCTTTAATAGGTTGATTTAATAGGTCTTTTAATTGGTTGAATTTATATTGGTGTCCTTTTTAAAATTTTTGATTTTTTTTTGCAAAAAAAATTAATCATGCAGTAAGATGCACTCCATCCCCAATGACACATTATTTGCCACTGTTTTAAATGGTAAGAAAAACGAGTTTGAAACTAACTTTCTAGTTTTAAATAAGTAACCTAGCTTTAATAAGACCTGTTATGAAATACTAAATATAAATCGACAGCTTTTCTATCACTTGACCGCAAACAAATAATTCATTCCTGGCATATATTATTCGATATTAATGATAGATCCCCCACTTGTTGGACATAGCGACTTAGCTTACCCTGATCAAATATTGGCTGTGATAGTGGCTACAATAATGGTGTAGTATTTGTTTTATTATATGGTTGACTCGCTTTGGATAATTTCATTCAAACTTAATTATATTACTAACGTACATCAACCTAAGTTCTTACAACATTCTTACAAGCCATATGTATTAAAGTCCTGAACACATGAATAATATTACCTTACCTAATTCAGCATTCAACTAATTTATCCAACAGTCTCAACTATAGATCGCAATGTCATTTGATCATCAATCTTGAAATATTTTGACAAGCAAAATACATTCTCTTTTGATTGTCTACATTAAAATAACGTATACAGCGACCAGACCGAGAGATCGAGGCGCCAACACACCGTCAATTTTGATGTATTTTAACCGTCAATTAAAGTCTATTTTGACCGTATAAATGAAACTAATTTAAACAGAGACCTTGACTGTAAATTATAACGTCATTCCACCGTCAATCTTGATGTATTTTTACATCATGTTAGAGTCAGTTATTAATTAATCATGTTAGGGTCAGTTATCTACATAAATCCAATTTATATAGTATCTCGACAATGGATCATAATGTCATAATGCAATTCAACCATCAATAATACTCTACTTTTTCGATCACATAAAGGTCAGCGACCTCAACTAAAGATCATATATAGTGTCATTCAACCGCCAATTATTCTAATGTATTTTGACAATCACGTTAAAGTCTATTTTGACCATTTACACTTAACTAATTTATACACGCCTCAACAATAGATAGTATCAACATATGACCTATGAAACTTAATGTATGTTGACTATGAATATTGATGTATTTTGTCCATCACGGTAAAGTCTATTTTGACATATACACTAAACTAATTTATACACGCCTCAACAATAGATAGTAACGGAAAATGCCCATGAATCTTAATGCATTTTGACAATGATTTTTGATGTATTTTGACAATAAATTGAGCTCATACTGACCCGTCTGCAGAGCCAGCGGAGCGGTCAACATCAGAGACGACCGCGGGGGCGATCGACGGGCTCTGTCTCTGCTGTCTCTGTAGAGCTGCAGCTGCAGGGAATCTGTGGCAGAAAAAAATGAATGAGAACAAGTTCTGTGTGATCAATAAATTAATGATCGATAACAAACCTTGCAGTTGTGATCGAAAAAGTGAATGGAAACTGGTTCTTGAGATGCATGAATTTAATAAATGGGAACAAATTATGCAGTTGCGAAATCTCGGAAAAATGCACGCAGAGTTTTATGAGAGGTATTCGTCTTCTTCAATGAAATCCTAAATCTATTCAAAGTGCAGAAGTCAATTCAAAAGTGATTTCGCCATTTATATTTTTGCATTTTATATCAGTAAACGCAACATCGGTTGTTATATAACTTCTAACTTCTGGCATTGATAAACGCTAAAAACATTAAGTTTGGCACGTCCTCCACAATTGATTTAGAAATAAATTCATAAAACACATGTTATATATAAAATTAAATAATTCCTTGTGTGTATCAAGTGCTTCTATTACTGCTTCAAAAAAAGATAAAGTGAATGGCACTGCCTATGCAAAAACTGCTCCAAGTAATTATTAGCGTTTTAATTAAATATCGGTTAAAGTAAACGACGGCCGGTCAGCAGGTCACTTCCATTCATTTGTGTACCTTAACATAGAGCCTTTAGATCAAGAACATAATAAAATATCATCGTTCGGTGCAATTTTGTTTTAATGAAACCAAAATTTAATCCCGATTGATGTAAAATTGAATGAACTATTCAAAGTTACAATAAGCTTTTGTTAACAATCAAAAAACTTTCCATTGCTCACGTAAAATGAAGTTGGTTTTACCATTGAGCAAAGATATTTTATTCATGGATCTATATAGATTTTTTACCGACGTTATCGTGAATTTACTAACTCAAGCTTCAAATGAACACAATTGCTAACAGTTTTTTAAAAACCCAGAGGCATTTATTCGAGGAAAAAAATTGTCATAGCCCCTCCTTGAAGTTTATTGCAAATTGGAGGAGGTTTGATGGCATCTTGCTATCCGCTGCCACAGTGGCATCCAAGCCGGGCTGCTATCTGCTGTTTGCATTGCCATCAGGAGCGGTGCTCACGCCTTCCATGGCGCTATTAATGCCTCTAAGCGCCCTCTCCATCTACCAACTCAACACCTAAACGACCGTCTTAGATTTAGCTATCTTGCCCCATAGATCATCTCTAGTGCGCGAGAAACTGCTATCGATCTCTGCACGCAGAATAGCATGATTATAGTAGCGGCAACTATATCGAATGTTGGAATATGAAGTAAAGAGCTACAATCACAGCAGTGCTAGTATATTCAAGGATAGAAATATCATACATCAACTGGATGATACATGGCTGTTATTCAACAGTACGTGCTGACGGAGACGTTTCGGAAAAGATAAGATCGTAAAAAATTTTACAAATACATATTCGAGTCTTCTAGGTTTTTTATTAAAATATTTTTTTTGACTTTACGAGCAATTATTGCGTCACCAGGTACAAGCTCTTAAACGAAGTTTCAGCTGTCCACGTTACTCTGACGCGGTGCAAATTTCTCAGGAAAATGCTATTCTGTTGCAGCCGGGCGTTTGCGAGGTGGACTGCACCAATTCCGGGACTATAAAGCAAGCTCTAAACTCGGACGCTAGCGATGCTCGAAATGTCCCACAAAAACGGAACCGGAGTTTATACATCAAAGGGCTTCTGAGGGACCGGTCTCAAGGCAAAAAATTGGAGTTTTTCCCCAAAGATGAAGAAAAGAGGGAAGCAGCCACTCTAAGAACTTCAGGTATTTCCTCAAGAGGGTTTGATACTTCCTTTCGAGCACGTTGCCCGAGTTTAAAAGGATTTGTGTAAGAGTTATAAGTGAGTTTGCGACGTGAAATAGTCGACTTGAATTAATAGCTAAGAAGTTAGATCATCTTTGCATACAATTTTTCAAATGCAGTTCAGTTTTTGACTTTTGTCGCGTTTTTGAAATGAAATATTGTCCTGATTTCTTATATTTCAAGCAGCTTGAATTCAAAACGCTTAAAATAGCTTCTAAAAGTAGGATTTCCGTAATATATCGAATTTATCGTTTCAACCACCTTTTTAGGATATTTTTAACTAATCTGAAATTCCAAAATCGCCTGTCATTGTAATAAAGACTGGAAAATATTGAAAACCGATCAAAAATATTCTAAGCTTTGGCCTCTTTTATCAAAAATAGTTCTCTGAATTCGTCGGCAGAATGTGGCTTACTGATGACCACTATAAAATACAATACCCATGGATTTTATTTCACATTGCTTTACTTGATAAAAATATTCCACTCTATCATTGAGAACGAATTTTCCTGATTAGGAAACTTTTCTCCATTCAAATCCGGAAACTTTTGAAACGTCGAATACGCGAAATGCATTTTGAAGTACTTTCCTCGGCCAACTTGGTTCTTTCTACCTCATTGAAAAATAACGCTTTCAAGTCTGGGCTGGAAGTTGTGAAGAAATTTGGAAAACTTCCTCAAAGCTGCGTAACGAGTGGAGCTACGGCTTTTGTCCAGCTTGGAATACTCACGCAAGTGGGTGAGTGATGATCATTTCGTTCTGTTCCTGCTAATTTTTAGGGATTCTTGTGAGAGATTACGCATTAATTTTTGTCGACATCTGGCATGAATTGTTTAGCCACGAACGAGTAATTCAGAAGACACTTCTCCACTGCTCTCGTAAGTTGCAATACGTAGAAATGAGAGATTTTATATATACTTTTGTCAAGTCCTTTTATATAATTCAGAATGCAAATAAATAAATATATCTTTGGAGAATATATCTTAGTATCATCGCGCGGTTAAGTTACCTCATTACTCACTCAAAGCAAACTTATTGAATTTCACAATTTATTTCTGGAACTCTAATGAACTAGCGTGGAGTATTATTCCTACTTCAAAATAATTATAAAAAAAATCCAAGTTCTTGACGAATAATGAAAATGGTTAAAATAATTGTTGAATAATCACATAGGTTGCATAAACTCATCATCATCTCAGTGTAGGTGTAAGAAATTAATAAATGATTCTTAGTTAAAAAAACGAAACGAGACTGTGCTTACCAACGGATATCTACAGCAAAAAGAAATCCAGAGCTCCTCAAGTATAAGTATTAGTTTATAAATATTTAACCATTGTAAATAATGTAAATATTTCAAACACCTGCACTGTGGCGATGATAAGTTCATGCAGCGCTGATCTTGTAAGCCTTCCGTAATTGCCTGGGGCTTTTTGATTCTTCGGTGGATTTGAAGATGCAAAATAAGGCGTCAAAAAAAGGATGATCTTCTGAGAAATAATTCCGAGGCGTTTTGTATATTGATATTTATAATTATTAGCTGGAGGCTCGACCTCAGTTAATTGTTTGATTCACATTTTAATTTTTTATTCACAAATTAAGAATACCGGTACCAGTTTTATTTACATAGTATTGTTTCACATAACAAACTTCTCAATTGGAGCCAACTGCAGCAGTAGCAACAAAAAAAATCTGTTAGAAGCATCGCTGCATATTGAACTGAAGGAACTCATGCGATGACATGCGGGCTTTAACGTTCCATGTGAAGCTCATCTGATGCTGCATCGCACGAATAATGCGATGTAGAATTCTTGTTGTTTTATGCAATTCATTAACGTTTGAGGCTAGTTGCATTGTAGTTGCAGGTGAAAAAAATTTATTGTTTTTCAAAATTTGCGAAGAAATTCATCCGTAAATTGTTCGTTAGCGAAGATAACAATCATGAATTTGGAAGTGTTATATACCAATTTACCTAATGACCAAAATTTACCTCTGCATCATTGATATAGAGTATAATTTGACTGTTATGTGGACAAGTTTCCTACATTAATCAAAATTTAGTTGCAATCGTTGTGTCTTTTTCATCACACGAAGTACATAAGATATTCTCATGACTGCCTAACAACAATAAGTCCTCAATATTTAATGTATCCTGTAATTATATGTTTAATTGAAATATTTTAGTTCCAGATTTCTGCTATTTTGTACTTCTTTAGAATAAAACTTATATTTAAGAGTGAATATCTAACGAGACTTCCCCCAGTGTCGCCTATAAGCGAACAACATCATCCTTCTAGGACTTGCCAATGACGGTTTCCTGTTCTTCTCACGTCCCAAGAGCTTCTTTGTGCTCACAGCTGTTCAAGTCCCAAGAGTTCAGCATCGTAGTTATCTAATTTGAAAACAGGGCTTTTTTTAGCCCGTCGACCGCCGGCCTTCAATAACCCGGCCAAAAATTCCAATAAAGCAGAATTGCTCTCGGCGAAGGGCTCTTAGCGCAATCGTACGTGAACGGTAGGCCTTGGTTTAATGGCGTAAATAAGGCCATAGGCGTCCGTCGTTCCTGAGCAACTCAAACAGAAACCAAAACCATGATTCTTGAATACTGAAAAAATAGAAATTTCATTCCAATGCAATAAAAATACGGGGTAGTGACATTCAATGATTGTGTTAATGTGAGTGCGAGGTATAAAAAGTTTTTAATCCAATTCAAAGTTAAATTAGCGTGAATTTTACTTTAGAAATTAGATATTAATAGAAATTGTGAATAAACACCTTTTTTAACTATAAACAATAAAAGTAAGCTTAATTTAAACATCTATCATTGTTAAATCAAACTAAAGTTATAAGCCACACACAAGAAATTCCGATCAGAAGCGAACGGGCCGGAAAACATCTAACTAGTGGTAAAATTTGAATTTTCAATCTTGATACTGATTTCGAAAAATTACTGATGATTAATTAATCAAATAGATACAAATTCTGACTTTCTCGTCCGGATAGAATAATTGTAATATCAGGTGCAAAAACGTGCTAAATGACATGTGGCATAAGTGCTTCCCGCCTTTTAAATGAATTGCATGCTGGGGATCTATTACATCTCGAAGTAAGTGGAAATCTGATATTTTTTGCGTTCAATGATTAACCTCGCAGGGTTCATATCGAGGAATATATTGCGCAGAAAACACCTGGTGAGGCTATTTTGTAACATTGAAGTGTCTGCTC